CCACACCAACAAAACAAACTACATTTCATTCTCGTCGTCGCCTTTAATTTTACCTTTTTGAACAATCTTTTTAATAATCTTTATTTATTTATTAAAATGTTGACTGGTTTCTAGTTTTTTTTTAATTTGGTTATATAATTTTTGGATATTTCTTGATTTACTTTGTATATATGCGTGTATAAATAAATTCTGATTGGTATGTTGATTTAGTTATTATGATATGCTGTGAACTGTTCTTACTGAATGTGTTATTGTCACGTGAATCATTCTTAGAGAACTACTAAGGAGTGTGTATAATAATAATGGATAATAATTATTTTTTATCGGTCGATACTTTGTTATATTTGTTTGTTTAAAATAAGAGTTTAAACAAAATTGAAGTTTTTAAAATTTAATTAACCGTCACTTATCATTTTTGAATGAATTCAAATAAAAGCAACTATTGGGTTTTCTTCCTTTATTAAACTCTCGAAATTGTTTGTAGATATGTACGGTTAAGTGTTTGTTTAGTTTGAACAAGTCTTGAAAATATTTTTTAATTTATTTTTGTTTTTTTTTTCGTTTATTTGGTTCATTCAATTTGGTTCATTGATTTGTCGATTGGTTGGTTGATTAGTTGATTGAATGAATGGTTGGTTGATTGATTGGATGGTTGGTTGATTGGTTGATTAATTGATTGATTGATTGTTTTCACAGTATTGTAAACATGAAAAAAAAATCCGATTAAGCCAACCTACGGCTTCAGTAAGCCACAGTTTTTCACCAGACAAAAGCAATTTCTATATTTATATTGACAAAAATAATTGTGATATGAATATATTGATTTATTTAAAGCGTTATATGTACAAAAACTGCTATCATAAAAGTCCTATGAAACCATGTAAGCCACTGCAGTAACATGGAAATTATATAGCATATCCATGTGCAGTAAGCCAAGTTTCTATGAGCACCAGCAGAATGTAAAATATTTATTGATTATAATGAAGATAGTTGTTCAAATAATTTTGATTAATTTAGGCCGTTTATTTCATAAGCAAATAAATTTTTAACATGATCGAATAGTGTAAAAAAAAGGGTGACTATAGTTCAATCCTAGTAAGCCAACCTTCGGCTTCATAAGCCACCGGTTTTCACCGGATCAAAAGCAATTTTTAAATTCAAATTAACAAAAATAATTTAATAATACATAATTCTATTAAATAAAATTAAATAGCATAACTAAAATGTTTTAAGCATATTAAGTCAAGTAAATATTTCATATATAGCTTTCACGTTAAAATCCATGCAATTTCGTAAGCCAACAATCCAAATAACCCGACCGATTGATCAAATTGATTGTAACTTTTGACTCGAACGATAAAAAAATATAAAAAATCACCCTTCAACTCCCCTCCGAAAGTAAGCTCCTTGTTCGACCGTTAAAAGTGAGCGAAGGCCGTTAGGATTTATTCCAGTTATATGTATCAAACAGTATCTTAATGAACAAAGTAGTGACAAGCACTTAATAACTTTTTAACTTATTTAAATCTTGGTTTATTTAACAATTAATCTATTCATTCTTTCTTTCATTTAGAAACTAACCCCGCCCATTCATTTTTCATTCATTCAGTTCTCCATTAAGTCAATCATTCATTATTCATACTTGATTGATTGATGTGTTGGTTGGTTTGTTAATTGATTGACTGATGTGTTGGTTGGTTGGTTTCACGACTGGTTAGATGGGTGGTCAGTGTCACCAATATTTTCTTCATATTACTAAAAGTTTGATTTAGAGAATAAAAAAATCCCCATATGAGCGCTGATGATGAGTATCGTAAAATCGAAATAAGATCTATACACCTCATCATGAACACCAACGATTTTCTTATTAATTTCAATAAATTGCATAATAATTATAAAATTACTGTTAGGAACATTGAAAAGCTCAACCGTAAATTTCAAAAGCTAAAAATTTGGTAGATTTTATCAACTATTGCATCAATTATGGTCTCCTGCCAGTCTTTAAATAAATAAACATATATATATTTTGAAAGCCGTATTTTATATGAATTTTACCGAATTGTTGGGACGCGAAAAACGTTTGCAAAATAGTTTAATTAAAATTTAAATATTAATAAATAATTCATAAATACCTCCCTGAATATCTCAAAAAAAACGCCTGGAGACCTTCTCTAGTTTAATCACGAACTCAATCGGCTTAACACTGTGTAAGGCACAAAAATGATTAAAATTAAACAAAACATATCTGCTAGAAATAAATGAAATTAAAAATATAAAACAACCGCCCACTCCTAGATACATGCCTGTGTCTGAATGACATTGTCATGATTAGGTAAAGGTAGATGAAAGAAAAAATAAAATAGTTTTTCTATGCTTGGTCCTATGAAATTTTGTTACATTTCATTTACTTCGAACACTGAATTCATCACGTAATTAATTACGGGATAACAATAACAATAATAACAATAAAAATAACAATTTGACGTATGATGACGCCAACGATAACAATATTATAAATAACAACAATAATAATAATTAATATTTATAATTATTTGAACAAGAACAACTCAAAATTGATACCCAGAAATATGTTACAATAAAATTATATCGCTAGCAACGACAAAATGGAAAACAACGAAAGCACTGAAAAAAAATTAACTATTTCCTCAGACAAGTAAATTAATTCATGATCTTTGGTCACATTAAATGATAAGTAAATAGAAGAACAAAGTGATAACAAAAAGAGCAATGAACTCCCAAGAAAAATGCCGCCACAAAGAAAAATCAAGTATCAAAAACACACACACACAAACACACACACATGCAATCACGCACACACACACACAATCACGAACACACACACACACACACGCATAGAGAGAGATAACGTTTTTGTGTATATTGCATTTTGTAGACACATTTATCTAAATTTATCCAATTGAGAAAATAAATTAAATACACCCACGGTAGCAAAATAGAAACGCCATCCATCCTTCATCATCCCAATCAATATTACCATCATCTTCCTGGAAAGAATCGTCATCATCACAATCCTTATCATCATCATCCCTACCTATCACCTTCAACTACAACTTCAACAACAACACCATCGGCATCATCACCATTATAACAATCAACATAACTAACATTGCTTTCATCGCTACAACCGCTGAATGAAAGAAATTTAACATTCTAAAACATTTCGTAATTTCGTATCCACAAGCAAAAACTACAATTCGATTTTCTTATAATTTGCAATATTTCTGAGAAGAAATTCTTTGAAACCATCCAAATTTCGTAAATTTGAACTAGCGACATCAAACTTTTCTCGAAGGTTTCCATCGATGTAGAAATTAAATGTTGGAAGATGCACGATTGACTCCTCCTTGCATAGATCTAATTGGTTGATTGGATGGTTGATCGAGTGATTAGTTGGATGGTTGATCGAGTGATTGATTGGATGGTTGATCGAGTGATTGGTTAATTAGATTGTTGATTGAGAAATTGATTAGATGAGAGATCTAAGGATTGGTTTGTTGATTGAGTGATCGAACAGCTGAATGGTTGATTAATTGGTAGGTGTTGATCGATTCAATAGTTGATAGGATGACAGGTTGGAATGCACAACGAAATGCTAACTTTTATTCCGAATACAATCACAGGCACCAAAAAGAACCTCGTCACCGCCATCATTAAACTTCTCAGCTAATTGCCAAAACAAATTTCGAACATTAATACATTCATTGTTAGATGAATCATAGAAAAAAACGAAAGCGAATTTATTATTATTATTATTCGTCGTTGTCGTTATCTGTTTGGCGAATGGCGTTGATGACGTAATATGATGAATCCATCCTGATTGGATCTCTGTGAACGGTGTGACCTCGTTTGGCGGGCTGAGATTGGATAAGAAGTTTTTATTTATTTATCGGTCTATTTATTTGATTCTTCGTCCATCCATTTCAACGTCTATCAATCATTTTTTCATCCATTTATTTCCCATTCATTCATTCTCATTCATTGATCAACGTAACACATACTTCCTAACGATGTTAATAAAATTATCTTTGGTCCTGGCATCGTCAAACTCGATCAATTGTTTGCCATTCCTAAGAGGAGATATAAATATTATTGAAGGCAAGCTTTGAGAACTGAGAAAATAAAACAAAGGAATGAAACGAATGGCAAACCGATTAAATGGATATTTAGAATAAAAAAGTGAACAATTTTATGGCAATCCAACAAAGAATATGAAAGTATAACTCAATATAGAGCATTAAATTTTGAATGAAAATTGTAAGGAAAGAAGAATCTAACCGGAACACTTTGACTGTATTTGAAAAAAATTTCATTTCAAATTATGTTATTCTTATCATTTATTATAATTAAAAGTAACCGCACATACACACACACACACACACACACACACACACACACACACACACACACACACACACACACACAAGCAAACAAACAAACACACTTGTAGGCAACTCCATGATATAAAATTCTTCTCTAAGGCTCACTTCCAGTCATTGCATTTACTGCGGCGAACGATACCTTCGTCTGTTCATAATTTATAATAATAATAATAATATTTAATAATTATTATTATTATTATTATTATAATAGTTAATAATTAGTATTATGATTATTATTATTATTAATATGTTATTTGCTGTTATTGTTGTTCTTACCTCGCGTTTAAACGATTGGGCCGCTTCCATAAAGTTTTTCCTCATCTCAACACAACTATTGCAACCTGTGTTGTTGTTGTTGATGATGTTGTTGTTGATGATGTTGTTGTTGATGATGTTGATGATGATGTTGTTGTTGATGATGATGTTGTTGATGATATGGCTGATGATGATGTTGGCTTCGTCATTTAAATTCTTATACAAACGAAAACAAAAAATCAACAACAACTACGTATCACCACCACCATTATCACCACCACCACCACCATCATCATCATCATCATCGTCATCATCATCAATCTCCTAACGAACGACAAACACACACAAATAACCGTCAGCAAAGAACGCAACAACAACGATATCAAATCGTTCAAGATGTGACGCAAAGGTCGACGCGTCCAAAAACGATATTACGTCACTTCCGGCAATATTCCGCCAAAGTCGATCGTCACTGGATGGTTTTGGTGGTGGTGACGACGATGCCGTTGGGTTCAGCATGAATGATATGAAATCTTTTTTCTGTAATTATAAGTGTTTAGTGTGCCTTTATCATATCATACTAATACTAATATTACCAATATAATAATTATCATCATCACCACCACCATCATCATCATCACCTCTCTGCCGCCGTAGTATATCTGATCGTTCTTCCCGTAGTTGAAGTACTTGAAGGTGGGGTAGCCGGTGACGTCATTTGATTGACAGGTCGACGACGAACTCGGAGAGGTGCAATCAACCGCCGCGAACGAGATCTGCGCGCAACGTACGAACAAACCAAACATCAAAGGCCTCGCACAAAAAATACGGCAAGATAAGAACAAAAAAAACATCTTCAGCCCACCCGCAAGCAAACAGCCACAAACAAATGTAAACAAGAAGTTCACGTGATCCACAAACAAATGTAAACAAGAAGTTCACGTGATCCACAATAACCACGTGACCCACAAACGAATTTAAACAAAAATATCAGGTGACTTTATAATCATCTTTCAGTTCTTCGGCGGCCTGCATGAATTCTGGCTTCGATTTTTTGCAGTGCCCACACCCTGTTTAATATTGCAACAACGAAAAACAGCAACATAACAACAATATAGCAACAAGACGTCAACATTAAATATAATATTATATAATATTACCTGTAAACGCTAACAAAGACCAACAGCTAAACCAAATTGGTACCTACCTACAACTCAAGAAAGCAACAAGACGTCAACATTAAATATAATATTATATAATATTACCAGTAAACGCTAACAAAGACCAACAGCTAAACCAAATTGGTACCTACCTACAACTCAAGAAAGCAACATCAACATCTTCAACAACATCTTCAACAAACAACAAACTGAAATAGAGCATAGAAAACAAAACATCCCCCATGAAATGAAATAACAACGAACTGATATGGCGCAGAACTAACATGGCGCGTAGAATATCACTAAACAGTGTTTCTTCTTCTTAATGAAACTTTTGAAGTTTTCATCGTTCAAGTGTTCGACGTAGCTATCCAACTCGCCCCACGGTTTGTCGGACGCTGCTGCTGGCGGTTCCTTGGGGCTATAATTATTCATTAGGACGTAATCGTTAATAGTTATGACGTCATTATTGAGTCACAATGAGATACTGATCATCAACTATAGCGTACAGTGACAATCATTCATCATAATACAATAGCGAGTACGTATTCAACTGCAGACTGAAAAAAATTAGAAAACAAAAGTTCATTTATTCTTTTAATCATTCATTTATTCGCTTAATCTTTATAAACTTATTCAAATAAAATTTATACAATAAAAATTCAAAATCAAAATAACAAACTCTTTCATGAATGAGACAATCGTTTGAGCTGTTCGTTCGTTCACATCAAATTTCTCTTCTCCATTTCTAATCAATCAATCAATCAATCAATCAATCAAGCAAGTAAGCAATCAATCGATCCAATAACAAATCAACCTATCAGCAGTAACGTTTTTATAACGCTGAATTTTTAACAACAAAATCAAAACAAGGGATCAAGATTTAAGTTTTAGAAATTTAGAAAATAAAAAATCATTGTCTTTATTTATTATTATAATTATTTTACTTATTCTTCGTAAATATTATTGTTCGTAAATGTAACCAACTTGAAGTATTTAACAGTTGGAAATCCCTTGATTTTAAACTTTTCACCCAGCTTCTGATGTTTCGTCACATCAATCGCTGTTAAGATGCCATCTAACTACAAGTTCCAGTGAATGTGTGCGTATGTAAGTTTGTATATAAGTGTGTGTGGGTGTGTGTAGGTGCGTATGTAAATGTGTGCATATGTATGTTTATCATTGGTCAAAGTCGAGAAATTCTTACAATTTTGCTCTGCTCAGCAATATGACGATTTTGTTTGAATTTTTTACGAATGAAATTTTGATTAGTGTATGGTTTATGTATGTATGTATGTCTGTGTGTCACAAACAAGAAGACAGAAAGTACCTTTTCATTTTTGAGCATCGTGGCAGCAACCTCGTATTCAGGTTTCATTTTTTTGCAGTGTCCACACCCTTCACGAACACACAAACAATTTCGTAATAAATAACCATCATAATAAATACTGTAATACACACACACACACAAACTCACAAGGTGCATAGAACATAACAAGAGCTGACGATGACGCATTGATGATGTCATCGAAATTATCTTCAGTCAAATGTATGACGTCATTATCCATTTCTGACCAATCTTTTTCCGGTTCCTCAACTTTGGCGGGGACGGGGCTAATAAAAAATGGATAAAATTAAAAACTCAAATCTATTTTTTTGTTTTCAGATTCTTTTTATACAGTTCCAACTCTTAGCGCCAATTTTTTACCGTTTTTGCTGATCGTACTTTCGATCTTCGTATAGTCAATTCATGTATTATTTTTGTTGTATTTTGATGTTCGTTGCTTTCATTACTGATTTAATTTAATTAAATGTAGAATTTTAATTCCCAGCAACTGCGTGCGTGACGAAAGTTGCTTCAAACTGAGGCACGTCCCCTCTCATTCTTACACCCCTTCCTCTAGGCCTTCTGTTTGTTGTGGACAGTCCAGGTATGTTTGTCCTTTTCCTTTCAATCCATATTTCCCTGTCGTGTATCAGCGACTCGTCGAGTTGCAGCGCTCGATTCACGACTTTTTAGCTTCTTCTTCCATTCTTTGAATTCTAACCTTGATTTCAATGAGTTCCGCTTTTTCCAAATCATTTTTTGCATTTGCAAACGGTTGAACGCAAATATCTTCGTTTTCTAATTTGTTAGCAGCAGCCGACATTTTGGTATATTAGCAAAATATTAACTGCAATTAGATGAAAATTTAAAATATTTGTATTTCAAAAGTCTTGAAATGAAGATAATGTAGTGAGAGGAGAGCAAATTATCGAAGTATTTGAAATATGCAGGCAGCCCTCTGCTTTATATACTGTGAGAGTCGTGTTTATTATTAACTTTGCCACTATTAACTTTGTTTATATTAACTTTGTCTATATTTATTAACTTTGTATATATTTATTACCATTATAACTTATTAACTTTGTGCGACTTGTAAACTTTACAAGCACTTAATAACTTTACAACATAACAAACAACAACACACGTTTAGACGACATTTTCCCCGAGATCGGGGGTTGCCGTTTGGCTACCTATGATGAAACCGAAATACCCCTCGACGCCATTCACATCTGTCACTCGCCTCAGTATCACGCAACCCCGATTTTACTATGTCCTTCTAACTTTACAACATATTTAAATCTTTGTTCACTTTAACTGTCCTTTTTTTGATCTGTTCTATGCAATAGGGCATAATTTTTAACAATACTGAACAAATAACTGAAATTATGATAAACACTATAATGGATAATTAGCATAATTTATGAAGATGCATCGCGGCCTACTTCCTCATCCAGGCAACAACTCCATCTCTATCGTTTGAGCCTCCATAATTATAAACTTTCTCGCCATTTCTGTGGAAAATAATAATAATAATGGAAACCTTTTATTAAACATCGAAGTCTAAAATCAAAATGTATGAAATGAAATAAATAACACAAACATATTAAAATAATAAAAATTTTGCTCAATTGAAAATCAGGACGAAGATGATGAAATCGTATGAAGTTGAAATAAAATTAGTGTTCCTGTTACCATAAATTGAGCAATTTATTAATCTATTCTTAAAAGATCTGGACATACGTGATGAATTATTTATTAATGATAGTTTGAAAGAATTATGGAAGCCGATTAATGTAATTTAAAATGCTATAATATAAATATTAAAATCTTTAAAACCATAGTATATAAATAATAATAATACCTTTGAACTAAAAATAGTAACACAAACTTAAAATAGATCAGAGTGGGAAAACCCGTGATGTTAAACTCCATTCTTATTGGCTCTCCATCCAACGTATCAACATCCATTCCAGCTAGAACCTTTGTGTGATTTTCATTAGATGAACGAATGACAAAAAGAAAAAATGATGGTAAATCATTCAATCATTTTTCTACGCAGATTTTATTTTTTTCAATTGTCAAACTATTAACATTCTTTCGTTCATTTATGAACTCATCTCCCCGCCAATCCATCTTTCATTCATTCAATTCTTCATTAAGTCAACCACTCATTCTTCAGTCCTTCATCCATCCATCCATCCATCTCACAGCTTCTCCCTTCAAAATGGAGGCGGCCTCTGCAAACTCCGGCTTCAACTTCTTACAAAACCCACACCCTTAATAATAATAATGAATATAATATAAAAATATAACATTAAAATTAGTTAGATATTACGTGAGTTAGATATGCAATCGAAAATATATGGACACATTGGAAATAGACGCAGACAACCTACATGGAGCATAGAACATGATAAGAATTGGCTTCTTTTCTTTGCTCAATAATTTATTCAGATCCTTTGAAAATTAAAAATATGAACAAATCATTGGCACAAACCAGCCCAATAATTAACATAAACTAATTAAAGACAGGCCTAACTAAATAGCATAAAGTAATTATGATCGTACAGATTTAGTTTCGAGATGACGAACGTCCGATGCAGATGCCTCTTCTTCCCAAGGCCTGTCACTCGTCGGATTCCGTAGGAACTTCACCATCGACTGATTGATTTATTGATGTGTCGGTTAGTTGGTTTGTTGATTGATTGATGAGTTGGTTGATTGATTGATGTGTTGGTTGGTTTGTTGATTGATTGATGTGTTGGTTGGTTTGTTGATTGATTGATTGATGTGCTGGTTGGTTGTTCCGTTGATTGATTAACTGATGTGTTGATTGGTTTGTTGATTGATTGATTTATGTGTTGGTTGATTGGTCCGTTGATTGATTGACTGGTGTGTTGGTTGGTTTGATGAATGGTTAGATGAGTGGTTGGCTTATTAATTGGATGGGTGATAAGAATAAAACATAAAGAACAGCAGCACGGATCACAACGGAGAAAACAACAGCAGCAACCATAACATGAAGGAAGAATAACAATAACCTTAACAGTAAACTTTCGATCGTACACTTTATGAAATTCTCCATCTCTTTAAATAAGCATTGGTAAAAAAAAAGGTGAAAATATTTTATATACATATACAAAATGTTCAAATCAAATAAAATTTTATTCAATCAAACCAAAAGAAATGATTCAGTGAACAAAAGAGAACACAAATTCTATTGTCCCAATATTGAATGTTTTGAAAATAACTTCACAAAGTATATAAATGAAATTTAAAATAGTTAATAATCACCGTAAATTTTAACAAGGTAACAACAATACTTTCAACGCAATCATTACTGATCAATGTCCATCAAAAACAGAGCCTTTCATGAAAAAGTTAATTTTTGAAGTGATGTAGTTGGTGGCTTGCTTGCATTCTTTAACATCTAACAAAATGATTTCCCAAATTCCATAATCAGCATGTATTAGAGGGACAACAAGCAATTGAAACCTTGGAGTACATCAAGTTGTGATCTTCATTGCACGACATTAACAAACGCTAAAAATCTTATCAAACGCTGGATGGCAGGGACAAGTTTTTATGGTGAGAATTTTTCAATTCAGTGTAGAAACTCTCGTCAGAATATAAGGGTGAAGAATTAGCTTGAGAAGCATAAGATCATGTTATAGAACATAAGATGAGGAAAAATAGAAGATTGTAGATTTATTCAATTTAAATTTCATTTTATTTCTAACTCGTAAAGTTATGTGAATTTTTTTACAAAGTATCTATATGCAGATGGCGTCAAAGATAATTTTTAATGGCCGTTCAAAAAATTTATTGCTAACTGATTTGGGAATAAAACTGTTGCTTATTTTTAATTAAATCTATGTCTGGTATTATATTAGTTATATACTTTAGACCAAAGTAAAATTTAGTTGCATTTTGAATAATTTAGTATTAATTTCGATGAATCAGGTTGAAATATTTCCAAGATATACTCTAAATCATTTAATGGATTATTTGTTGGAAAGAAGATTAATTTATTACCAATCAACTGTTGAAACAAGTGAAACAACGCCCTAAACGTGATAGGTGGGGGTTTATTTTGCAATAAAACCTGGTCAAGGCACTTCACGAATCTACCATCGCGTCGTCAGTATCATCGGCATACAGAAAGACTTGTGCCAGTGGCTTTTAGAATATTGTTCAAGTAGATTGTTAAGAAGAGAAAAGTACCCAAAATTGACACTCTACAGCCATAACACTTGCACACACATACAGACAGAAACATATCAATATATATGTATGTTACCAATATTACATGTGTAGATTAAATTTTGAAAACAAATTTTTTTTATCACTTGAAATGTTTGTATTCAACGGGAGATGGAAATGACTTCAATTTTTTGCAAGATTTTTTGTCAATTCTGGAAAAATTAATAATTGAATATTAAACAATTAACAATAGATGATAAATATTAACATAATTATCAAACAATCAAAAGATTATTTAAAAGTGAAAAGCAAACTTACGAGCAATCAAATAGAATAATAGATGCAATTCCTTTTACTTTCTCACCGACGGCCCTGAAAAGATCTTGCTGCTTGAAATCTTTCTCTGAACAAATAAAAATAAATAAAATTATTGTTCAAAATTTAAAAAAACTTCTAATATAGGAGAGTTAGAGTTGTTTTGCTTAACTACAATATAAATAGATAATTGGAGATATAATTTTATACACATACATACAGCAACACACACAACCATACACACCCACACATACACATTCTCACACCTAACCCGACTGTGTGAATATAGCAAGAACGTTTGTATGAGTCCTAATAAGTTTTTTAAATTCTTTTACATCAGATAATTTCTGGATATAATCATTTTGCTTGGATTTTTGAGCAATGGAAATATGAGACAACAGAACCTATGAATGAATTATTAAAATTAATATTAATGACATGATTTGTAACTTTTTTTTTACATGAAATTGATTTGAAATGTAAATGATAGTCAAAATTATTTTTTTTGATTGTGTTTTCAATACAAAACTTTTAAGTAGATTGATGGAAAAAAAATCAAAATTTGAATTGAAATATTAATATAAAATTGCATGCTTACTTACAAGAAGAATCAAGCTAATGCAACTTAAACGAATCATCTGAAATAAAATTTAAATAACATGAAATGATAAAATAAATAATTTTTATTTCATAATTGCTAAAAACAAAATTTTTAAATATTTTTGTGACAAAATGATCACGATTAAGATCTATCTATTTAGCAAGGGAGTGCCACGTTTAACTCGATGTTAGAAGAAACTTCTCTATAAAAATTATTAGACAAGAATTGAACCATTTTTTATAAAGACGAACTTTATATTGTATACATTTATTTTATATTTCTTTTATATTTATTAAGTATATATATGTAAAAACATAAAATTCTTTTTGCACAGTTACGCGTGAATGCCGAAACTGAACCATTATATAATACAATAGAAATATCCGCTACAAGTTATTTATTGAACCCATTCTTTCTTCCACATTCGATCGAATTCGAAACATCTTTTTAACCTGAAAACCATTATTGCTGTCACACGTATTACTACGAAAATCTGTTCAAATTTCCATTGAAAACTGTTTTTAATGAAATATAAATCAAATTTAGAAATAATTATTTAATGGTTTAAAAGAATAGAAATGAATTTGAAAAAAAATGACGATGACAAATACAGCATTTTGCTGCCAACGTATAACGAACGTGAAAATCTACCGATCATAGTTTGGCTAATAATAAAATACATGAGAGAAAGGTCTGTGGGCTTTATTTATTCGTCAATTCATCTATTCCTTCCTTAATTCGGTCATCCATCCATACGTCCATTCATTCATCAATTCATTGTTTCATTCATTCCAATATTTCACTGTTTCATTCAGATCAGGTTTATGTTTTGTTTATGAATCAGTCAGCCATCTTGTTTCTTGTGTTTGTCTAACTAATTCTAGTAAAATAATCTAGACTCACTAATTAACTAATCTAATATAGACAAAAATTATTATGTAATATCATAATTTCCCACAGCAACTTAAAATTTGAGATCATAATAATTGATGATGGAAGTCCTGATGGCACACTTGATGCTGCTAAAGATCTGCAAAAGATTTTTGGAGACAAGACAATTGTTATTTTTGTTAATTTTTCAAAGTTTTTTTTTTAATTTTCAATATAAAGTAATGTAATAATTATCATTATAATTATAGTAAGAGGTCTGCAAAAGAATTAAATTTTTTTTATTATTATTTGGTATTTTCTTTTTAAACATTTTTTTTAATTATTATCATTTTATAATATTATTTAATCTAAGGTCCTTAGGCCAAGAGAAAAAAAACTTGGTTTAGGTATGTTTGTATGCTTACATCTTAAAAAATAGATAATATTATTAATAATTTATAATAATTACCAAATTATTATCTTTTTTATTAAACACAGGTACAGCGTACATGCATGGCTTGAAGCATGCTACTGGAGAGTTCATTGTCATCATGGATGCTGACTTATCACATCATGTTATTATTATTGCTGAATTTTATTTTATTGATTAGTTTTTTAATTGGTTTGCTTGTTTGTTTGTTTGATTGTCTGTTTGTTTGTTTTACTACATAGTTTACTCAAAAATTCATATTAATTTTCCAAGTTAAATTGAATTTTTATTTAATTGTTTTAGCCAAAATTCATTCCGGAGTTCATAAAGTTAGTGTCTTTGAATGAAGTGAACCATTAACGACATCAATCCAATAATGCATTCATACAATGTTTCATTTTGCATTTATAGCATCTTTATTGATTATTGAATCTCTTTGATTTATTGATTCAGTTGCTGAATTATTTCTTCCTTCAATTGTTCAATCACTCACTGATTTTTTCTAGAAAACAGAAAGAATCAGATTATGACATTGTCTCAGGCACCAGATATGCTCGAGGTGGTGGAGTTTATGGCTGGGACCTCAAAAGAAAATTTATCAGGTCAGTTCATCTTTTTATTTTTTGAACAAAATAATAGATATGAATAATTCTGCTAATTTGAATAATTATAGTACACTGCATAAATGAATAAATTGTAATAATTTCTTCAAATCTTTCAGTCGCACAGCTAACTACATCGTTCAAGTTCTTCTCAGACCCGGTGCCTCTGACTTGACAGGCAGTTTCAGGTTGTAGATAGAGATAATAACCTTCAAATATTCATTGAGATATATCAACACATTATTATCATTATTTTTATTATCCGTTTTGTTCATATATATGTTATCAACTGTATCCGTTTCATGATAATATTACTAACATATTAACATAGTTGGACTTTCTTTGAACGTGAATTTAGTTGACCTACATTTCTTAGATTATACAAACGAGATGTGCTGGAAAAGTTGATAACTTCATGTACATCAAAAGGTTATGTGTTTCAGATGGAGATGATAGTTAGGGCCAGGCAGCTCTCACTCACTATTGCAGAGGTATCATATCATTAACATCTATTAATTTAATAATTTAAAAATTACGTTGCTCTGCGGATCATTTATGAATTGCATTGTTATCCATAAATTTAAGTTGTATTAATGTTTCTTTTTTTTCTTTTACAAGGTTCCAATATCTTTTGTTGATAGAATGTATGGAGAGTCTAAACTAGGAAGCAATGAAATCATTCAGTACCTAAAGGGACTTTTATACTTATTTGCAACGACGTAACATACGTCCTATTTAATAAACAGAGCGCTATATAAATAAAATATTTTAAAATTAATTGTGGATTTAGCTTTTTTTGTTATATAATCATATTAAATGTAATCGTATAATTACTTTTATAATGAATTTGTCCGGTCTATGAAGATTGTTGAATCCAAATATTAAAATATAATTTTTATTATGATTAATATTGTTATTATGAGCTGTATTTTAATTTATTTTTGTTTCTAAATTTTAAATAAAAAAAATCCTGTAGTTTTTTTTTGAACCATAATAAAAACATTCAACTTCATTGAATGATTTGAAATTTTTAAAGGACATCAAACGGCAAAGTTATCATGAATGTTGGCCTGAGTACCCTATACAATGCTTACAAAGTGGATGGATGTTTACCACCGACAAAGTCCTAAAATGTTGGCAAAAATATTTTCCTCGTTACATTTCCGTCGTTACGATGTGGTAAAGTCGTGTCATCTTCCATGGTCAAGAGATCTAGCATTGCATGAATGGATATAGTAGCACACTACCTGTTTAACTCACTGATACTTTCAAAATATAGAACCGTCTGTAGTATGTAGCTCGTGACGGTAACTGTTCAGCCGATTATACTGCGTAGTTCATAGCGATAACAATTCGTATTTAAAAACCAAGTGATGAATATACCTTAGTTTATTGACTAAGTTAAGAGCTGTCTTTTACCGTTTCAATAACAAGATTTCAAAACGACGAGCATTTATTCGTTTAAACTACTTTTTCTTTAAAAATTATTATACTCTTATAATAATATACTATTTTGGTTTTATTTCAATTGATTCATTCTTGGATTCTTGAAAAATAAAAGAGTTTCCACTATCACCGCCATCAGATGAGGCGTTAAAACCATTGTAATCATCATTATCATTCTTATCAGCATTAACATCATTGACAGACAGTATACACAATAAACATGAGGATGATTGCGACGACGCCAGTATCTTATGAGCTTGCAGACACGAAGACTTGAAGTGCATTAAATTTGGTTCTAGAACATTCTTAGCTGCATTTAACTCTCTTTCTGTTGGATTCTCAAGGAAGAGGGGAGAATATTTCAATGGTGCTGACGATGTGGAAAATGGTGACAATATATTCGAGCCAGAAAGGTCAGCGTCGTCAGTAGCAGTTGATTGAGTAAGGTCAGATCCAGAGGTTTGTTCAGTTGACAATAACTCTTCAGCAGATCTGTCGGTGAAGTTACCTTCGTACACTGATATGCCGCGTCTTATGAAATCAAACTCGGAATAGAATTTGAAGAAGTCCAGAAGTAACGTTTCTGTGTTGAATGAAAATATTGGAAACATAATTTTTCACTTCAGTTGTTGCATACATTATTGCCATCACAAATTATTGAGAATTTGAAAATAGTGTTAAACAAATGACTACAATAATAAATTAATAAAATTAACGGGTTATCAGATACTTTAATTTATTATTGTAACATCAGATTTAAATGAAAAAATTCAAAGTCAACAGATTTTCATAAAAAAGAATAACAAACCTAAACTGACATCTGATGAACCTTTTTTAACATTACCTTTATTATTATTATTATCATTACAATTATCATCTAAATGTTTAAGTGGAGGCAGCAATCTAGATGAATGTCGTTGAAGATGGAATACAACGAGTAGAGTTAGCATAAAATTACTGAGCCATGGTCCAGGATTTGATCTGGTAATCTCATGGGACTTTGCCCACTGCCTAATCGTGAAAATTAGAGGAAGGATGTGTTTGTGATGATGACAGGCTCTGTACATGTAGTCGGACATTTCTAAGGCCTCACTGTGTGCATTTGTTTGTGTATTGGAATTTTAAGGTTGGCATTATGTAGGTAGAAACATTGTTGCTGATAGTATTTTATAAATGTAAAAAAATCAACTTTTAATATAATTTTTTCCTTAGAAAATAATACAGAGGTAATTTATTTGCAAGAAAAAATTTATTTATTAAGAATTTTGAAATTTATTGATTATGAAAATGTAATTTGAATAAATGAACATTCATAAAAAATTCAGTAACATATTTCCAAAGCACAGGTCACATTCAATATCAGTGGCAGTATGGGTGAATTTAACAATAGGCACCCTTGCTCTCAAGATTAATCGGATGTTCATCATTTGTGGACAGAGATATTTCAACATGGTGCCAAATATTTCTAGAACCTGTTGAGAAAAGGTTCTTTCTGATTCTGGTCTTATTTTGCTTATGAAGTATGATGTGTTGCTTTTTATTGGTCCAGTGTTGAAGCTGCTGCTGCTATCCTCTGGTTTCTAACAGAAGTCATCATTAAAAGAAGTATTGATTTAATGGATTATAATTGTGGAATGAAAGTAAACTAGGTAAAATAATTTAAAATTTGAATGATTGGAAAAAAATCAAATTAAAAAAAGAACAAACAAAGCCAAAACATCTCCACCATATTTTCCAGAGTGAGGTTCATGTCGACATCTCCATTAAATCTGCCTAACCCACTAACAGATGACCCAAAGAGGTGCACCTGACAGTCAGGGAAGAGTCTTCCAACTAATCTCTCAACTTCTGCTGCCAGGAAATATCGAAGTTTAACATCTAACATTGACATTGATTGCATTCTGTACAGTGTTTTCATCTGGCTTTCAATCTAAAAATTATAAATTGTTTTTATATAAAAGTAGAAAAATGAAACAAATAAAATCGGATAAGAATATATATATATATATATATATATTATATATATATATGTATATATATATATGTGTGTGTGTTTATATATATAATGAGTTGTAAAGAAAAGTGTTTGAATCAAAAATTAAGTTGAAAACATAAAATCTAACATCAGGACATGTTGCGAGCAACTCATCACTAAGTTCATTCACACCAAAGTTTTCAACACTGTAAATTTTTAAACTTTTGCTGTTAATGAAATTTTTCTGATGCCTATTTGGTCGAAAATTATATTGAAAAAATAGGCAGTGGCTCTTCAGAGGAATTCGTTGTTTGTTCGGGAAGTGGGATGTGTGTGAGAGGAGACGACCAACAGTTTGCTCATCATTGAATTCTATTAGAGAATATTGCTGGAGAGGATGATATATGAACAGTATTAAAACTTTTGCTATTTGGTTATTAATTAAGTAACTTTGAATCTAAAATTTAAAAAATTACTTTATCAAATCTAGTGAAAAAAAACACAGAGTTAATTCTGCCATAATTTTGACAGAACTCAAGCAAGGATGTTTGGCTAGATGAATAAACAAAGAGGACACTCCTTAAAGCTTCCAACCTTCTATTTCTTTGAATGAATTCAAGTGAACCTAGACAAATATTGTTAAAAATTAGATAAATATTTGAAACATATCTTAAAGTGTAAATAAGTCTAGTGGTTTTTTTATTAAATTAAAAAAAACTGGCCACTGAATTAAACCAGTTTTAATTTTTAAAAGATTAATTTTGTACTCATACTAATCATCATTCATCACCTCATTACATAAATAAAAATAAAATCAAACCATAGAAAACCAGAATCCACAAATGCTAATAAATGAACTTTAATATGATTTTAAAAACCAATTAATAAACAGAAAAAACTAATGGTAAAAAAACAAATAGTAGATGAATGAAAAATATAGAAATTAAAAATAGAAAACTTAAAAGTTAGTTTACCTGTATGAGAGGTTCTGGAAGACAAGACATCTGATCTCAACTTGTTGAAATATCGCTTCGATGAACTGAAAAATATTCTAACAAGGGAACCGCTAAACATGTTAGAATATCAAACAAACAACATATAAATCATAATGAGGCATGGAGCTGGCCATTAGGACATTACCTAACTTAACTTTTAAATTACAAAAATATTTAAAAGTAAAAACTTCTGTCCGGCCATTTATGACGTATTTATTTTATGTAAATGGTGTATTTTATTTTCTGCGGTTTCTAAATTTAAAAAAATATAGTTTAATAATAAAAATTTTGACGTTATATAGTTCAATTTTCAACTTTGTAACGCTAATCTTTATGCTAATTTTTTAAGCATATTTGTCGATCTTTGGTTTCCGCCATTTTATCTATATATCGCTGTCGGTTGGAGATTGTCAGAACTGTTTTTGCCACTTATTTTATTTACAACAATTGTTGAAATAAAATGGAAAACGAGGAGAATTCTACTGACGCTGACCTTATTTACGTTGGAGAGGAATACATCGATCAGGAGGATGCGAACAACGTGGTGAACGTTGCCGACGAGACTGAATATATTTCGTTCGAAAACGAAAACAATCCGGATGACGCAAACGAAATTGAATGCAGCATTTATTCGGAGAGTGATGCAAAAGAATTTGCGGATGCGAGCGAAAATAAAGATGATCAGAACGGCAATGGAAAGGTCGAGAATTTGATGGTGGTAGACGAGTGGGATGATGACGATTTGGATCAAGATGAGGATGATGAAGGTTCAGCCTTTTTTTATGATGTTATTTATTTTTATCTTATTTATTTTTATATCATTGTTTATATGTCAATATAATAACACTCAATGCGTGTTTCCATTAATTTTTTACTGCCCAAGTCCTATATTTTTCTTTTTGTATGTTTTTTTAAAATTTAATCTTCAAAATTTAAAGATTTCATTATTTAATCCTATTGATAATTTTTAATGAAATAATTTATTTCAATTTCAAGGTGAAGAAAACTATGACAAAGATGCACTGAACCCAGAAGAGATGGAGCGAGTGCTTTTGAACATGCCGACTATGAAGATTCTAATGGATGGTCTGTTAATATTTTTTTTATCAAATAATTTTTTTTATTTAAGGATGAGTAATTCAGGCAAAATGATATGCCATATTTAGAGGAAATTTTATTTAATTTAAAAGCAAGATAGCATACACTTTATAATGTATTTTTGTGGGCTTCTAATTCATTATTTTCTCATCTTGTTAATGGATTTTCTTTCAATTTATTCATGAATTTACATCCCAGATGTTGGTCACCTAAAGCAGAACAGAAAGGTAATAATATCCCCAATCAGCATGGTTGATTTCAATAATGATTTGTTGCAGTCAGTTGTCAGTTGGACAACTCTTGAAGAAATTAAAGTTGCATATGCTAGAAGTTATCAAGATAATAATTCTATGATTGGGTGAGTAAGATGCTTTTGCCCATTATTTGACAGTGATAGCTTCAAAAAATAAATTTACATTATTTAATCTTAATGTAAAAAATGTATTTGTAAATTTTTATTTTTAATTGTCAGAATTCTGATGTTGCACTTCAACACCTCAACCTCAGCCAGTAATGCTGTGGAGTATTTGAAAGATTTGAAGGAAGACATAAGCATTAAATTGGATACTAACTCACGTTTGTTTAATTTTTAATAACATTTTTTTTTAATTTTATAATTTTCCATGTCTTGAGCTTAGCAGTCGTCTGTTTTGTAAAAAATATTTTAAGCGTTGACGGTTTGATGTCATTAAGAACTGATCATTGTCAAACTTATAATAATGGCAAAATAAAAATAACACTTTGATATTAAATCTCAAATATTTTTTCTGATTTTAAAAAATTACAGATAGGTTGATGGAAGATTTCCTTGACAATGTCAGGAGCAAAAGTATGAAAATTTCATTAGACATTCTCTCACTCAACACACAACAATGGGACACTTATTTAGTATTTCTCTTGAGTTAAATTCACTGGTGACATGCACATCAACATGTATTTTTTACCTGTCCCTTTCTTTTTTCTTATTTCATTAAGTGACAGTAAATTGATTCTTTGATCTTACTGATTTCTTTTCTGTTCCTTTTCAATTTAATGGTCTTTGATGTATTCTTTAACTCTTATCTTCATCTCAATCATCTTTTATTTAATCAATTCTTCCTAGAATTGACATCTTAACCTCTGACTTTAAATGTTTGTTGATTTTTTTTTGTGTGTATAAAATTAACACTTTAACCTCACCTGATCTACTCTACTAGCTTTTTATATTCTCACACAATCACATTAATATCTCCACCCTATACTTAAAACCACAGAACGTTGGACAGACAATGTAGCAGTCTTGAAGAACCTAACAAATGATGTAACTGTGGAGTCCATCAAGGAATTATTTCCCAATGTCGAGGATGTTGTTCTACATCCGGACCCCTCGTTCAAACGCCCATCTCCAAGTTCTACTAACAAGGAACTCGCGGATTCAACTACGGCTACCACTACACAGTCCAATGCTGATAATACAGATGGCAATGCAGCTTCTACGACCACTGCTCCTGTTACCGCTGCTACTACCACTAACAATGACATTGACGATACTACCATTATTGTTGATATTACTGAAAACAGTAACCAGGCCAACGATTCTAACATGGAAGTCACTGAGGCGACTGCAGGGGCTACAAAGACTGATTCAACAACTACAGTTGCTGCCACTGCCACGACCACCACTACTACGTCTTCTACTACTACTACAAGTAGTAGTGCTACTGTGGTAACCACAACTGGCACAACGAGTCATACTCCTAAAGGGTAATGACCTATCAAGCAGTATTCTGTTTATATTTTTATGGACTCTTTTTTGTATGTTTGTATGCGTGCTTGTAAATGTATTCTTTTTAGCAGTTGATGTTTTCCATTTTAAGAGGCCTACATCCATATTGTCGTCTGCCTGATCGACTGAATTTGTAATATGGAGTAAAGCAATATCAGCTCCCTACATACGTTATGAACCATCCAATCATACTTGCTGCTTTTATTGTATGGATCGTGTTAAGCACAAGTACTTGATATGGGTATCTATCTACGACTTTAGCAGCCCACTAAAATCTGGTCCTTGCTTTTGTAGTTAAAATTTTTCAGCCAACTGTTCCTAAACATAATAATTATTGCGAGGAGATTTTGTTTACAACACAACTGGCATTCATTTAATCACTTTTTTACTTCAATTTTCAAAATTCATTGATTTATATTTCATTGATTTTTTTAAATTAGTTAATTAAATTGATTGCATCAAGTTGTTTCTCAGCGTCATGTGAGTTGGGCTAGATGAGCCCTTCATGTCACATCAGATATGTTATGTCATATTATTATGCCATATTATGATTCAACAACTTTCAATTGTTAGCATAAAATTCAAAAGCATATCTGAGTTGAACGGCCTTATAATTTCTGGACCATTTATTGCAAACTTTTAAATGAATTCTCTAATTATTATTTATTGTGAATTCATTTCATTAACCATTTCTTTTTATTAATCATAATTTTATAATAACATAGCTATCAATAATGTCGTTATCATTATCATCACATGTGTATTTATATGCACACACACTCCTCATTACAGTTATGCTTACCTTATCTTCTCAAACGAGGATGTGATGAAAGCAGAAGTTACAGAGGCAGCCAGCAAGAAGATGGAATTGTGTGGGCATCGAGTCCTGCTTGCAGCTTACAGAGTGCCTGTCCACTCCATCCCCAGATGTATGTGTCTCCTTTTCTGCTTTGATCTAATGCTTAGCTTGATGAATTATGTTTTGCTGTCTAACTGCAGTGCTTCTTGTTAGCGTTGGCTCAGAAGCAATTGGTTCATTAAGTGTTTGTAATTTGTTAAAATGTCATTCATGTGTCAGTTGCATTGCACCTGCTTGATTGACTGTCTTCTCTCAAAATACGTTCGTGACTCTCTGTGTGTTGCTCTCATGTTTAATTTTAATCCATGTCTTCTTTCGTCATATTAGTATGCATTGGTTATGATGCCGGCAAAACTGAATGAATAAATTCATAAACAGCATACCTGAGGTTGAAAGAGAGGAAGGTAATCATGAAGCACATGGAGAAATGTCAGGAAAAATTAGAAGTGGCCAAAAATGATGGGTCCACGAAGGCTGCCACTAAACTAGAAGAGGTCGGTTGGTTAGGTGGATGAAGATGATGATGATATCATTGTGATATCCTGAATGTGAATGATTACATATTGAATGAACATGAATGAAGTAGTGTCTATGTGGCATCTTTGCAATAATGGTGATGACGATGATGATGATAATGCAGTAACTTGCCATGCACAAACTTTTACAGAGAATTCAGCAGTGTCAGTTAGTGATTGAACGAGACAACAAGTGCAGAAAAGATATGGACCTTGAGTGCCCATCCCTTGATGAAATCAGGCAGATGACAGGGCTGCCCCCAGTAGATTCTAAATCATTCCAAAAGATTCTCATCAGGTTTGTTTTTCACCTGATTAATTGATGGACGGGTGGTTTCTGGATGAATGAATGAAATTCATTTTTGTGGAATTTTGACGTTTTTATTTTATTCGGTATATTCTCTGCCATAATAATTAACGTAATAATTTGTTTACAAATTTTAGATTTGGTATAATAAAAGAGAAAAGGAAGAAGTCGCCAGCACGCGTGGCCAACAGTGGTGCCAGCGATAGGAGGAGGAGCAATGTGAAAGAGGGTGGCGGAGATAGAAGGACAGGTTCTCCAACTTTTTCATTCAGTTTTGTTTGAGTGTGTGTGCGTGCGTGTTTGCGTGTATTTATTTGCATATTTAAAAGTGTTTTTGTTGAATGTAGATATGCATAAAATAATATTAATGTTCAATGTGACAATTATAACAACAATTAACACAACAATTATAATATCATTAATAAATGTTGACTTATTAGTTTTGAAAATCTCAGGTAGGGGCAGCCATAACAATGGTGGAAGAAAATCCCCGTACAACAAAAATCGTCGATCGCCATACAACAGCAACAACAACAACAACAACAGCAATCGTAACAAGAGGTCGTGGGGTAGCAGTAATAATTATGGAGGCAACAGAGGGCAGAGGTCAGGAGGGGTTGGAAGAAATATGCATCCTCAGTCTCTGTTGGGGTATGTGTATGTTGCTTGTGTGTGTGTTTGGGTCGTTTGTGTGCCTGCTTAGTTCAAGTTATCTTGTTGAAGTTGCATTTATATTTGCTTGTTAGCTGTTGTGTGTAAATACTTGGTTATTTTTATCTGATATTGTGGTTTTCTCATTGAATACATTCATTGAATTATATTTGGTCCATTACATATCATGCAAACATTCACATACAGGAGTGGAAGTAACATTGTGAACCCTCTATCATTACTCATGCAACCTAACCTCGGCATCCTTGGGTGAGATAGTTCTTTCAATTCACTTCTATTTCGTTACGCACTTTATATTTAAAATTTTTTATAATTTAAGTTAAGTTAATTCATATATTGAAATAAAATTATGAAAAAATGTAATAATTTTCACGATATTTTCTTGTATTGGAGAGATTTATTTTAATCTATGAAGTTGTATGAATGAGCCTTAATAAAAATGTACAAGTTAATCATTTTATATTTTTCTCCATCTCAAATGACAGTTCTGGCAATGTACTGAACCAGAGTATGTTGATGCAGTCTGCAGGGGGCATGGGGGGGATGTTGAATCCAGGTGCCGGCCTCCTCGGTGCTCCATACTCAGCTTTAGGTGGGTTAGGAGTCGAGGAGAATAAAAATAAATTGATCAGGCTTGACGCCACTGGTACTTTTTATTCTTTTTTGTATTTTATTTTTAGCTATTTTTTTTATTTATTTATCAGTATAGATTTTTTTTGTTGTTTTACGTCTGCCTATCTGTCATGTTTTGTTTCATTGTAGTTGGTTTTTTCTTTACTGAATTTTTGGTTCATGTATATTTTCAGTTGAATTTTCATATTAGGATGAGTATTTTTTCATAATCAATTTCATCTCTATGATTTTTGTTTCTATTACTATTGATAGTTCTCGATAATGAGACTATTTTTAACATTCAAATAGCTTTTTAAATTTAATTTTTTCAGAAGCATAAATTAAACAACGTCGCAAACGAATCCGTTCAGTAAAAAATCACATTTATCGACCGACCGAAATTCATGCAGGGAACTTCAGACCGGCAAACATGGGAGGTGGTGGAATGGGTGGTTCCAATCGATACGATGATAGGAACCGTCGGATGGACAACAACAGATTCAGAGATTCCGCCGGTGGTAACAGGAGAAAATCAAGGTCACCTGGAAGGTCGAGGCAAGCAGCTGTTTCAGATTTTGACGGCAGAGGTGTAGATGATGATAGTTCTATCCCTGTTAATATGCTTTTGAGCCTAAGTCAAATGTTGTCGTAAGTCTTCTTGCTATTTTGAAAGACCTCTTTGCTGTTTTTGTTGCCGATGTTGTTGTAACTTTTTCGGTGTTTCAGAGTTTGATTATTAGCGAAATAGAGATATTTGTAATTTTTTAAAGAAAAAATATTTTAAGATCAGAAAAGAAAAAATTATTGTTTTTAATAAATTTTAAGAACTGTAGTAGATTGTGAAGAAAGTATTGATGGTTATATCAAACGCTGCATGCAGTGTATTATGCATTGATTAATTTTTGATGAAATTGTTAAGTTAAACGGTAGCTATCATAGGTAGGTAATCTTGAGCAGCATGTCATTATGCTCCCTTGCTTATTTTAAACTATTCACACTAACTCATTAAAGATATGTTTTAGGATAAAAGTTCAAATTTTAACACCCAAGACTTTGTCAATTTGTGTTTAAATTTGTGGAAAAGTATGTTAAAATGTTGACATTAAAAGCGCGCACAAACAAATAGATGTTCAGAAACAATGTATTTTGATTATTTTAGATTATGTGTTAATGTTTTATTTACAACCGCTTTTGTTTGAGCAGGCAGAAGATGGACCAGAAACGACAACAGATAGAGAGGAGAGGCGGTCAGCAAGGCAGAGGAGGTTGTTCGTGTTGTCATCTGCTGAATTTCACTTTATGTTCTTTTATTTCCAGATCATATAACGTATCCTAATTATTACATTTCCAAACGAAACCGTCCAAGGCACTGTTATTTTTATACTAGTAAATCGTTATGAGCCATTAATCTCACCTCAACATTTATTATTTCTACAGATTACAGAAACAGTCAGCACTAGAATGAACGTACTAGCAACATTATTGTAGGGATGCATGTGTGCGTGATTATCGAACAGCTGAATGCTATGTATTAGGATTACACCTTTTTAAGGTGCACGTGATAATTCACTTCACATTTATACACAAACACCGCATACACACAGAAATATATTGACATTAGCTCTCGTGTACAATTTGGTTAAGTTTTTAATGCTGTTATTGTTGATGTTTCTTAAAGAATGATTGAATGAATGTTGTGTTCGGTTTTTGTTAGTTTTTAGTAGAAATAAACGAAGCCGTACCGTGTTAGATGTTTGTATTTCGCCTGCTTCGTATTGAAGCCTTCCAAATTTAAACATTTTAATGTATTAACGTTAAACAAAGTTACATTTTTAAACGAAGGATATCAATAAAGATGACAATTTTCATACTTAACAACTATTTAATTTTTAAACACGCGGCCCTGCTAAATACATAGTGAAATTAGAGCTACATACAAGATTCTCGATAGGTTTCTAGGAAACGATCAAAGCACTTTTTTTTATCCAAGTCTACGGAAGCGACAAAGGTCATCCTTTATACAAGCGCCCCTGAAGCTATGCATTAATGATAATAATGAAAGTGAGATAGTTAATAAGACACCGCGACAATATCAGTAACTTCTGCCAAAAATGGTGAAGAATTGAGGTTTGTTGGTGCAGTCAGGTCCGATGCATTTATCAGTTTCTTTGATGTTGGCTGGTTGTTGGAAAGGAATGCACAACCCTTTGGCTCCCATGGCTGGTCCCCCCTCCTCCGTCACCGCATCCCTATTTTGTTATCATCGTGTGTTTCAATCAGACAGATTGTAAGTTAATTTCAGTCAATTTAAGCTTTTTGAAAATTTTAGCATAGTATAGATGTACAATACGACTTCACTTGCTAATTCATGCTACTTTGTGAATGCGATTCTCTTTATATAAAATGATATTATACATATTTATCTAACTTTCGCGCTATGAACGCTTTGTTTTGCCTTGCTGTTACAAAGAATAGCGGAAAAATTGTTTTATGGTGGCCTTGCCTTTAATAAATTTGCTGACTAAATACTTAGTAAAGTGAAATATCATAACTATAAAATCTTAAAATAAATGTGTAAAATGAAAAACTAGTAAGAAATGAACGACGAATCAAAACTCGATTGAAACCTGGCACTGAGCTTTTTAATTTGGTCCTCACACGCAATCTCACCGCAGAACGGAGCCGCAATAATTTTCTTCCTCTCTAATTCAGCACACAATTCATCGAAGTTGTAACATGTTGCCATGTTGTCCGTCAGTTCCTTCTTGGCTCTGTCACATTTACAATTTACATTTTTTACAGGCTTACATTTTGTTTTAAGTCAGCCATGCATTACTTTACATTTTATTACGAATATTATACGTTAGATATATTATACGATAGCTTATTTACTTATAATTTTCAATTTATATTATAGGGCGTTCACACATCCATTAGAAAATGTTTTCATTTACATGAAGTTACGGTTGTAACTTTTTTAATCAAGTTTTTAAAAAAGTAGCAAAATCGCGTAAAACAAAAAATAATATAAAGCATGCATTATAAGCAATTTACTTGTTGAACATGCCCTCCTGAATGGTCTTCAACAGTGCACTGATGCTTTCAGTTGCCCCGTCAAATTTTATGGTCAATTTTTCACCCGTGTCCCTTCTTACGGCCACCATTTCATTTTTTTGCACATCCCTAGGTCCTATTTCGATCCTAATTGGTACTCCCTGATTAGAAAAATTTGAGTAGATTAGAGAATAACAATCAATCAAATCCTCACTATCGTTCACTAAAGTTTTATGAACAAACAAAACATTGAATTGAAATAAAGAATAATTATTAAAAAAATGATAGAAACCTTAAGTTCCCAGTGGTTAAACTTCCAGCCAGGACTGTAGTTGTCTCTCAGGTCAGCAGAGGCTCTGATGTCAGCCTTCTTCAATGTGCTCACCAACTGGTTACATTTTGTCATCAAACTTTCTTTCTCCTCTTCTTTCAACTGGGCCGTTACACCACATGTAATTACGATTACCTGGTTGGCCGTGGTGTTAATATTATGAATAATTACTATTATGAATAATAAAAAAGATTATTGATAATAAAACAATTTGAACAAATTAAAAGTTTGGAAAATCCAAAGTGCAGAGGCATTCGTGTATACTATAACATATGCCCACCTGAATAGAAGCAATCTTAGGAGGCAGAACCAATCCCTTATTATCACCATGCACCATAACAATTATACCAATCGATCGAGTCGTCAGGCCCCAAGAATTTTGATGAGCAAAATGTTTCTCATGAGTTTCCGGATCTTCAAAGGAAATGTCGAACATCTTTGAAAAGTTTTGTCCAAGGTGGTGGGATGTGGCAGCCTGGTAATAATTGCAATAGTGAAAATACTAACAATAAAAATAACGCAAAGCAGTCATGCAGCCAGCCAGCCAACCTGAATTCCTCGGCCAGAAGCAGCCACATAAGCTTCAACTGTGGTCGTGTAGTCGCCACCAGCAAATTTTTCTTTCTGCGTTTTCTTACCTTTGATAACAGGGATGGCCAAGAGATCTTCATAAACTGATGCATAAAGATCGAGAATGTAATACACCTGAGAGAGGGTGTGTGTGTAGGGTATTAGTTGGATCGTAATTTTGAATTTCAATGTTTGTTACGATTTTCTTTTTAAATTATAAATAACTAACCAATAAAATTAGTCCCCAATCAACTAATCAGCTGATCCCATCAGCCTCCAATTAATCTATCAACCAACCAACCAATTAAATCAGTCCCAACCAACCGACCAACCAACCACCAACCAACCAACCAACAAATTCTCTCACCTCCTTCTCAGCATCTGGATAATTAGCATGAGCAGAATGCCCCTCTTGCCACAAAAATTCTCTGGTCCTCAGGAATGGTTGTGGGTGTTTGAACTCCCATCTCTGACAGTGGGTGGTGGGGTGAGTGAATTATTAGTGCATTGCTAGATGAATTAGGGAGTGAATGATTGAGGTGTGAATTATTGAATGAATTACTGATTGATTATTGTGTAAAAACAGCAAAAAGCAAAATATATTAACAACCAATAACAGCGACAACCAACCACAACATTGCACCACTGATTCAACTTGATTGGCAGATCTCTGTGAGACTGAACCCATTTTGCATACGACGGGTACATCACTGTTTCACTGGTTGGCCGGATTGCTATTGGCTCTGCTAATTCAGTCGTTCCTGATTTTGTTACCCAGGCCACCTGATGTTATAAATGTTATTATAGTTGATATTGTAATCATTTATAATGCAAAACATAATTTAACGAGTAGAAGCCAGCAATAATAAATGGAATGATGACAAAACTAAACAACCTCAGGTGCAAAATCAGCAATGTGAGACTTCTCCTTCTCTAGAGCAGCATTTGAAACGAACATTGGGAAGTAGCAGTTTTCGAAACCAATTTTTTTAATTTCAGCATCAAACCAGGCCTTGATTCTCTCCCAGATGCTGTAGGACCAGGGTCTGAGCACGTAGCAACCACTTACGTCATAATATTCAATCAGCTCTGCCTTCGTTATCACCTTATTTTATGGACAATATTGTGGTTTTATCATCATCATCATTCTTATCATTATTCAAGCTAGTTGGTTGGTTGGTTAGTTAGTTAGGTGTAAGGACATACTTAATTGTATGTGAAAGATTTCATATGAAGATTTTGTTAAGTTTGAAGTGGAATGTATTATATGAAAATAACTGCTTTGTTTAGTACAATCACAATCACAATTTAAAAATATTGTTATGGGGTGAAAGCAAACTCATTTATATAATTAATAAATATTGTTTTGGGGGAGGAGCTTACTTGAGAATACCAATCTGACAAATTTTCTTCCTTAGTAAATTCCAAACCTAACCTTTTGATAATAAAAATATAAAAATAACAATTATAATAGTTACAAAAACATAAATAAATATTTACATAATGAATCAATCATCGTTTAGCGTCCAGAGACCCAGTTCTCCCGAGGTAGGACGTACTTAATGAATAAACTAGCAATAAAGAAAGCATAAGTCCAAAACCCATTATCAAACCAATTAACAACAAAACAATTGCTTACATTAAATAAAAATTGGTGATAATATTAATAAATAAATAATAATATAAATAAATAAATAATGGTATATGAAACAATTATTACCTAGTAACTTTTTTGGCTAGGCTGTCCTGTTCCTGATTTGAAAGTGGCTTCTCACTTTTTTGCTTCTTTTGTTGGTCTTTCAGTTTATTCTTCAGTCTGTCCAGCTCCTTCTTAACTTCATTGGCTTTGTCCTGAAAATAATATAACAGTAATAATTAATAATATTAATTATAAGATACAATTTGAGAGGCCTATAATTTACTAATATTCTTAAAACATGTTCATATGTCTTAAAAAGAATTAAAATATTGATAAATTTTCTCATTTTTCTTGACATTATGGATGCCCTTTTAAAATTTATTTGCACTTAATTAAAAACAAATCTGCTGATTAAATAAAATAATCACCAAAAAATATATTTAGAAACTTAATTAATAAAAATTAGTCAACAGTTTTCAATACTTTTTCATTCTCAGTTTTCAACTTTTCAAAATCTTTCTCAAGTTTTTCTATGTTCATCTGTAGCTCTGCAACAACGTCTGCCATCTTCTTTATTAATTAATTCTGTTTTAATAAAAAATAATCGACCAAAAATTATTTTTATTTGATAATTTCAACTAATTAACAAAAATATTCATCAAGACAAGATGCAACATCATAGCAACCATAAACTTTTATTTAAACTTCAAAAGCTCTCTTCTACTAAGTAAGCGAGAGTAACACTTTGTATAGTTAAAATTTTTAAAGAAAGACGCAATCTCAAAAAAATTTTATTTCACTTTCCTACATATTTGAAAAAATTTGATCAAATCAAAAGAGAAACCAGATTTAAAAGAAAAAACTGACTTATCAACAATCATAACATATAAATTTTAAACATATTTATTAATTAAAGAAATCAACAACTAAATAATAATTAAAACAAAATACCTCCAGAAAATGTCAATCAAACAGGTGAAATTCAATTTATGAATGAAATTTGACAGAAAAAAGAGCGACAAATAAGACCGACGAGGAAGAAGATGGCAAGACAGCAACAAACGAAGATGACGAAATCTGCACACGTGTTGCAAAACCATTCATAGGGGATTGGTTCATTTCATGTAGCGTTCAAATACACTGAACTATAGTAGCTCAGTGATACTGAGTGAGACCAACCTTCATCAGCCTATAATGTCTAATGCTAATGCTTCGAGTGTTTTTTTACTGTTTCACATTCACAACGGGATAAAATTATGCAGTTATATCTATTAAGCAGCATATTTTGCAACAAAAAAGAACATTTTTTTTCTAAGAAATGAAGAAAAAAAAAGTTCAATAAAATGTTGGCACTTGTTGGCAATGTTTAGCTTTATCAAACATCAAAAACGTTTTTGACATTACAAAATCACAACGATGCTGAGATGTGGTTATCTTCAAACACATTTTCATAGCAAACTAACGAAATTCTTAATAGCATTTATATTAAAAATGCTTCAGACTATTGTTATTCAAATCAAAATTAAGAGAGAGGATGATCAAATTAAAGACAACTTTCTCGTGACTCTGCGGAGGTGTGTCATCTTCATCGTCGTCGTCATCGTCACATACATACATACATACATAAATACATATATACATACGTACGTACGTACAAACATACATGCATATGCATACATACACTACATGCAGATACAGGCTACAAGCAAACATACCGTTCACGATTATTAATAGCACACTGTCTTATTAAGAATCGTGATTTGGATTCTAAATAAAATAAATTTTGTGAACAGATATTAATAGATATGTGACAAGTTCAACTTTCAGTTTATAACACAGATTCATATTTTAAAATTTGTTAAGGTAAAGTTTGCTAAAAATAAATTTTTTAAACATAAGGGTACATTTGCTTTCTAAAAATATTTCTTCACAACTCAAAGTCTAGCTTCTCACCCTGTTATGTTAAATGCTTGCATTAAACACGTTGCACACACATACTCATACATGTACTGTATACATACATACATACATATTAAGTACCATGCTTACGCAGATGATATTCAAATAGTAATTAGTGGTAATCCAGATACATTTCAGAGAGAGATAGACAAACTTGTTGAATGTCTGACCAGAGTCGATGAATGGATGTCAAACAACTGTCTCAAACTGAATCAACATAAATCGCAATTCCTTCCCATTGGCACTTGGCAACAAATGTCAAAACTCAGTATTGATTCAGTCATGATACAGAATGAGAGTATTACGTTTTGCAACAAGGCAGCAAATTTGGGGTGCATTCTTGATTCGGGTTTGATGATGAGTGATCATGTAAAGATGCTGACAAAATCGTGTTCCATACAGCTGCAGAGATTGAAAAAAATACGTAAATCACTGGATCAGTCGACAACACAGGCTTTAATACATGCATTTGTGCATTCAAGACAGGATTACTGCAATGGTTTATTTTATGGATTGTCAAAAAAGTCTATTGCTTCCCTTCAGTCTATTCAGAATAGAGCAGCCAAACTTGTTGTAGGTAGTTCAAAATATGATCATGTTACGCCAATTTTAAATGACCTCCATTGGCTTACAGTCAGGAAAAGAATTGTATATAAACAGTGTGTTCTAATGTACAAAGCTATTCACGGTTTGCTCCCAGAATATTTAGTGAAAAAAATTAAAATTAAACCAGTAATGTCGAGTGGTATGAACCTGAGATCAGACAATGGCATTATATTGGTTGTTCCTGATACTCAGTTACAGAAAGCATCAAGAGACATTGCAGTTTCAGGACCGGTTGCATGGAACAGTCTTCCGAGATCGTTGAGAGCACTGGGGATGAAATTTGAAGCTTTTAAGAAGAATTTGAAAACTCATTTATTTTTGTTATAATTATTTCTGTTACATTTTTTAATGTTTGCATTGCCGACTCACTTATATTTCATTTGTTTTTTATTGATATTAGATAGCGCTTTTGAGAATTTTAACTTTTAATTGGCGCTTTATAAATTTTTCTTTAATAATAATAATAATATTCACATAAGCACGATGCGTCCAATTAAAAAACTCCCAACGGGAGTATGGAATTTTGGGGGCCAATTGTTTATCCAGGTGATGCCCAAAACATAATTCTTCTGATAAACTTGCAAAACTTGAATTCATTTTGCGTCGATTTCCAAACAGGACGCACTGACCCTTGTGATGGACTGCAGACGGCCTACCCGCCTCGCCTCATTTATTTTTTGAGAACGTCTCCGGACCCTGAAAGGTTAATTTTAGAAAAGATACTGCGGCCTTAAGAGCATACGACCAACAAATTTTAACTATGCTACTCTCAATGACTCTAAAATCTTTCAGCCAATATGCATCGAAACTTTTGACCAACCGATAATACCCATCTGTTTTTAAAAGAACTTATTAATAAAATTATCTTAATATCAGGAAACTCTTTAGATAAAAAATACATCAAAGAATGTATATAAGTTTTGCTTCAAAAATTTAATTCCTTTTGTATACTTGATCGGACTTTAAATAACCTTTCTTTGCGTGACCCAATAACATAGAGTATAGCAATGATTATAGCCCAATCAATGGTTAGCTAACATATTCACGTACACACATCTACACACATACACACGCACACACGTTCCTTCGTGGAGAGAGGCTGGTTGATTAAAAATAGTACAAGTTTGCACCTAAAAAATGAGCAGCGTTAATTTTTTGCAGTGCGAAGACAGGCAGACCTGAGCGTACCACCATAACCTGCCGAACCTGGCCGTAAAAGTATTTATAAAGTACAATGCAGGCAATTATTGTTATAATATATTTCATTATTATGGCACAATTTTTATCGCTGCAAGTTCTCTTTTAATAAGTACTGCCATGCCATCTGCTGACAGCAATAATCAAAATCTACTCGTCGATCGGTGTGAGAAAGAGAAGGATTCAGCAATGTGATCATTATCACCATCATCTTTTATTATTATTATTATTATTATTATGATATTATAGCCATCAATGATTATTTATTATAATCCCGTTTCAGCTGTATTCTCTCAGGCCGAGATATTTTATTCCCGAGATGTATATGCGCGCAAGAGAATGAACGAACGAATGAATAAATGAATGCACGAACGAGTTAGCCAATGAATAAATGGATAAGTTAGTGAATGGATGGGTGAAATAATGAGTGAACGAATGTACGAATGATTCAAAACAATCAATGTACAAACGAACGATTGATTGAATGAGTCAGTCGATTAAGGAATATAAATGAATGAAGACAAGAACAACGAAGGAACGACAAATGAATGAATGAATGAATGAATAAATGAATGAATGAGTGGTTGAATAATTTGTTAACTATCAATACATCACTATAACACAAACAACATCAAAAGCAGCTAAACAATGTGATGACGAAGATAAAGCCATATACAATATACGTCTCAGAATGTTTATGTTATAATTTTTTTATACAATTATACAAACATAATAAATGTTATAATAATAATAATTATTATTATTATTAGTAGTAGTAGTATTTATAATCACCTAGCAAATACAGAACAGTTAGCAACAAACATTCTCTAGAAATACAAATTATTAGCATTAGCTGAAAACATTAATTAACAAATAATTAACGTACATATATATATATATATATATATATATATATATATATATATATATATACATACATACATACATACATACACATATGTGTGTGTGTTTGTATCTTGCATAGGAATTTTTAAATAAATTAGTGCATTGCTAGCCAGCGCAAACGAAGCAGAGGTACTGGTGTTAACGTTTCATGAATTGTATGTTAATTCTAACCATAAAATAAAGTAAAATTAAAACGTTTCCATAATTTTTGTATAAAATTAAAGTTAGGATGTAAAAAGTTACGCTGAGTATAGTCATAATTCGTTCACCGGATTAATAATGATTATACTGTTGTTGTATCATTAAGACCTGACGCATGCAAGCAAATACTGTAGATTAAATTATAAGTTCGATATGCAATATACATCCAGTATCATATTATTAACTCGCTATTTTCAATCAACAAATCCGTGTAAATCGAAATAAAGCCCGCTGTATAATTAATCAATCAATCAACCGATACTTTAAACCGACGGACCGGTATTTCATACCGAATGCCCGCGATGGATCGATTCGATAAAATATCGACACAGGATTTCTTAACGGAGAACTATCACTTTTTGGCCTGCTGTACAAGGGTCGATTCGTTTTTGAGTTGGTTGCGTAGTAAGGATGTGCTGTCCGTCTGTGAGATGGAGGAGATACAAGCGATGAAAACATCAAAGAGTAAATCAGGTGAGTAAGTGCGTCGTTTATACGATTGTTCGTGTGTGTGTGTGTGTGTGTGTGAGCGCCAATCAACCAGTCACACACACACACACACACACACACACACATACACACACACACACACACATACACACACACACACACTAACATTTACAGCTCGGTTGATAGACACGATAGAGTACAAGGGCGACAGAGGCTTCCTTGCATACATGCAGGTTCTGGAATGGACCTACCCCGATGTCTTCTCGTCCATAACCGGTCTGCAAGCCACCCAACCACCGCCTGGTTCAGTAATTATTTTCATTCATTCTTCTTATTATTTTATTTATCATTATTATTATTGTTGTTATTATGAAAGAATTCAAAGGCATAGAGCAAAACGGGAGCTCTCGCAAATCAGCCGTCCTCATCCAGGAACTGCAGAAATGCATGGGCAACATCGTCGAAGACAACCTCTGTAAGAAGGAAAACATTTTTAGACTCAAGGAAACTGTTTCTAAGCTGCAAGTTAGTTTGTGTTTTTATTCATTCATTTGTTCGTTTTTTCGCTCATTTATTCGTTCGTTCGTATTCGTTCATTCAATTTTTCTTCTGCAAGCCATTTGTTTGAATGTTCATTATTTCTTTCGTTATTTGTTCACTCACTCACTCACTCACTCACTCACTCACTCACTCACTCACTCACTCACTCACTCACTCACTCACTCACTCACTCATTCATAATCATCAGAACGAGAGCGAAATGATGATAAGCGAGATGAGGCAACTGCAATCAAAACTGCAGAACCTGACCAACATCAACTGCGAACACTCAGCCGTTATTAGTTAGATGGATTGAATGAATGAACGCTTGAATGGATGAATGAATGAACAGTGGACATTTTTTATTAGAAAAACTTGAAGAGGAGAATATGACGCTGAAAGTCGAAAAAGACGAAAAGGAAAAAAAGTTGAAAGAAAAAACGAACGAACTGCTCGAGCTCTACATGAATAAAGTTAGCTGCAACAACATCAACAAGAACACCAACAACAACATCAACAACAACATCAATGACAACAATCACACCAGAAAAATAGGATACGACGACAACAAGAAGCCTCTAATATCCCCGAAACCTGCTCACACCAACAACGGCATGATTTTACAACAAGAACAGAAACAACAAAAAAAAACGCTTTTAGATCACCAGTCATCATTCCAAAATGTTAATATTTCTACCTAATTAAATAAATTTATAATTAATTAATTAATCAACCAATCAATCAATAATAATATTCTGATTTGAATGCAATTAATGGAATAAGGTTGACAGGTTTGATCACCAGATATAGATAAGACGGTTACATCACATCCATCGGTTAATAAGTTCACATTCCACAAACCTTTGATTCAACTCCGTAGTCAACTGAATGAATGGTGTAAAACACAAAAATATTCTTCGGTTTCAATAAATAATTTTTACAATTCTAAACCAAATTATGAAAAACCAAGTTATAATTGTTCATAATTCAGGTGAACAATTCGTTGGAAGATGAGTTTGAACATTTGAAAACGAAACTCGCCAAGTTCAAAGACGAACTGAACGAGGTTTGTTGGGTGAATTTTAATATTATTGTTGCTATCCAAATTAAAATGAAAACAAACAAAGCAATAAAAACCAAACATCTAATCCGTTAGAAGCAACTGGAAATCGACAAACTGACGAAGACGAATGACCAGCTGCTGGACTTGAACCAGCGAATAAACAGCGATTACCAGAAGGCCATCAAGGCGTACGAGCAGCAACATGAGACTGTCGAGTTCCTCAGGAAAGAGAATGGTGACTGTAATGTTTCCACTTTCTGTCATTATCGCTGCAATCAATCTGTCCCTGAACGAATGAATGGATGAAAGGATGGATGAAATATGGACGGATGGATGAACAAATGGATGAATGAATTAATGGTTATGAACGAAATAACTAAGGTAAGGAATAATAATAAGTAGAACTCAAAAAAGTTGTAATTTACCGTTCAAAGAATATACATAAAATGAAGCAAATATTTTCTCGATCAGGTAAAATGAATAAATTAGAAAAAGCGTCAAGCGACCGGTTAGTACTTTTCTGATTACCATCATTGCATTTAATGTAACTATCGATGTATATATCTCAAATGGAAATGAACAAATAAATTAGGCGAGTTGATTCCTCGCCTGGTTCAGGTTCCTCTTGCAAGCATACACCCGTCTCTCACATGTGCGTATAATATGGCGCGCCGCATGAAACTCGTGTGTATGTGTGTGCAAACAATATTGTATGAATTCTAATGAATTGTTGGCATTAATTAATTCAAAGTTTGTCTTTTCAATTTTACAATGCCTTATGAATTAGGATAACAACAGTTTCATTAAATTTTCATGATGAACTTGGGTAATACTATTTTCAACAAATTGAACAATGTCCAGAAAATTCTTGTTAGGTAAATTGAAAAGTCAAACTAAAAATTGATTAATGTCAACAACTCGTTAGAATTTATACAATACCGTATAAAATATGGTCTCCTTCCAGCATATATATTTATATGTTATATATATGTACCTATATTTTGTTGAACTCGATGGAATGAAATTCAACAAAATATGTAATCAGAAAACATACTGCCTTAAATACGCCGATACCTATATATGGATGTGGACGCGTGTGTGTGTACAATACGTATGCACTGTACATTATTTATTGTACGCGAGTGTATGCGAATGATGCGGATGTTGCAGAATGCGCCAAAATTCAGTCGCAACCAATTTATATAATTGTGTTATAATTATTATAATGATTACTATTATGATTAATTATTATTTAAAGTTGTAAAATACAGACATCACAGCTCCAAAGAAAATTCGCCATAGTAAGTTAACTTGATTTTTTAATAACAAAAATAATAATGAAAATAATAACTGAATAATATATATATATATATATATGTACGTATATAATAATTATTATTATAATTAATAATAAAATATAACAAATATAGTTTATCTCCCGCAGAAAAAAAAATCGTTTGAATAAAATGACAGATGTGCGCATGCATGCACTCATGCTATGTATCTTTGAGACAGTCTTATCTATAGGTTCATTCTAAAATTTAACTTCTATTGTTAATTATTTCTATAAAAAACTGATAAAAATGATGAATAATATATCATTTTGTGGCATTTTAAATAATTCTTAAAAAACGAAATCAAAAAGTTAGTTCTTTCTGCCAGACAGACGCCAGACATTACCTCAGACAAGCAATTATAATTACAGTACAAAAATTAACTGCGTTAGCTGCGGTAGTAACTGCAACAGCAGCAGCAGTAGTAATAATAATAGTGACAGCATAGCAGCAGCAATAGTAGCAGTAACAGTATTTTATAACTCACACAAATTGGGTTCGCAAATAAAATGTATCACGAAGCATGGCAAATACTTCGATTTTTAAATGTCCATTGCTAGACTGACGAAGCGACAGACGACCTTAAGGGAGCGCGAGGTGTCGGTGCGTCACTCCTGTTTAAAGTTTCATCACTTTCGAGAAACATTTGAGATCATCTTAGGGTTATTTTCGAGAAAAATTACTGAATTTGAAAATTTTCCGATTTAAAGCCAAACGATCATCTTACCAGTTAAACAAAATACAGTCTGCATTTTTATTTGTATTTCCATAAAAACGGATATATATATATATATTTTAATTTATATAAAACCTTTACATATATATCAATTTATATAAAACCCTGAAAGACATTTGTAAATTAATTTACAAAACCAAACTAAAAATTGAGAGAAAAAATTGAAACTAGATAGATAGATAGATTTGATAAAATATTACGAACGATTATTTTGTTTGATGTTATTGATTCGATGAGATTTTTAAAATGTACCTTATAAATGTCTACCTAGCAAACATAGAGCTATTATAAATGACAATTCAGCAACTAGATAATATCATAGGTTCCTAAACTAAAATCTTGAATAAAATTCAACAGCCTTACCATAATTATTGTCATCATCATCATCATTAATTAATATTATAGATGCTGCTATCACATAGGACAATACCGTTAACATAAAAAAAAATCCCTAAGAACAAAAAAGTAGTTGAAACCGAATATAACCTTCTATATCATCATCATCATTTTCATCATCATTTACTTCATCATCAGTAGCAGCTGACAGTAAAAACATCACCACTACCTTCTCTTCACCATAATCATCTTCACCATAATCATCATCACCATCATCATCATATCCTCACTACTTCTTCTTCTTTCTAGCACCACCACGCCCTCCACCCCCACCTCCTCCCCCTCCTCCTTCTCCAACATCGTCCCCACCGTCATCATCAAACGCGACGAACGCATACAACTTCAAAGCCTGCACCATCATTCCAATTCCGTTCGGGAGCTGAAATTAGTTTTAAGCAGTTATCGTTTTGAATGAATATTAAATTATCATTTTAATCATTTCATCTAAACATATAGCACAATATAAAGTAATGAAATAACTTCCAAAAAGATGTTCACAAAGCCGCTAAATCAATTATAAAAAAATAATTATCTTACTACACTCAAGTTCTGAAAAAAACATGATTATATAACAAAAAGACCAAAAAACATGCAGACGAACATTCTTCTTACATAACAAACATACACACATACACATACATACACACAGTTACAAACACACACGCACACATACATACATAAATGAAGATATCATTCAGCATAATTCCATAGGCTAGCCATGATATGAAACAAGCTAATCCTGAAATGATCATCACCAACGGCATGCCTTCTCTGTTTCTGTTCACTAAGTTGTGATACTGCGCGTGTATGTATGAATGTATGTGTGTGTGTGTGTGTGTGTGTGTGTGTGTGAATATATATATAATATATGTGTATGTGAATATGTGTGTGGGTGTGATTGAGTATGTGTATGCGTGTCTGTGCCTGTGAATATGTGTTTGCATGCATGTGTGAGCGAACGTGTGAATATATGTGTGTTTGCATGTGTGATTAAGTATGTATGTATGCAGTTCTTCTTATTCTCATCTTAAGCAACATCGAATAATAATAATAAATGAATAATAATAATAACGATGCAGAGAAATGATAGTGCACACAACTGACCACTTCAATAGAAGGGATAGATATAAGGAAGAGTGCATTGATGGTAAGCGCACTGCCAAGAACATTCAGCACATCTCCCTTACCGCTGGCATCACCATCTCCATTTTTATCACCACCATTGTTGGCACTTATCCATCCGGAGGTGAAGAATAAAAGAGAGATAGGGACTGCTAGGAGAGAGCCTAATATTGCTAGGTCGTATGCCTAGATAGCAGGGTTGATACAAATGTATTATTGATATTATCATAAATTATGATAATTACATAATTAGAAATAGCTACCTTGTTATCAGCATACATGAGATACAATGATATGTAGATAACATAGAGGACCAAGCCCACTGAATTCAAGAATATTAGCTTTGGCTGTTCCAATATGCAAGCATATTTTATCATGATTATGCAACTGTTGTGATTGCAATAAATTTAATTATAACAATTATCATCTTAATTATCATCATCCTCATAACCATCCAAACTGCCATCAGTATCATCACCGGCACCCCATCATTATCTCACCATAACCTAAACAGCCATCACTACCATCATCATCGTCATCATCATCATAATCAACTTTACCATCACCCCACTCAAATTATTGTCAGAGACATAGGTCATTATAAGTGTCATCACTATAAGTTACACAACACTTCAAACTAACATCACTAAAGAATGTAAAAAGTTATTTTGGCTCTCATGTCTTTATTATTTATTCAATTCAAACAAATTTCTTGTAGAACCTTCTAAAAGAGCATTATTATTGTTGTACTTATTTCAATCATCTTACTTATTTTTATTGTTCCTACAAGATAATTATTTTTTTATATACACATATAAACATGTAATTACCCATTCAAACTTAATTTAAATTACAATTAGCAGATTTAAAAGTTAAATTACATTTTATACAATTCAAAAGTGAGCTAAACTTGAATTAATCAAATATTTTTTAACAATACCTAATTGTGGAGAATATAAAAATCAAGTATGGGACTCCTTTCGTGGATTTGCTTCTAACCATGCACTGACATGCTGACCTTTTAACCACATTTTATAATTTTATATATTATTCATTCGCTCATTTATATAATTTATGGTATCAGAGATCAGTCAGTAGTTTTTCAGTCATTTCCCTTTTTAAAAGTCTAACAAACAACACTTCAAGTTTTCAATGTCCATGTCTATACTATAAATAACCACAACTATGAATATAAATGAAAAAATTTTTAAAAATTAAAAAAAATGTCCCCACAATCCGGATAAGTGGAGGATTAGTGTCAGGCCGATTGTAAAATTTTCCAGCAGCTCTCCAAAGCCAAAACTCATCTCTGCAGATGCTGATGGATTTATATTATTTCAGGATTAAAATTTTTTTAATGAATAAAAAACAAATTGTTAATGAATAAAAATGACAATTATTTATCGATCTACTTGAATTATTATTTAATTATTAATTTTTAAACATTAAATTTCCTAAAAAGTAGCAGATTTTCATTTATCAGATGGTGCACATCGGTCGATTTAAAAGTGCATTTAGGTTTTCATTTTATCGGCTAAAATTAATTGGTGTAGCGGAGAATTTTATATAAGATAACGTAACATGATCAGGATGCTCTGAGTTTTTGCCATAGGTATAACAATTGATAAGCCATCATTAATAAATTTATCATGTTTAGTGACAACTCATACAATACTCAAATCAGCTTTTAAAATGTATTTGAATGTCCTTTATAGTGTAGAGTTTTTAGTTTGTAAAAATTGGGAAGATGGGATGTCTGCAACAATTGCTGATGAAACAAGGAGAGGATTCGCCAAAAATATGAATAAAAATGCAAGAAAAAGATTTGGAAGAATTTAATAAAAAGCTGGCAGTCTTTGAACTTTTCTTCCATATAGTAATGAATAAGTAATTTGTTAGATTGATATGTTTTACTAATATGTTAAACTTCGTGATGCTTTGAATCAATTTGTTTGATGTCACTTGTCAATGTTTCTTATTTTTGACAAGGTTCAAAATATTATTTTCGCTATTATTCAGCTCATATTCTATCATCATCATCATTTGACGAAAAAATAATTATTTAATATCACTTTAAATTTGCGATTGAAGTTAAAAAGGCACTTAACTACAATTAACATAGCCATATTCTTAAAAATGTTCTCGAAAAACTTATGATGAACAAATTTGTGGAAAAACATATCTCAAGCAAACTTTAACTCTTTCTCAATCAACCTTTGTAACCATACTTAAGAAATATTTACAAGTGCTTCACTCTACTTTGAACAAAACAATTCAACCGAACTCAAACTTTGTAAAACGTTCCATTAGTGATGTAAATTTTTTATTTTCAGCATCTATAAAAGGCCCATGACACTCACTCAACATTCAACTCCGTCTTTTCTATGAAGATCATTTTGTCCTTTTCTAGAGCAACGATGATAGCAAAGTTGCTAATTTTATTTTCGCTGTTGAACATTTACACGAAAATTAGTGCTGAACATTTCGACTGCCACCCGGAGCCGAACGCCAACGCCGAAAGATGTTCTAAGCGAAATTGTGATTGGTGCCTGCCTAGCAGCGGAAACGGATGTGTCAAGTGGTGTAACTTCCCTCAAGATTACCCATCCTATGACGTCACAAAATGGACGGAAACGTTGTTTGGTTACGAGGCTGACCTGGTCAGACGATCCAAATCTCCCTGGCCGAATGACGTTCAAAAGTTGAAGTTGATGGTTTGGTTCGAGACTGAACATAGACTGCATTTCAAGGTTTCTTGAATTTAAAGTTTCTTGAAAGTTATCATGATTTCATGAATTCAACTGATAAATAAAAAAATAATAATAATAATTCATTTAAATAACATAAAATATTCATTAATTTTTTCACACATTTCTAACAATCTTCTATCTAAAAAATGTTTTGAAACGTCTAAAATGAAAAACTCGTGACGAAAAGCTGACAGACGCGGAGAACAAGAGATACGAGGTGCCCATTGAAATGCCGGTCCCACCGACAATCAAACCCCCCATGACCGACTACAAGGTCGAATATTCACCTTCACCTTTCGGCCTCAAGGTCACCAGAAAGTCCAATGGAGCGATTTTGTGAGTTTTTCAATTTAATTTCAATTTATTTCCAAATTATTTATTTGTTAAAACAAAAGATTGGAATAAAAAGCAACAATAACAAAAGCTTTGATGCAATGAAAATTAAAAACTCTGTACAAACTCTGCAGTTTCCAAAATTTAAAATGTTGCAGCATTTTTTCGACGATTCCAACGGAATTCATAAAAATATTTGCTTAGATTCATCATTTCATTTGTCGTTCGACGAATTCGTGACTTGAAATGTAAAACCGACTTGTGAATTTGTCGTGAGTTGGATGTTAGACGCATCGACAATTGAAATGTTTCGACGACCATTGAAACCTCACACCCCGCAGATTCGATTCCATGATTCCCAACGCTCCACTCATCTATGCCGACCAGTTCCTCCAAATGACGAGCCGCCTATCAACCGAAATGCTCTACGGCTTGGGAGAGAATTATGGACCCCTGCTCATAAACGCCAGTGAAGCTAGGACGTTCTACTTCTGGGCCAGAGACCAATTCCCTGGAGTGCGTATGATTGCTATCATCATCATCATTATTATCATCATCTTCATCATCATCATTATCATCATCTTCATCATCATCTTCATCATCTTCATCATCGTCATCTTCGTTGTCGTCGTCGTCAGTTTTAATAAAAACTTTTTTTAAAGATACCTGCCAGTCGCTATTCTATCATCATCAACATCATTGACAAAATCATCCCCACAATTATCATCATCGTCATCATCACCACAATCGTCACCACCACAATCAACACCACCACACTCATCGTCATCGTCATCAGGAGCACACGAACTTGTACGGCAGCCACCCCTTCTACATCAACATCGAACCAGACAAGAAGGCTCACGGAGTCTTCCTACTCAACAGCAATGCCATGGGTTCGCGGAAATTATTATTTATTTTATTATAACTATAATAAATAATAATTATTATTAATAAAAATGGTAATATATTTGTTCGAAACTCTTTCATTTCATTACTAAAAAGACTGAATAATGAACAACTTGAAAGTTGAATCCTACGCAGCACAGCACAACACAACAAATATGAACAGTTTATGATACAAAATATAATTATTCATAATATTATTCATAATTACATAATTATGATCATGCATCCATGATGATGATATTGTAATAATATTATTTAAATTGAAACGCTTTGGCCATCCACGCAGAGGTTGAAATTCAGCCGAACCCGACCTTAACGTACCGAACGATCGGTGGCGTCCTCGATTTTTACATCTTCCTCGGTCCATCCCTAGAAAATGTCGTCCAGCAGTACGTGCAGACGATCGGAATTCCGGTGATGCCGCCATACTGGGGACTGGGCTTCCAGCTTTCGAGATGGAAGTACAACACGATTGAGAACTTGAAGAGAATCGTTGATAGGAACAGGAAATTAGGAATTCCCTACGTGAGTTTTGATGATGATGATGATGATGAAGGAGATATTGATGATGAGGATTATTATTATTAGCATAGTTTTTTAGCATGCCGAATTAACATAATTTTGATTTAACATAACTTAATTATCATTACATAACATGACATCATTAACATAATTTATGATGAGTTAGGACGTGCAATGGGGTGACATAGATTACATGCAGAACGAGAAGATATGGACATACGACCAGCAGAGGTTTCACGGCCTGCCCGAATACATTGATGAGCTGCACAAGGACGACATCAAATACGTCATCATCATTGTGGGTCTTCTTCATTTTCATTAGCTGGCTGGTTTGCAATTTTTAAAATGTGTGATTTCATTGGATTGGACACACACACACACACACACACACACACACACACACACCACACACACACACACACACACACACACAAACACACACACACACACACACACACACACATGAACACTCACACACATACATAGGACCCAGGAATAGCCGACAAGTACCCGGCAGGTTCCTACCCAACGTACGATGAGGGTATCAAGAAGAATATTTTCATTAAAGATCATACCGGAAATAGATTGTTGCAAGGAGAGGTGTGTGTGTTTGTGTGTGTGTGTGTGTGCTTGCGCGTTCGTGTTGGGTGTGTATCGGTGTGTATATTGGCGTGTTGTTGTTTTTCTGCTGTGATGTACGCGACTTCGTCCTGCCGTCACACTTGTTCCAATGTATTTTTGCATGTAAGCTCTACTTAATGGCGTGATTTTCGTTTAATTAATTTAATTTAAAATAATGATTGCCAGTTAATTCAGATTTGCACTAATCTTACACTAATCACTAATTAGGTTTGGCCAGGAACTACGGTCTACCCTGACTTCACGCACCCCAACACCACTGACTGGATGTACGAAGACGCCGCCATGTTCCATAAGATCCTGCCCTTTGATGGGTTGTGGATTGTTAGTCGCTTTGGTGTTCGGGTGATGTTGGGCGTGTTTTGTTGAGATGATGTCGGGCATATTTTGTGTAGCATCCATCCATCCATCCATCCATCCATCCATCCATCCATCCATCCATCTATCCATATCTATCTATCTATCCATCCATCCATCTATCCATATCTATCTATCTATCTATCTATCTATCTATCTATCTATCTATCTATCTATCTATCTATCTATCTATCTATCTATCTATCTATCTATCTATCTATCTATCTATCTATCTATCTATCTATCTATCTATCTATCTATCTATCTATCTATCTATCTATCTATCTATCTATCTATCTATCTATCTATCTATCTATCTATCTATCTATCTATCTATCTATCTATCTATCTATCTATCTATCTATCTATCTATCTATCTATCTATCTATCTATCTATCTATCTATCTATCTATCTATCTATCTATCTATCTATCTATCTATCTATCTATCTATCTATCTATCTATCTATCTATCTATCTATCTATCTATCTATCTATCTATCTATCTATCTATCTATCTATCTATCTATCTATCTATCTATCTATCTATCTATCTATCTATCTATCTATCTATCTATCTATCTATCTATCTATCTATCTATCTATCTATCTATCTATCTATCTATCTATCTATCTATCTATCTATCTATCGATCCATCCATCCATCCATCCATCATGCAGGACATGAACGAGCCATCAAATTTCGTGGTCGGATCAACCTCGGGCTGCCCTAACCACCCCCTCGATAACCCCCCTTACATTCCAAGTTATTATTATTATTATCATTGTTATTTATGTTGTTGTTATTCATAATTGCATTAGTTGCATTATAATTATTATCTGGTAAATATGGCACTAAAGTTCAACTTAAATTAAATTATATTTCGGAGCTGCATAATAAAGAACAAAATTTAATTTTTTAAATAAACATAAATAATAATAGAATAATAATTATGGAAAACTAAATAATAACAATAACAAAGAGATAAAAGACAGAAGCCTGGTAGTTAAGACAATCTGTTCATCGGCCCAGCAATACCTCTCCACCCATTACAACCTGCACTCACTCTACGGACTTTATAATGCTATCGTTTCCGAAAAGTCAGCTGTCTTGATGATGATGATGATTATCTTGTGATGATGATGATTATTATTATTACCATTATTATTATTATTATTATTGTTGTTATTATTATTATTATTATTATTATTATTATGTAATCAACGAAACCAACACTGATAGCAACAGTTCAGTTTAAAAAATTAACAAACAAATGAACGAACGAACAAACGAATGAACGAACGAACAAACTTTTACCACAGAGTTTTGAGGAAGCTGATGAAGAAGCGTGCGTTACTCGTATCAAGATCGACATATCCGAGTCTCGGCAAGTATGCTCAACACTGGACCGGTGATGTCGGTTCTTATTGGAAAGATTTGTACTATTCCATCCCTGGTTCGTCCGTCTCGCTATGTGTTTGGTCGTCTCTTTGTACATGCATTCATTTTTTTGTCAAAAATATACCACAAAAAACACTAAATCTTTAACGGTATGCAGATTACAAATCAAAAAACTGAACGTAAAAACTTACCTAAATAAGAATAAATCAATGTACCAATACACAAACGCCACACATTCAAAAATTCAGGAATCCTGTCATTCCAAATGTTTGGCATTCCATTCGTTGGCGCTGATGTGTGCGGCTTCTACCACGATTCGAACGAGGAGCTCTGCGTCAGGTGGATGCAGCTGGGCTCTTTCTATCCATTCATGCGGAACCACAATGATGGAGATAGTAAGGTAGGTAGGTTGGTTGTTTGGCTGGTTGGTTGGTTGGTAGGTAGGTTGGTAGGTAGGCTGGTTGGTTGTTTGGTTGGTTGGTTGGTTGTTTGGCTGGTTGGTTTGTAGGTTGGTTGGTAGGTAGGCTGGTTGGTTGTTTGGCTGGTTGTTTGGTTGGTTGGTAGGTTGGTAGGTAAGCTGGTTGGTTGTTTGGTTGGTTGGTTGGTTGTTTGGCTGGTTGGTTGGTTTGTAGGTTGGTTGGTAGGTAGGCTGGTTGGTTGTTTGGCTGGTTGTTTGGTTGGTTGGTAGGCATGTAGGCTGGTTGGTTGGTTACGAAGTTGAACATTTTTTTCTTTTCACGTTCTTTTTCTTCTTCGTTATTTTCCTTATAAGCATCGTCGTCACCATCGTCACCCCCTTCCCCCTGACCACGGCAGGACCAGGACCCAGGAGAATGGAGTGCAGCCGCCCAGCAGATAATGAAGAAGGCCGTCGAAACTCGCTACACACTCCTTCCATTCATGTACACACAGTTCTACCTGAACCACCTGGATGGCAGTCCAGTCGTCAGGCCGCTATCTTTCGTGTATGTGACCTCCTCCCTTACATCTGCTCCTACCTTCTCTTTTCTTTCTGCTGTTTCGTCTCGTTAATTCGGGCTGTTATATTTCAATTTTGTCGTTTTGGAAATTTGTTTTAACATTAATCTCAAAAAATTGTTTCATGAATCATTTTTAAAATTTACAAATCAATCGGCGCTGAAATAACTTAACTGACGTTTAGTTTCCCGCACGATGAAAACGTGTACAAGATCGACAAGCAGTTCCTCTGGGGCACTTCACTCCTCATTAGCCCAGCCCTTGAGAAGGTTGTGCGCATGTGTGTGTGCGCGTGTGTATACGTGCGTGTGTGTGTGTCGTGTGTATTTGTGTAATTTATGTATAAAATTCCACACCTGATTTTCATAATTTATGTTGTTTACCAGGACCAGACAGTCGTAAGGGCCTACCTGCCAAGAGGCCTGTGGTACGAATACATACCGGACGGAGACAAACACAATGTGATCGACAGCTGCGGATCTTATTACGACTTACAAACCCCTCTTGAAAAAATTAATATTCATGTGAGGGGAGGAGCCATCATTCCCTGGCAACAACACGCCCTTACTACCACCAAGACGTCAGTTGTTGTTACGTAATGTGCCTGTTTATTGAATTTTAAATAAATTTAATAGTAATAAGAAAGAAAAAGAGAGAGGGAAAAATCGAGAAAAATAAAAAGAAATAGAGAGAAAAATTAGATAAAAATATATAATTTTGCTAAACTTTATCAGGGTTTTGAGGTTTGAATTTATTCACACAATCGTCGTTCGAAAAACAAAAATACACGAAGTTGTGCCACATTTAATAAACAATAATTTATTTAATAATTATAATTATGATTTGAAATCCGATCAGTCGCAAGAACCCAATCAACTTGCTGGTGGCTTTGGACGCGTCTGAACGGGCTGCAGGGCAGTTGTACTGGGACGATGGAGAGAGTCTAGGTGGGTTGGTTGGTTGGTTGGCCGGTTGATTGAATGGTTGGTTGGCTAGCTGATTGAGAGCTGGTATATTATGACGATACTAATCTAAAAACTGTTTAATTTTTCAACAATTTGAACAAAATAACTTAAACGACAAATTTTGACTAAAATTGTCCTTCTACCTCCCGACAAACAGACCCGGTGGAGAACAAGATATTCACGGTTGTCAAATTCAACGCCGATAAGGTGCCTATTTGTTTTTGGAAATTTTACGTATTCGTAAACAACAACCAAGTTTTTATTTTCAAAAGTTAAAATGATTTAAAAATTTAAACAGGGCGTGTTGAAAAGCCAGTTAGAGCAGACGGGCTACCAGCCAGCGGAGAATGAATTCCAGTTGGCCTCCGTGAAAGTTCTAGGCGTGGAGGCTGAGGTGAAGAGCGTGAAGATGAACGGCAAGCTGCTGGAGTTCAGTTACAAGGACGAGGCCAAGGTGAGATTTTGCGGGGTTCGATGCGAATGTGTCTGCATATTTCATCCTATTGTTCTTGTTTCAAATTGATGTATAAATATATATTTTATATAATTTTATTAAAATTTTTGATTTAAAATATATCCTTAAAATAATGGCGGCAACAACGTTCATAATTTTCAGGAGCTGACCATTTTGAACGTGAACGTCAGTTTGATGGATGAGTTGAACATCACCTGGGCTTAAAATGTCCTCGGAATCATAATGTTTCATCCTAGCAATTGACTATGTAATGACCATTTTTAAACATTTCCACTTATTTTAACTTTTATTTTTCAATTTCTTGATTCATCTCTTGTGATTGCCAGAATTTGTACTAAACAACACATTATTGTTGCAATATTTTATGATTAATTTTGATCGTTTTTAAATATTTTGAAAATTATTAGTTAAAATAAAATCAACGAGCAGAGAACAAATGTCGTTTCCTTCAAAATTTAAGTTAAATTTTTTCAAAACTTCCTAATATTTTGTGTTGCGGATTGTTGTACTTCCAGTCCTCGATTTCTTCGATGGTCTCAGGCAGCGGTCTCTCGATGGTCTCAGGCAGCAAGAGCAGCAGAATGGCGGCGAGGATGGAAAGAATGGCGAATGTGAAACTCGTCAGAATGGGATGAGTCGTCGCCTTAAATGTCAGTGTTTTAAAATTTAAGTATCAAGAATAAAAAATGCTATCGCTCAATTTATATTAATCTGCAACAAAATTTCTCACTATGTACGTTGAAAATGTGGCTGCCAACAGACCAATCCTTCCAAAGAGACAGCAGAGACCCATCGCTTGGCTTCTACAACATTTCAACATTTGAAAGATTCTTCAACCATTTTTAATATACATATCAAAAAAAGCAAATAACGCTACTTGTTACACGTAGGTATGAACGAATTCAAAGCGCATACTTAGATAACAAAATGAACATCAACATACACAAGCAGATTGTGATAAAATTATATATTAAAAATTAGAATCGACAGACCTGAGATTTGTTGGAAAAAGTTCACCGACATAGATGAAAGAAATCCCAAATGCTCCCGTTATCCCAAACTTCCCAATCAGATTCAATGCAGTCACCCACATCGAGGCTTTGGATCCTGCGAGTTTACAAAATCAAACAATTAACACATAGAACACCAATCTATCTTTTAAATCAAGTTTTATTACTTCAATTTAGTTCTAAAAATACGAAAAGTCTTTTTTTTTAAATTAACCAGCCAGCCAACCAACCAACCAACCGACCAACCAACCAACAACCAACCAACCGACCGACCGACCGACCGACCGACCGACCGACCGACCGACCGACCGACCGACCGACCGACCAACCAACCAACCAACCAACCAACAACCAACCAACCAACCAACCGACCAACCTAAGAAATTAGATAGAAACGGAATGATGATGAGAGCGATACCATCGATCAAGAAAAAAGTTGCCATGGGATTTCGTCTTCCGAATCTGGGAGGAACAATTTTGAAAGTTATTTATTTGAAAATTTGTTTCAAACAATATCTCGCATGTTTTAATCACAAAAAATATTTTGAAATTTTATTACTTTAATCGTTACAATCAGTTCTAGAACCCTGAAGGTTTTAAAGATTTAATAAGAATAACTGAAATGCTGAATGATATGTGTTGCGCAATTTGACAACTTAATTGACAGATTGATCAAATAAATATTAATAATTGACTGGCTGATAGATGGATGGATGGATTGATAGATAGATAAATAAATAAGAACGATTCCGACCTGATGACGATGAAGTAGGAAAGCGTGTAAGCGGGCATCTCAACCAACCCGTTGAAAAATGCGTTCCAGTACCTGGTGCCCGACAACTGCGCTGTGCTCCACGTCAGACCGTAGTACACCAGCGTGCATGAAGTCCTTTGGAGGTTTCAAGTTTGAAATAAAGATTGAAACAGCAACTGGGAATACAAATTTTATAATAAAATGTAATGAGAAAGCCACAAAAAACCGACAGACCAGGCAACGACGCAGATGGAAAGATGCTTCAACATCGTTGCATTCCTGAACAGGTCGGCCATCGTGTACCGGACAGCTCGGTGTTCCACTGAAGATGGCACAAACAACTTTTCTTCTCGTAAAAATTTTTGATCTTTCATTTCTTTCGTTGTAACTTTGTTGGAAACGTTGACAAGTGGTGCTGCAACTTTATTCATCCGAGCTGCACTCTTCAGAACTTCATTCACTTCATCCATTCTATCGTTCGCATACAGCCAATGCACTGACTCTGGGAAGAGCCTAACCAGATTGTAAAACATGACTATATTTTAATAATTAAAATTTCAATTTACTGGAGATATTGATAAAAATTAATTAATTATAATAAACAAATTGTTCTAAAAAGTTTTTTTTCAAAATTTAAACTGCAATTATATTTATAACTCTTTTGAAAAACTCAAGAAAACGTGCAAACGTGCCAGAATAATGGGATGAAGGTGAGAGGGATCAAGCTGATGAACAGCTGAAAGTAGGTCCAGTTCTTGATGAAGTAAGCAAAAATAGGCATGAGGGCGCACGCGAAACCCCAAAAATTTCCCCCAATGAGACCGAGGAACGTTCTTTCGTCGACTGTGAACAGCTCGTACATCAGGACGAACCCTATCATCGTGACTCCCTTCGTAACGATTTAAGGACGAGGTTGAATATTTCAAATAATACATTAAAAATTATTTAAAATGGGATTGAATTCCGAAACAAACATGTTCAACCAATCCGATGAAAAATTTGGAGACAATGAACCAATGAATGTTCGGCATAAGAGCGGACAAACTGCCAAAGAGAACCAACAACATCTGGCATGTTATGAAGACTGGTTTTCTTCCAAATCTATCGCTGATGATGGTTATGGCGATCGATCCGCACATTATTCCCAGCACCAGGACAACTTGCGATGTTTGTACGAGGAAGTCCCTGGTGCACACCAAGTCCCACTGTTCCGTCGATGACGCCCGTGTTAAATTTTTAAGAAATTAAATCATCGGTCCAATTTTTAATGAATTGATTGCATTTTATCAATCCCATACAACAATGTAAATTAAACAAAACAAATCTTCGTGTACCTGACTGACGATAGTTAGCAAACCATCGCCTATCTCTTCGTCCTCATACTCCCATCCATCCAAACATTCACTCGTTTCATTGTTCACGCTCGCATTCACGTACATCTCACATTTGGACCACTGAGTTGCATTCATTCCGTGGCTGTTGCTGCTGCTGTCATCGTGAGGGATCCAATCGTCCAGGCTGGAGTTTGTGGGAATTTTGCAGCGGTGTGCAGGCTGATAGCCTGGGAATTTAGGATTTCTATTTTTAGTTTTGAAATTTGTTACTAGTTTACTGGGAATGAGTTGATCATAATCAACCAACCAACCGACCAAACGACCGACCAATCAACCAACCAACCTACCAATCCAAACCACAGTAATCATCTGCCAAGCTGATGGTGTGTTCATTGTGAACTCCAACACCAGAAACATTAAGATCTGCCATTTGCCAAACTTTCCCAAATCTCTCAACAGCCTATCTACTTCCATTTTTTTAATTATTTAAAAGACAAAAATTATATCATAGCATTAAGAACAATATGAATAGTAATAAAATAATACACTAACATAATAAACTGCATTAATGTAACAGTGAACAATGCAACATCATTTGTATTTATAACAACGTTGAATTGATCCTGTGAACCATACTCCACATGAAAACTCCTTATTAGCATAATTTATGCTAATTTAAAATCATTTTTCTGCTGGTAATTGATACTTTTTTAAAAAACTTTTTGTAAAAAACTTAAAGAGAAATTTTGTAAAAGCCCAAAATTATTCACACGTCAATTAACAGCAACAGTCAATTTGTTAGTGGTTTTATTTTTACTCATTACTATTGTTAACAGTAGTGTTAGTAGAAGCAGCAGCAGTAGCAACAACAACAACAACAACAGCAGAAGTAGTAGTTTTTATAAAGATACACAGAGACACGTACCCAAAAGTTGTCATTCCTACATACATACCTACATACAAAAATAACTGACGATCATTATTTATTTCTAAATCCTTCGTGTGTTTGTCGTTTCTGTTTACAGAGACTCACTTTAATGTTTTGTTTGTAAAAAAAAGTTCAAAATTTTTTGACTATTTTTATTAACTGACAATTATAATACAAGAAAGGGCCCACAAATCAATTCGAAAAACAATTTTTTAATCAAACCTTTGAGCATTTTTGCAATTTTAATTTTTCTAAAATTTAAAAAGAAATTCAAAAACAACTTTCAGAACAAAACGCGTCTAAACTCGTCTTCAATCCTCGCCATCTACCGACATTGCATTCGATTTCTCACAAAATTGTTGCATCTCATCGGAACGTCTTAAAACAAAAGTACGGTTTGAATGTTCATTACAAAAGTAATGAACATTCAATCTTCTTCAAGATCCTTACTCTTCTTGTCGGCCACATTTGCACCTGTCCAGCAGTGAATTTTGGACGGCTTCTCTTTCCAGGCTTCAATTTCTTCGATGGTGTCAGGCAGAGGTCTGTTGTGAGTTTCAGGCAGTAAGAAGACGAGGAAGGCTGAAATGATGGAGAGGCTGCCGAATGCCAAGCTTGGTACGTTCGGATGTTTCTCAATCTTAATGAATGTACATGATTGCTACGTTTAGAATTCAAAATTTGATCGGTTTCTTGTTTCTTCTTATGACGTTATTACAACACAAATATAATAATTTGAAAATTGAAACTGACAAACTTACGAGGTATGAGACGAAGGTAGCGATAAAATTTCCTAATCTGCCTGCCATCGAGCAAATTCCAAGAGCTTGCCCTCTTCCAAATTTCAATAATTTATTTATTTTATTATTTATCTACTTGAATTAAGTTTGTTTTAGGAAGTGAATTTTTAAATAACAAAACTTTCAACAAATAAAATTTAAAAAAACGAAAGACCTAAGGTTAGTGGGAAACATTTCAGAAGCATAGAGAAAGACGATTCCAAACGCGCCGGTGATTCCAAACTTCCCGACCAGGTATAGCATTATGTTCAGCACTTCTAAACTCGTCCCGTCGGCTGTTAAACAAATTTATCTCCAACGGTGACGCATTAATGTTAATGTTAACCAGTTTTTAGTTGTGAGTTATGACAAGCAAATAAACTTTAAACCAAAGTAAAATCACAATCGAACTAACAACCAAACGAACAATCGAACAAACAAATGTATAAACGAACGAACAAACGAACAGACAAAAGTCCAAACGAACAAACGAACGAACCCGTCTGCTTGGGGATGAACGGCGATATGAAAAGGGGCAATCCGGCTATGGCAAAATACGCCATCAAAGGCTTGCGTCTTCCAAATCTCACAAAGTTAAAGTAAATAAATTTGGCCTGATGACAAAACTAATAGAATAATTAAAAAGTAAATGTTATAAAATGAATTAATTTAATTTTATCGCACGATTACTTGGCCAGTGCAAAATATGAAGTCAGATAGGCCGGAACCTCAACGAGCGCATTGAAGAATCCGTTCAAATATCTGTCGCCTGCCAGTTGGGCTGTGGTCAGGATCAGTCCGTAGTATACCAACGTTACTACCATCCTGGTTGTTGTTGTTGGTGGTGGTATGGTGGTGGTTATTTGTCAGGGTGTTTTGATAATTTGTCGCATTATATCTGTTGTTTATATCATGTTAAAATGATTAGATTGAACATTGAAAATACACTGATCTCAGTTAAATATATTTAAAATTAAATTCTTAATTTGTTTAAATGTTTTCCAGGTTTAAAGGCCCGATATTGAAGCACCTAGTAAATATAAAAACATCTACAACGAATAACGATCAAGTGGGTAGATTTTGATGAATGAGAAGAAGGGCGAACCATAGGACGGCCGATATGACGACGTATATGGCCAGAGTTCTGTTTGCGAAGAGGTCAACGATCGAGTATCTGGTCTTCAAGACAGATGCCGCTGATGTTCTCCTCTGCTGCTGTACATTCCTACGTAACAATCGGTCAAGGAGACTTCTCTCTGCTCTCAGTTCTACATCCAGCTCATCTCCTAATTTTGCTGCTCTGTTGAACTCATTTCTTGAAGTTGGATTCACTTTTAATTCAGTTTGAACTTTTTGATCAATTTGTTGTTCTTTCTTCGACGTCACCTTATCAGCTGATTCGGACGTTGTTCTCGACCTCCTTCCATGTTTCTGCACAAGTGCCTGGTGCTGCAAGAATTTGTCCGGGAAGGTGATTTTGTTGAGTTTGGCGGCGTGTTTGATTATTTTTTCAGCTTCGTCAATGCGGTTGTTGGCGTACAACCAAATGACTGATTCAGGGAGCCACCTAGCGTTAAACATGTATGCAAATGCCAGTCGTGTTTTATATTTTATTATTTTTCAACAAAATTTATTATCATTTCATTTTCAATATCAACTTTTAAATTTAATTTACAACATCTAGGGATATGGTGATGGTACAGTAAAAACTGCGTGATGCAAACCAGCCAACGAAAGAAACCACATTCAAGCAACTTCTCACCGAACAACGAACCAACCAATAAAGCGGAAGAACCAGCAATCCAGTCAAACTGATGAAAAGTTGAAAATGAATCCAATTGTGGAAGGCCCAGGCAAAGAGGGGCAGAATGGATGCAGCTACGCCCCAGGTGACCTCACCCACTGTGCCCGCAAACGTTCGATGCTTCGCCGAGAACAACTCGCACGCCATTATGAAACCGCACAACAAGATGCCCTGGATGGTCGGATGGATGAATGGTTGGTTGGTTGGTTGGATGGTTGGATGGTTGGTTGGTTGGATGATTGGTTGGTTGGTTTCAGCTTACTACGTGATGAAAATTATGAGCCTTCTTGATTTGGATTGCATTATTTATGGATACATGTGGATTTTTAGTAATAAAAATCGATTTGCATTTATTAAATTGCTAAAATAAAAAATGATTTAATTCGGTTGTAACCTGCTGGAAAGCACCCGTCAAAAGCCTCAAAAACAGAAAGACGTAATAATTGTCGGTAAGTGTGACAGCCACACCGACGATCACCATGAAGAAATGTGAAGCAAAGAATACCGGCTTTCTACCGATATTATCCGATATCATGGTGAATGAAACTGCACCGATTATCACGCCCAGCACTAGAGCGGTTTGTGAGGATTGTGCAAGAACCGACCGACTACATACAAGATCCCACTGTCGATGGATGGATGGTTGTATGGATGAATGAATCAATGAATTAATGAATGAATCAATGAATTAATGAATTATTAACAAATAAATAAACAAATAAATGAATAATTGAAAAATTAAACTATTCGATGAAGTCAAACGAACGAATTTTCAACAATTATGTTGAGAATTGTATAAATACAAACGTTTATAGTATAACAAATTGAAACAACTTACTTTCGAGACAACTGAAGGCCCATCGCTGTCTAGTTCGTACTGCCATCCATGCCTGCATCCTGTAGTGAGGTTGTTGGTGGATGAGTTGATGAACATCTCACATCTCGACCATTCCTTCGTTCGTTCGTCGTACGGGATCCATTCTTGCATCGTTGGTGTCGTTGAGTTGTTGGCGGGTGGCAGTCTGCAGTGGTGCTCCGGTGTAAATGCTGAAGAGGAGAAAAAACTTTATTTATTCATTTACTAATTCATTTATTTATTCAATATTTAAATCATTCAATCAATCAATCATTCATTCGTTCGTTCGTTCGTTCGTTCATTCATTCATTCATTCATTCGTTCGTTCCTTCATTCGTCTCACCTATCCAGACAACAGCCAACATATGCCAAGCTGGGTGCAAGTAATGTATGATGCTCAGAACTGTGTAATAAGTTACCTGGTGATGATGATGGGGATATTGTTATTGTTATTATTATTATTATTATTATTATTATTACTATTACTATTATTATCATTATTATTTTAACCTGCCATCTTCCAAATGATCCAAGTTTACTTAAGGCCGTATCGATATCCATGTCGTCAATAAAAACCCTTTTGCACTGCTTCAATGATTATATTTAATTATGATTATAATTATCGTTCTTATCAATCTGACTTTACAACTGAGCGACACTAACTACTGACGCCCAAAAATGAATTTCTATCATAAACTGAAACCTACACATCTCACATTCTTACATACATACATGCATACACATACATACATGCATACACATACATACATGCATACACATACATACATGCATACACATACATACAAACACATACATACATACATAAACACATGCATGTATGTCAATACATACATACATTCGTGCATAATCAACATTAAAAATGTTTGTATCCATATAATATTTGTATAGAACATTCAGCTGGCGGCATATATGATCTACGGGAATGAATGATTTTTTATGTTTTATAATGAGTTGTAATTATTCTGTTAATGTCTCCTCCATCATTAAACTGAAACGAATTTTTGCGAATGCTTCTGAAATATGATTTCGTGATAATTATCCGAGAGAGATGACGTTACGTGAAATGTATCTATTTGATATCATATCAGTGCTGAAAGCCGCGTTAGTTATGGTTTGAAGATCATTGGCTTCTAAATTTGATGCCGTTATGTTTATTTTTATTTAATCATTTTTATTTATTCAACATAACAATTTAATGTTGAATTTGCTTGAATATTGCAAAAAGATGATTGGTCGGGCGATTTTGTTCCGGTTAAAAGTTGTGATCAAAATTTTGAATAAAATCTCAATGATAGATTATTGAATGTTCAGTATGGATGAACTATTAATAAAGGAAATCTAGATAGAAACTAATAATCTCTCCCTCTCCCTTTCTTCTCATTTCTCTTTTCCTCTCTCTCTCTCTCTCTCTCTCTCTCTCTCTCTCTCTCTCTTCTTCTCCAGGATTATTCAATTTGAAATTCACAATCCTATCTCAAAATTTCTTAATTTCCTGCTCTTGGGAGCTTTAAAAATTTGAGAACCTTTCATTAAAATTTTCTGAAATGTTGTTCATTATTTTGAAATTTTTTTTCTATCTTTTCTATTAAATATATAAATTCGTAGAATGAAAACATCAAATGACATTTGCTTGATAGCTAGGCAACAAGATATTGATCCTTCTGGCTACTAACAACATTACTTGTGTGCGACCAAAAGTAGTAGGTAGCATTAGTATCTGTATCAGCAAGAGAAAAAATGTTTGATCATTTCAATTGGTAGTAGAAATATCATAGAAACAGCAGTTAATAACTTCAGCAAGTAGAGGGAATTTAAATGCGATTTTGAATTTGTGAACAATGTTTAAAAATGTTTTAAAATTTGCAGCCGTCTGTAGTAGGTTAGATGGATTGTACTTCAAATTTTGCGAAATTATTTGATGAAATGAATTAATAAATCCTGTAACACTAAAAAAAAGTATAGTATTAATGCTGAATTGTTTTACACTTGTGAAATATTTCATGTTAGTAGAGATTTAATTGAACACAATTTATATTTCAGTTCCTTCATTCACAACCCATTCAAACCGCAACAAACACCCCAACACCTCAACACAAAGACCGAAGAACATTCAAGCCCAACTACAAAGAAAAACTTCCTATCATCCCACAAACACGTCCAAACAAACGACAAAAAGTTGGCACCGAAAGTGTTCATCGGGAACAAAACGAAGCCAGAAGTCGTTTTGATATCGGGATCGTCTGGTTTTGTGGGCCAGCATGTTGTTAAATCACTGCAACATTACTCTGAGAATGTCCGAGAGATCGTTCTCTTCGATGTGAAACCGTATCGAAATCGGTTGAAACATTCGACCGAAATACCGATGCGTCAGATAATCGGAGATGTAACAAAACTGGACGAGGTAAGGAGGGCGTTGAAAGGTGTGGACTCTGTCGTGCACACGGCTGGTCTTGTAGAGTTTGGTTCGTGTCCTGATGTAGAAAGGTTGATGGAGGTCAATGTTAAAGGTCAGGGTGAAACTATCTATATTCAGATTTGGGTTTTAGTGCTTTTTATAATTGTATTTCGTTGAAATTTTCGTTTTTTGGCGGTGTGATGGCCTAGCGGTTAAGGTCGTCGTAAGTTCTGTTTCGTAGGCGAGCAGACGCCGGATTCGATTCGAATTTGAAAAAAAGCTTCCCGTCTTTAACAAGCTTCGTGTGTGACGCGTCGTTTAACCTGCACCTACTCATGTTGTACGATGTTTCTGCATAGTTGACGCCTCAGAACCCAGGAAGAGTGTTGTAAACATTTTAAACCTTTTTTCATATTTGGTGCTGAACAATTAATTTTTGTCATTGATATGTTTATATAACAAACATTTTATACATTTTATAATCAATCGTGAATACCAACTAAAAGTATGAATGAACGAATGGAACGAATATGCATGCAAAAAACGTTGTTCCCTACCTCACAACCGACAAAACATCCCACAAAACAGACCCAACACTAGCTTACAACCAACTCAACACCATACCCACCCCCTCATCTCAGGCACGGCCAACATCATCCAGGCGAGTGTGGAGAACAAAGTGAGCAGATTAGTGTACACCAGTTCTGTTGACGTCGTCATCGGTTTCGAAGAGCTTGTTGATGTGACTGAAGGGGATTGTCCCACCCCTGCAAAATTGTTATTTGAAGGCTACCCGGAGTCAAAGAGGCAGGCTGAAAATCTCGTGCTGAAAGCTCACGGCAGAGTTTTGGGTAGTCGAAAACTATCAAACAGTGAATTTTCTTCTGATGATGATGAGGAGGAGGAAGAGGATGGCAATAATTATCAAATGAAAAAAAAGAAAATAGTAAATAATTATGACGATGATTACGGTGAAAGCAAGAAATATTTGAGCACTTTGTCACTTCGTCCGAGCGTTCTTTACGGTGAAGAAGATCCATACTACGTTACAAGCGGCTTAAAATCAGCCCAGAAAAATAACGGAGTGCTATATAGAGTGGGCGATGGCAGCGCAGTGTTTCAGCAGGCATACGCGGGCAACATCGCATACGCGCACGTCTGTGCACTGGCCGCTCTGGCGAGGGACTGCAATCTGGGAGGGAGGGCCTTCTTTGTGACGGACGACACGCCATGCCTCAACTCCTTCGCCTTCATGCAGAACTTCCTGCCTTTGTACGGGTCAGTGATTTAGAGCTTGAAAATGTTATTTACTTGGTTAATTATGATCAATTAATCATTTTATTAAATTAGTAACAATAATTTTTTCCGAAAACCGCCAGATACCGACTATCGGATTGGTACATTCCATACCCGGCAGCATATTCTCTTTTTTGGGTTTTCGATGTATTCATTCGAATATTGAAACCGGTTTTCAAACTGAATACCGACATAAACCTGGCATCGATTATCTACGTGAACAAGACTTTTACATTTAATAGGAGAGCTTGCGAGGATGTGATTGGCTACAAACCGATATATTCGCCGGAAGAATCGATTGAAAGATCGAAAAAATATTATAGCAGCTGCTTGGATGATTGAATAATTTATATAACAATTTTTGTATTTGATGTGGTTTTATTGAAAAACAAAATTTTTTGTGCTTTGGTATACATTTTTTTAAAATTAAAATGTACGTTATGAAAAGAGCAAAACGTTTATAATTCGTTTGGACGACATCTAGTGTAACGTGAAAACCTCTTAAAACTACTTTTCCGATTATCAATTGATCTCAGCATGTTCAAACAACAAAAGTGATCACAATTTGCTGCTCAGTAAGAAAACTCAAACGAGTCGGCACTTCCATCTTCAAAGCTGCTCCCCATTGCTACCTTCCATCCTTCTGACACCAGCTGCTTTCTTCATGCTGACCGCAGGAACATGTCTCCAGGCCTCAATCTCTTCGATGGTTTCTGGAAGGGGCCGATGGTTGGTCTCAGGAAGGAACATCACAAGAACTGCCGAGAGGATTGACATGCATGCGAATGACAAACTGAGAGCCGTTGGAAACATCCTAGCCTGCTCATTTTTGTTGGTGTGGGCTGAAACTTTTTTCGATTAATTGTTCCTCTCGGTAAATATTATTTTTGTATTAATTTATAAATGATAAAACCAATAAGTAATTTTAAAACACTTTTATCCAAAGTTAAAGGCACACACCATGTAAGTTGAGAAGGAAGCCAGCAAGGTACTAACTCGACCCATGCACGAGCACACACCTACCGCTTGGCTTCTGTGATAATTTTAAAAGACAATTTATGGTGTCATCCAAATATGTAGCTCTAAATAAATGAAAACATGAAAATATTTTTAAAACAATTATATTTTTCATCTAACCTCAAATTAGTTGGGAACAGTTCGGCAGAATAGAGGAAGATGATACCGAACGCACCAGTCGTGCCAAACTTTCCCACCATGTTCAGCACGGTACTGCACACCAACACCGTGAAATCTTTTTTATGCGTTTGGAAGTTAAAATTCTATTTACTACTCATGAACTCATTTTGATTTTTTTCCATTCATAAAAAAATGTTGAGGGTGTTTTTTAATAATCAATTGCAAATCAAAATTCGTCATAACGAAGAAAGATGATTTCGGCGAAGCGTACTTTCTGTGTTGGTGAGGAAGGTGAGACTGAACAAGGCCGTTCCTCCAATTATGTAGAACACCACACATGGTCTCTTGCGACCAAATCTTTAATGTTGCAGTCAATCTATTTATCATTGTAAAAAAAAACAGTGCCGAGATGAAATCAAAAATTGTCGAGCGCAACGGACCTGTTAACGGCGAAGTAAGCTATCGTGTAGGCTGGGATCTCAACGAAGCCGTTGTAGAAAGCATTCAGGTACCTGTCACCTGATAATTCAGCAGTGCTCCATGAGAGGCCGTAATATATCAACGTCACGAAAAACCTTTCGTCGGGAACAAAATTAACTAATAATCTATTAACCATTTAGTAAAACGATTCAACCGATGAAGTTTTTATTACAATGTATAAGAACGAGAATAAGAAAACAAAATTAACGCAGTGTAGATAAAGGATTAGAAATCTTTTCAAAACTGACCACAAAATTCCAGAGATAGAGAAATGTTTGAGCATCGTTTTGTTCCTGACGAAATCAAGGTAAGTGTACTTAACAGCCTGGTGCTTCTGCAGAGTCCTCTCATCCCGGCCCTCAAGATCCAAGCAACTGCCGTCCAACGAACACCGATGTTTCACGTGCAAATCAATTTTAGGCAGGACCACCTTATTCACCTTCGCCGCATGCTTCAAAATTTTCTCAGTCTCATCAATTTTATCGTTGGCGTACAGCCAGGCCACTGATTCAGGCATCAAACTGTAAATTGAACAATTTTGAAAAAATGTGAAAAAAATTATCGTCAGAGAAAAGATAATTAAAAAGTAGATCTAAATTATTTATTAAATTTGACACTCAAAATTAGCAACTACCAGAATAAGGGCATGTTCAAAAGACAAGAGAGGCTGATGAAGACTTGCAGGTAAACCCAGTCACGAAGGATGTAGGCGAGCAGTGGCAGCACTGCACATCCGATTGCCCAGAAGTTCGCGCTGAAGATTCCGATCAGTGTTCGTTCGTCAGCTGAGAAAAATTCAGTGACGAGCACAAAACCGAGCAGGAGACAGCCCTGCAATTGAAGTTTTTATTTTTGTAACTTGTTTGCATAAGTCTGTTCAATGAATTGTAGATTATTCAACCGGTCAATATTTCTTATGTAGTCCCACTATTTTCCTATTAGTATCACTCGACAGCGCTCATCAACAAATGAATAAATCATCAACTTGTTGAAACGTTTTTGATATAAATAATTAAAACTAAATAGTTAATAATTTTAGACAAAATTTTGAAATGAAATGTAAATAATAGCAACTTGTTGAAAAACTCCAATCCAAAATCTGAGAAACATGAAAAGGTAGAGATTGGGAACAAAAGCAGAAATGCAGCCTGCAAGAGCTAAGCCGAGATGTGCGAACAAGTAGGTCGGCTTCCTTCCAAACTTGTCTCCGAGGATCGTGAAGATGATGGCTCCCACCATGATCCCAACCACAAACATCGTCTGAGATACTTGTGCGAAGAAATTTCTTTGACACACCAAGTCCCACTTCAAAAAATAATTATCAAAACAAAGTTGTGATCAAAGTTATAGGTGTCCGGAAAATTCATCGTGGGGAAAAATTCATCGTGAGGCTAATTTGAAGTTACAGCTTTGCAATTACGCGCCCTTGAATGTTGAACATTATAAATACCTTCTCGTAGAGGATTCGATTGCGAGCAGAGCAAGTGCAATTAGCTTGAAACTCACTCGAATTCAAGTTGAAATTTGTCGAAATAAATTGAAACGAGCCGAAATGTGAATTATTTTCGAACATTCATTAATAGATCGTTGATTGAACGACAGCATTGACGAAGGTCAGGAATCGAACACAAGACCAACAGCTGTACCAATTAATCGATAAATTAATTAATTAAGCCGAATGATGAATCAATTTTGGCAATTTATTGACAAATTAGGCCGAATAGTAAATAAATTCTGGCATTTTATCTATTAAACGATTGTTAGCAATTATCATTATATTGTACGATAGGGATTGAACCTACCGCAGAAAACGAATCCGAGTTCGATTATTAATTAATCAAACGGCCTCACAAATATTTCTGCTCCGAGCCTCGATACCTTAGAACAATACCACAATGAATTATCCACTATGAACTTTCCCCCACGACGAATTTCCCATAAATCCAAATATTTTTATAACAACAATAATGGCACTAATAATAGATAGTTAATGTTCTTAGTTCAATATTCACTACCTTAGTAACAATGGTGGGTCCTTCAAGGTCCACATTCTCGTACTGCCATCCATGCCTGCATCCTGTAGTGAGGTTGTTGATGGATGAGTTGATGAACATCTCACATCTCGACCATTCCTTCGTTCGTTCGTCGTACGGGATCCATTCTTGCATCGTTGGTGTCGTTGAGTTGTTGGCGGGTGGCAGTCTGCAGTGGTGGGCTGGCTCGTAGCCTGGTTTTGTGATGTTGCATGAGTTATGTTCATCAACAGATCGATTGTCAATTAAATTCAATTAGCATTATTAAAACTTGTAACATCTGCTTGGCATATGATATGATTGATTTGAGCATTCTCTTTACACTGCCATCAGTTCACCGACTGCTTCAATCAATTATCATAAAGTTATTTGTTATCACTAATCAATCAATTAACCAACCAACCAACCAACCAACCAGCCCACCAACCCACCAACCAACCAACCAATCAACCAACCAACCAACCAACCAACCAGCTCACCAACCCACCAGCCCACCAACCAACCAACCAACCAGCCCACCAACCAACCAACCAACCAACCATCCAACCAACTAGCCCACCAACCCACCAGCCCACCAACCAACCAACCAACCAGCCCACCAACCCACCAACCCACCAACCAACCAACCAACCAACCAACCAGCCCACCAACCCACCAGCCCACCAACCAACCAATCAACCAGCCCACCAACCAACCAACCAACCAACCAGCCCACCAACCAACCAACCAACCAACCAACCAACCAACCAACCGATCCAAACGAACGATAGCATATGCCAGGAAGTTGGAAATAGAGAGAGAACTCCGATAGCGTAGAAATAATTCATCTGCCATCTTCCCGCTCTGCCCAAACTTTGCAACAAAATCTCCACCTCCATTTTTTCGATCCAACAATTCGATTCAATATTCAAAGACGATGATCAGATCTTATTTATTAACGATATTAAATCAAGGTAGATTGGGTTCAATAAAGGAAAGGATGAATGAATGAAATAATAGTTATTTGTTATTTTTTTCAACAAATAAATTGGCGAATGTATCAAGTTGTCAATAAGTTTGTTATTTATTGCATTATTATCTAAACACAGGCATCTAATTAGGAAAGACTTTCCAAGCAATCACCGCATAAACAGCACCACCCGGCATAAAATGCTTACAAATTATAAATTATCAAACAGAGACACGCCATTTCCATTTTTTATTATTTTTTTGTGAAGAATATAATTTTTGCTATTATTATTCATTGATCTTTGAAACTAGCGCATAGAAATGTGCATGAATATTAAAACACATATGTACAGTACATGCACGTACAATGTACACATAATGTAACTTGCGATTTGATATCCCTGCGTTCGTTCGTTCGTTCGTTCGTTCGTTCGTTGGACTGTTTGTTCGCTTGCTCGTTTGTTCATTCGTTTGTTCGTTAAAAGCCACATATCTTAATTATCTTTTAATATTTCTAAATATTCATTAACTAGGATGGACTGATCACCACAATCTTAAAATACACAGCTTAAGAAATTTCATTTTATAATGATCAGCTTAACATTATTTTCTAATCAATTTCTTTGAGTTCTCTTAGGCTTAAAAATATATTGTTGCTAGTATGGCAAAAATTTTTCAATTTGAAAATATTTTATTCCAACATATTTGAAATTCATCGTTATAACATAATGGCAAAGTTTGTGTATATTTGGTCTACACGTAAGTTGGAATATTTTAATGTAGGATTTTATCTCATTAGTTGAAGAAAAGATTGTAAATCTTTTATTGAATAAGAACCCGACATAAATTCTTCATTTTTAAACAATTTAATTTTCATGACATTCTCTTCCAAAATGCATTTTACCCTTTTGGATTATTAAACATGTTTTGCTTTTTAAAATTGAAACGGCGTTACAACACTTATTGAGAAAATTAAATTTAAACTAATTAATATGATATTAATTAAATTAACTGCACCCAATTTATATTTCATAAAATTTGAGAATAGTATTGAATTCTACACAAGCTACATGTGGCACAAGCTGTTTGCACAGAGTCAAAATAATTCATGCAGTTTAATTTTGCCGTTACATGAAAATTATTAGTTGCGCGTTTGAATGTGGTTTGCATATTCAGTGATAATATTAGCATTGCATAATATGAAAGGTAAAGATTGATAATGAAAACGTAAAACCGCACTTTAAAATGGAGAAAGCAAAAATAAAAAACTAGCGTTCACATAGAAACGAATGCATAAACGTGCAGTTTCAGCTGGATACAAACCAAAATTCAACTTGAATCTACTCGGTGTAAGTGAAACTTCACTTGCCTGAATCTTACATCATCGCATGCACCAAACCCCACTCATACAGGCAGCAGCCTCCCATCAGACGTGCACACCATCCTTAATAATCAGTGCACCTCCCCTCTTGACGGTGGGCCCGTTCTTCCAGGCCTCGATCTCCTCGATGGTTTCAGGGAGAGATCGGTGCTGGCTCTCAGGAAGCAAGAGGACGAGGACCGCTGAGACGATTGAGAGGCAGGCGAAAGATAAGTTCAGAACTGTCGGATACATTTTGGCCTGGAAAGATTTATTTTGCCGCTAGGTAATGATTCGTTTAGAAATGAATAATTTTTTAATAAATTTTATTTTTAACATGACAAACAAACAGTTCTACAATTTGAATATACTTTTTGCTAACTGAAATTGTGCTAAATATTTTGATATCAAAGCGTTGCTCATGCTTATTGAAATAAATAATTGAACATGAACTGACCACGTAAGAGGCGAAGGAAGCGAAGAGCGTTCCAAACCTACCCAGAAACGAGCACATCCCAATCGCTTGACTTCTAAAAATTCATTTTTCAGAGTTTTACCGCGGTAATTTTATCCAAACAAACGGTCACTCAGTACTATTTTTGTAAATTTATTAACTAGTAATGTTTAATGATGGAGCACCTCAAGTTGGTCGGGAATATCTCAGCCGGGTAGAGGAAGATGATGCCGAATGCTCCCGTGATGCCGAACTTCCCAAGCATGTTTATCATCGTACTCAGTATAAATATGGCCTGATCTGACGATGAGTGGGGCGTATCGTTGAGAACATTATTTTATTAGTTGCTCCAGTGGTCTCGATTTGAATGCTTATATGTGAAGAAATTAAATTAAGAGCTGGCTTTACTACTGATAATTACTGTTACTACAAAAATTCTACTAAAAAATAATTAATGATGATAACAATAATGAAATGAGCCGCATACTCTCCGTATTGGTAAGAAATGTGAGACTGAACATGGCCAGGCCGGTGATGACGTAGAAGGCGATGCACGGCTTCTTCCGTCCGTACCTTAATTTTAAGGAAGGCTTCGTGTCAGTGAAATGCATTCAATTAATGTGAACCGATAGAATTTAATGAAATAATATTACCAGTTAACATTCACATGTTCATCAACTTATCAAGTATGCATATGTACAACAACATAAAACAACAAGTATGCATATGCACAACAACATAAAACAACAAGTATGCATATGCACAACAACATAAAACAACAAGTATGCATATGCACAACAACATAAAACTCGTTATTATTTAGAACTTGATGGTGTTGTAAAACAAATTTGAATTAGTTAGCTGCCTGACTTGTTAACGATGAAGTAGGAGGTCGTGTATGCGGGCACTTCGACGGCCCCATTCAGGAATGCATTCAAGTACCTGTTGCCCGAAAGTTCAGCCGTGCTCCAGGACAGCCCGTAGTAAATGAGAGTCACGAAAAACCTGGGCCAGTTGATTCGTGAGGCATTTGTTTGAAACGTTGGGGAGTTAAATGAATCATTTTAAAAAACAGATTTTCAAAATAGATTTTACGCATTATATTGAAAAATTCGGAATGATTGGTACTTGCCATAAAATCCCAGAGATAGAGGAATGCTTAAGCATAGTTTTGTTCCTAATAAAATCCAGGTAGGAATAATTAGCGGTCTTATGCTGCGGGAGATTTTTTTGGTTGGCATCGAGGTCCAAGCCACTGTCGTCTAAGGAACACCTGTGTTTCACGTGCAAATCGATTTCAGGCAGGACAACCTCATTCATCCTTGCCGCCCGCTTCAAAATTCTCTTCGCTTTTTCCATCTTATCGTTGGCGTATAGCCACACCACTGATTCAGGCAACACGCTGAAAAAAAAAAAATAATTTAAATTTGAAGAATAATTGCGATACTGAGGAGATTTCATTGATATTTTACGCCATCAAAAATTAAACTATGAATAAAAGTGCTTACAAGTAGAGCGGGATGTTGAGGAAACTGAAGAGACTAATGAAGAGTTGCAGGTGCATCCAGTTATTGAGGAGGTATGCCATCAAAGGCAGTACAGCGCATCCGAATGCCCAAAAGTTGGAGCCAAGAAGACCAACCAGCGTTCGCTCGTCTGCCGAAAAAAACTCGCACATCAACACAAAACCTACCAGCAGCGAACCCTGCATTATTTGGTCCTCGTTGCTGATTAATTTTATTAAAAAGTTATCTCTAACATTTTTTCTACTTCATTTACACTAAAATAAAATAATCTTATTTATGAGCAAAATAAATTATTTTTCATTAAAAAGTAATTGGAACCGACCTGTTGAAAAACTCCATTCAAGAACCTAAGAAACATGAAAGCGTAGAGATTAGGAACGAGAATGGTGAGGCAGCCTACAATCGCCAACCCCATTTGCGAGATCAGGTAGGTTGGTCTCCTGCCCAACTTGTCTCCGAGAATGGTGAAGAAGATGGCCCCCGTCATTATTCCAATCACGAACATCGTTTGGGAGGTCTCCGCCAGAAAGTTGTTCTCACAAACCAAATCCCACTAAGGATTTGTAACAGAAATTGTATCTACAAGCTAGGTAATATTTAGAGATAGCCAATAAATGTTCACTGCTGTAACAACAGATGTGGCAATAATGATTCAACGTAATAATCAAAATAGGCTTCAACTTCATGAAACTGATCTACCTTAGTAACAATGGTGGGTCCTTCAAGGTCCACATTCTTGTACTGCCATCCATGCCTGCATCCTGTAGTGAGGTTGTTGATGGATGAGTTGATGAACATCTCACACCTCGACCATTCCTTCGTTCGTTCGTCGTACGGGATCCATTCTTGCATCGTTGGTGTCGTTGAGTTGTTGGCGGGCGGCAGTCTGCAGTGGTGGGCTGGCTCGTAGCCTGTTTAAAAGAAAGGGCAATTCCTTTTTTATATATTTTAATTTTGTTGAATGTTCAAGTTTGTTATCACTTTTATTCTCTGCAGCACTGCAACATATAGTTCATCAAACAGTTAATTGGTTTCATATTTGAAAAGTATTAATAATTATTCTTCATGACGATACTTCTAAGTACTCTAACCGATCGAAACAACAACCAACCAATCCAGACGATGGCCAACATGTGCCATGCGTTCGGCACGGATGAGAATATGTTGATTGCAAAGTAATAAATCATCTGCCATCTACCGACACGTCCCAAACTTTTTAAAAGTATCTCTACTTCCATTCTTATGGACTAATTTGTCTACTAAAACTAATCTAATGTTTCAGTGATTTGTATAGCCTTTTTATTTATTTCCAATAATTGGTAGTAGTAGTAGTAGTAAAAGTAATAGTAGTAGTAGTAGTAGTAGTAGTAGTAGTAGTAGTAGTAGTAGTAGTAGTAGTAGTAGTAGTAGTAGTAGTAGTAGTTGTTGTTGTTGTTGTTACTATGATTATTAATTAGATCGTTTTAACAATTTTCATTATAAAATATCAGTCCTCCGGTTAAACAACAGCCAAACAGATAATCGTTTATTCCAAAGTATATTGTTATAATGTAAATTAATATACGTATATATGTCTTTTAATTAATTAATTAATTTATTTATTTTTTTTTATTTATTTATTTATTTATTTATTTATTTTATTCATCCACCATTAAAAAAAACCATTAAAAAAACAGGATAAAAACCTCCTCTTAACATAATCAGCCAAATTATTGTAAAAAGATTCCTAATTATTTATTTCAAATAGTAATAAATTCAAATTATCATATTTTCAAGATATGTAAGCAAACATCATCATCAACAGCAACATTAGACTTTGCATGTCTCTCTCTCTGTGAGTCTGTTTGTCTGTCTGCGTGTGTTTATCATCTCGTCAGAATAAATTAACGCTGATCCTTCTTACAAACATAAACAACAGACAGACTGGTTGGTTGGCTGGCTGATGTGATGTTGAATTTTAATGTTCTCTACTGGAAATGGTGAAAAACACATACACACACACTTACATATATGCACACATCCACACACACATACACACGCATGCACACATTTACATACACATATACACAGACAGTCACAAAAACATACACATCTGTTTTTAACCTTTTTGAACTTTGAATGTGCTAATTTATATGTTAATTTTCAATGTACAACATATTAACTAAGTATATATGTATGTTTATTTTTGTGCGAATGTATGTGTGAGTGTGTGTATGAATGTGTGTGTGTGAGTGTGTGTGTGTGTGAGTGTGTGTGTTATTATTGTCATTAGGTCCCGCGATATTTGCTCGCGTCAACAATCATTCCATCAGCAAATGCAACAGGCATAAGGCATCATCATCATCATCATCATCATCGTCGTCGTCGTCCTCTTCATCATTACTGTCATAATTTTTTATCTTTATTTATCGTCAAAATCATCATCACATCATCACAGCTGCTGCAGTAGTGTTATCATCCTGATCGTCAAAACAATTATCATTTTTATCCCAATCGTCATCATGTCTTTATTTTATTTATCACCATAGTAGCTATCATTATATTGATACTTTGGTTCTTTTTCTTACTTTTTCTTCACTGCGCCTGTCTGTGTATATTTGTTCACCTGCGCGTGTGTGGGTGCGTGTTGCCTCTTTAAGCTACATATATATGTACACACACACAAACACACACACACAAACACAAACAAACACACACAAACACAAACAAACAAACACACACACACACACACACACACACATCTTTGCGAGAGTTGCGTGTGCAATTACGCAACTATGAAAAGCTTTACAAGTTATCCACTTGTTCTTTTGTATAGATGTATGTGCGAGTGTGTGTGTGTGTGTGTGCGAGTGTGTGTGTGTGTGCGTGTGTGTGTGTGCGAGTGTGTGTGTGTGTGTGCGAGTGCGTGTGTGTGTGTGTGTGCGAGTGTGTGTGTGTGTGCGAGTGTGTGTGTGTGTGCGAGTGTGTGTGTGTGTGCGAGTGTGTGTGTGTGTGCGTGTGTGCGTGAGTGTGTGCGCATGTATTTATGTAAATTTATAAAGGTATATTTAATTATTTATATTATTATATTATGCTCATTAAATAATATGAATCAAATCATTAAAATATTCACCGCAAAAAATAAATTAAACAAACAATTTTATTTAGAATATATGTATATAACTTAAATAAATAACTATATATATTTTTATGTGTGTGTGTGTGTGCGTGTTTGTGTGTTTGTGTGCGCGCGCGTGCATGAATGCAGGCAGGCATGGAACCCCCAATTAGGTGGACCACCGACTGAGACTCCAACTCCGTTCTGTTCATTTTTGTCCTGGTAGGTTGTGATAATGATGATTACTATGGTGATGATAATGATGTTGTTGGTGATGATGATGACGACGATGATGATGACGACGATGATGATGATGGTGTTGGTGGGAGTTTAACACTGATGTGCATATAATGATGTTGTGTGGGTGTGTGGCTTGTGCAAGCTTGAAAGGTGTGCGAAAAATAAAATAAATGTATTCGTTACAGACGAAATTATATATATATCTATAAAAAAAGAAGATGATGATGAAATAATAGAGACAGAGAGAGAGAGAGACAGAGAGAGAGAGAGAGAGAGAGAGAGAGAGAGAGAGAGAGAGAGAGAGAGAGAGTGAAATGTAAAAAGTTGAAGGGAGCAAATCACTATGAACTTCTTAAAGAGTTGAAAGGTTACTAAATCTTTTAAGAAATAATTATGAAAATAATATCATATAATACTAATAATGATAAGAAGAAGAAGAAGAATATGACCAAATGACAAAAGAGCACCTGGATATTGATTCACGCATGACAGCTCAAGACATGATGACGATGATGATGATGATGACGACGACGATGATGATGTGGATGATGATGATGATGTGGATGATGATGATGATGTGGATGATGATGATGATGTGGATGATGATGATGATGTGGATGATGATGATGATGTGGATGATGATGATGACGATGTGGATGATGACGAGTTGCGCCAATTCGTGCAAGAAATTGAGACATGGCAGCAAGGACAATGCAGTCTCTGTTGGAGATTGGCGGAGGGAGATGACATCAACCACGAATTCGAGCGTGGTGCCTCATGTTAATAATAATTTAAAAGTTTTTTCTTCTCATAATAAATTATCCCTCATTTTTCAAAATTTCAAAGAATTATTTATCATTAGTATTCAATTTACTTCAGTCGTAACTTAAATTGAGCAACAGCGTTCAATGGATGAGGAAAGTTGCGAGCAGGCTATTATCAGAAGAAAACGAAGGAATGTCTTAGTCTATGCTGTGTTTTTTTACATTTAATTATTTGTTTGTGTTGGTTTCAGCAGATATTGATGTTATAGATGTTATATAACAATTGGCCTTATGCCGTTTTGAATTCCTCGAATGACTAATTGTGTCTGAAACAACTGAATGAAGGATAATTGATTTATATGTATGTTTACATGTTTGTTAATCAAAGCTGTGCACTGCTCCGACCGAATGTATAATTTTAATGTTACAATTTTTTTTATTTATGTTTCATGACTCTTTAGAACATTTGAACTTTTACATTGTTTGTTAATAAAGACGTGTCTGTAAATCTGCACTTTTAACGAAATTTGTGCTTCGTGTTCAAAAATTTGGAAAATGGAAAATGGGATGAAATGGGAGGGAAAACGAGGGAAGGAAGTGGAGAGAGGAAGTAGGAGTGGGAATTTGTGGGAACGTTGTCGTAAGTGGGAATCCGGGAGGAAATCGGGAATGAGAAGAAAAATGGAAAGGAATTGGGAACAAATTTCAATTCCAGCTCACCTTCACCCTCTTGTGAGGTAGACCCTCTGTTTTATATATAGTTCAGTATGCATGTATGTATGTATGTATGTATGTATGTATGTATGTATGTATGTATGTATGTATGTATGTATGTATGTATGTATGTATGTATGTATGTATGTATGTATGTATGTATGTATGTATGTATGTATGTATGTATGTATGTATGTATGTATGTATGTATGTATGTATGTATGTATGTATGTATGTATGTATGTATGTATGTATGTATGTATGTATGTATGTATGTATGTATGTATGTATGTATTAAAGTGACGTCACTTATGACGTATTAGTTGTGAGGGATTCATTTAAAAGATTTTCCATGTTCACATTTTTCATTCACCCAAGGCGCATGCGCCTTCAATATAATGGCATCAAATGTTTGTTTGTATGTGCGTGTGTGCGTGCGTGTGCGTGCGTGTGTGTGTGTGTGCTAAGTGTGTACGTAAAAGCGTATGTGCAGTCTCTGCTCTACTATCATCATCGTCATCATCCCCATCATCATCAGCAGCGGCACCAAAGACCTTTAAAAGGCAGATTTATCTGGAGCCATTTCCTGCGTTGATGCAAGTAAGTAATTAAAGTTCTATGCTACTTCCGTTTTGGCTCTGAGCAAAGATATTTAAATGCGGCTGATGCTGATGATGAAGACGATAACGATGTTGATGATAGTAGTAATGATGATGATGATGATGATGATGATGATGGTGATGATGGTGGTGGTGGTGATGATGGTGGTGATGATGATGATGATGGTGATGATGATGATAATTATATTTTTCTTTCAAACTTTTTCTTTCAGGTTATTTGTTCATCATCATCATAATAATAACGATACTAAGACTACTACTACTACTACTACTACTACTACTAATAATAATAATAATAATAATAATAATAATAATAATAATAATAATAATAATAATAATGAAACATCGAATTTTTGTGTGGATCAGAAACAACAACAACATCAGATGAAAACACGAGCATTTCGCAATCATTGATACCATCATTAAAAATGCCTGATGATGATGTCGTTGTTGTTGTTGATGATGAAGATGTTGTTGATGGCGATGATGTTGTTTGTTGCTCTTGTTGATGATGATGATGTTGTTGATAATGATGTTGTTGTTGATAATGATGATGATGTTGATGATGATGACATTGTTGTTGATGATGATGTTGTTGTTGATGATGATGACATTGTTGTTGATGATGATGTTGTTGTTGATGATGATGACATTGTTGTTGATGATGATGTTGTTGTTGATGATGATGACATTGTTGTTGATGACGATGTTGTTGTTGTTGATGTTGATGATGACGATTATGATTATGACGATGATATCTAGATGATGGATATATCACCGATTTTTAATTAAAAATATTTGTGTCATACATAGGCATGCTTATGGTCATATATACATACAAGTATATATATATATATATATATACATATGTATGTATATGTATGTATATGTGTGTGTATGTATGTGTGTATGTGTATAATACAACATGTGTGTGTTTGTGTGTGCGTGTGCATGTTCATATTTATAATTAGGTGCTCATCACGAAATGTTAATAAACGTATTTTATGAATTTCTTCGTCAATTTTTTAATTATTTTTATCGTTTAATAATAATAATAATAATTATAATTATTATTATTGTTATCATTAATAAATTGTTTTTATTTTTGTTATGTTTTAATAAAAACGAAATAAAAGAAAGTTAAATGTATTGAGTGTTGGATGGTTGTTGGTAGAGGCAGAGTTGTTTGTATGTATGTGTGTGTTTGAGTGTGTGTGTGTGTGTTTGTGTTTGTGTGTGTGTGTGTGTTCACATTTTTTATTACAAACAAAATTGAAAACATCAATAATTAATTTGTTGAGGCCTCCATTGGTAACGATAACATTGACAGCGTCAAACCGGCAACATCATCAACAACATCAACAGCAACATCAACAACATCAACAACAACAACCTCAACAACAACATTTTCGCAAGCAGGTGTTGTTGGCAAATTGGGATTCCAGCATTGTATTGTCGAGTTATGAATAACGCGAGCTAACCTGACAAATCACTCCTCAATCTACATCAATCTACACACACACACACGCGCGCGCGCGCACGCACATACACAAAAACTTACACACGCAGGCAGACATATACACACAACACGCACACATAAGTTTTACGTTTTACAATGGAATTCATTAATGTCTATATATGTAATGTACATAAAATATATAAAAATGTGTGTGATACACACATACATACACATACACACACACATACACACACACACATGCAAACACACACACGCACACGCATATAAAAAACAATGGAATTCATTAAATGTATTTGTTGTGGGTTTAGACGAAGCATGGAATGGAGGTATGCATGTTCATAACATAACTAATCTTAATTATATTTGTGCTCAAAATGTTTTTATTAATAATATAATCTGTGTGTGTGTTTTTGTTTGTGTGTGCGTGCGTGTGTGCGTGCGTGTGTGATGTGTGTGTGTGTGCGTGTGTGTGTGGTGTGGATACAACACAAAACGTCATGATGACACTTATTGACTGGACACTGACAGAAGCACTCTTGTGCTTTGAGAGCAATCACATTAAATAAGATCACCATCATCACCATCACCAACTTAATTATCATCATCATCATCGTTGTCACACGTTCAGCCAATCACAAACATTAAAGCATCTTCATGTTGTTTGCTTAGTGATGTTGTTTTCGTGACGTAGATAATGATGATGATGACGACGATGATGATGATTATGGTGATGATGATGACGATGATGATGATGATGATTACAATAACACGCTGTCTGCTATTTTCTAAAATTGCCCATTCAGAAAAATATTATTAAAACTGGATCAAATATCGCTGCTAATTTCACTGTTACTATTGAACTACTGCTGCTACTGCTGCTGCTGCTGCTATTGCTGCTGCTACTGTTTCTGCTGCTGCTACTACTAATACGACCACTACTACGACTGTTACTACAACTGCTACAACGACTTCACTACACTTAGCTCGATTACATCTCAATCAATCTTGTACACCTTGGCTATTTTGCACGACTGCGTTCAGTTGAGATGTTGTTGCTGATGATGTGGTTGTTGATGTTGTGAATGTTGTTGTTGTTGTCGCAATGATGGTGTTACTTGCAATTATGTTCACAAGCATAACAACAACAACAACAACAACAGCAACAACGGCAACAATTCGTCTGGACGTTCAACAAGAGCAATTGCTCTTTCGTTGATTGAGTGTTTGCTCGCATGTATGTACGTATGTACGTATGTACGTATGTACGTATGTATGTATGTATGTATGTATGTATGTATGTATGTATGTATGTATGTATGTATGTATGTATGTAATGTGTGTATGTATGTAATGTGTGTATGTATGTAATGTGTGTATGTATGTATGTATGTACAAATAGTGTGTGTGTGTGTGTGTGTGTGTGTGTGTGTGTGTGTGTGTGTGTGTGTGTTTCGACATTGTGTGCATCGCTTTTTTAATATCAATAAAAACCTTTATAGGTAATTAAAAATTTGTACCGTAAATATTATTATTATGATTATTATCGTTCGCTGTATGATTATCATTGATGTTATTTGTATAATTAGTAATTTTTGTGCTTTTGTCAAGAGTTTCTTAACTAAAAATTAATTATTAATGTCTGTACGTTTAACTTTTAATCTCCAAATTCCAAGGAATGTTGTTGAAACAAATTTCTCTTCAAAATTAAAATAAAAAAAGTTCATTAAACGCTGTTGATGATGTCGGTGAGATTTTTTAAACCATAATAATCATAACAACAACAACAGCAATAATAATAATAATAATAATAATAATAATAATAATAATAATAATAATAATAATAATAATAATGGTAACTGTGATTATTATTCTCGTTATTATTAAACTGATAGGTATATCTGCTGTGTAATTTTAATGTTTTTAAACTCCACTGCAGAATTTATATGTGGTTTTCATCTTACTCTTCAAACAACATCAACAATTTCGTCATCATCATCATCACCACTTTCATCATCATCATCATCATCATCATCATCATCATCATCATCATTATCATAATATTTAGAATCTTTTTTGCCATCATCATCATCAGCCCCAATACAATAGTCATCATTATTTTCACCACTTTTGATGTTTGCACGTAACGAATGATTTGTATTACATACGCTATTGTTGGTTTTGTTGTTGCTGCTATTATTGTTGTTGTTGCTGTTGTTATTCGCGTTATTACAATTATAAATGTCCCGGCGACAACTCTTCAGTTGTAATATCGTGTTAATTACAAAAATGGATTTTCTACATCCATCATCTGCTGAAGAGGTTGCTGAGGCTGTTGCTGAGGCTGTTGCTGAGGCTGTTGCTGAAGCTGTTGCTGAAGCTGATGTCGTTGCTGCTGTTGAAAATGATGTTCTTGTTGGTGATAATGATTTCGATGAGTGATTCAGAAAATTGTAAGAAAAATTATTTTGGTTAGCACTCGAGTTGTTGTTGTTGTTGTTGAATGTTTTGAGGCAGGCGTAGTTGTTGTTGACATTGTTATTGGGATTTTTGTTGTTGTTGGTTTCGTGGACTGTGTTGTGGTTGTTGTGTTGAAAGCCATTCAACATTGTAAACTGGTGAGGCGTGTTTCTGTGGCTGTAATTCGATGAATTATTCACAATGTTACTATTACTACTACTATCGTCACTGTGGCCGCATAGAGCAGCGGCCGTACTAGCAGCAGCAGCAGCAGCAGTGGTGCAATGCAGCTTCCTCACGTGCTTCTTCAGATCGAAGTTTCTACAGAAGCCCTTGCCACAGTCCAGGCAAGTGTATGGTTTGCGTTCGTTGTGAGTGTGCATGTGGAACGTCAAGTTGTAAACCTGATGAAAAGCCTTGTGGCAGACGTCGCACTTGTACTGTTTGTCCTTTGAGTGAGTAAGGCGGTGGTTCTTGTAGTTGCCCTTCTGGTGAAAACCCTTGCCGCAAAACTCGCAGACGAATGGCTTGAAGCCCTGGTGGATGCGTAGGTGGGTGTTCAGAGTCGACGAGCGATTGAACGCCTTGCCACACTGCCGACATTTGTGTGGCTTCTCAGAAGTGTGGATGATTTTGTGGCGACAGAGGGTGCTTGCTTGGCGGAAACCTGCGTGTCAGAGTGGCACATTTTCTATTTAGTCATTGCACCCATAGCAAGACCGTTAACCTTAACCAGCCAACCAACCAACCCACCAACCAACCAACCCACCAACCAGCCAACCAGCCAGCCAACCAACCAGCCACCAACCATTTAACCAACCAACCAACCATCCAACCACCAACCAACCACCAACCTTTATCACAAACTTTGCAAACGAAGGGTCTGACCCCAGTGTGGACTGGCATGTGGCGCGTGAGGTTGTAGTGAGCGTTGAATCGTTTGCCGCATTCCGGGCAGATGTAATTTTTTGTCGTCGTCGTCGTTGTTGTTTTTGAGTTGTTGTCGTTGTTTTGTGCTGTTGTTTGTGGTGATGTTGTTGTTGTCTCTGATGTTGTTGCTACTGTAGGCGGTCTGAATAGCGATATGAATGGTCGGTTGGGTGGTACTGTATGAAAGTTTGTTGTTGGTGCGAAGGTTGCTGTCGTGCTTGGCGTTATTGTTGTTGCAATTGATGTTATTGGAGCAGTCGTTTTTGTTGTTGTTGCAGCTATAGAATTGTTTCGACCAGGCAGTAACTTGTGGTTTGGTTGAAGATGTGTGGGTGACTTGTCACGGCTCGAAACTACTAAGTTTTGTTTGTCCCGGCGATGTTGATAGTGTTGTTGGCGGAGCTGTTTGCTTTGTTGATGTTGTTGGTGTTGTTGTTGATGTTGTTGGTGTTGTTGGTGTTGTTGATGTTGTTGGTGTTGTTGTTGATGTTGTTGGTGTTGTTGATGTTGTTGATGTTGTTGGTGTTGTTGATGTTGTTGATGTTGTTGGTGTTGTTGATGTTGTTGATGTTGTTGGTGTTGTTGCGTTGTTGTTGTTGTTTCAAAAGATGACGATGATGTATTCAGTGATGATAGTAGCGTAGATGATAGTGATGATGATGATGATGATGACGACGACGATGATGATGATGACGATAATAAAAGCGATGGTGACGATTCTACATCGATTTTGAAGTCTTTATCTAGAGCAAGCAGAAGGTTCGACAATCTATTCGTCGAAATGTTACATCTCTCTGCTGCACTTGAACCGGCTGTGGAATACCGAACGAATGTTCCAATCGAATCATTGGGATAATTATTTTCCAGTTTTGAAGTCGTTGCTAACTTAGATAACGTTATTGCACTTAAGCTATTTTTGATGTTGTTGTAGTTGTTATAAATGTTGTTGTTGTTGTTGTTGTTGTTGTGGCTGTTGTTGTACATTCCATTAAATTTATGTTTTGTGATTATGTAAGGCCGTGTGTTAATGCTTGCAGTTAAATCGACAATGTGGTTGTTGATGTTGTTGTCGGTCTGCACGTTAATGTCAGTGTTGTTGGTGGTGCTTCCATTATGATATTTCAACTGTTTGTTGTTGCTCGTGCCTGTATAAACTTCAGACTGCAGAGTTTGGAGATGTTGTTGTTGATGTTGTTGTTCAAAATGTTGGTGCTTAAGTTGTTGATGCAAATATTGCATAAACAGTAATTGTTGTTGTTGTTGTTGACGATGATGATGATGACCATGTTCAAATGTTGGAGATGTACTTTTAAAATTGTTATCCTTAGAAGCCGGTCCAAAATCTATCGGATCATTGGTTGCATTGTCGGTTATTTTGCAAGTCGTCGAATTCTCCTGATGATGATGATGATGGTGATAGTTGAGATGATGATGACGATAGCTAAGGTGTGATGGTTGAGACAGATAGTGTGGATGATGATAATGATGTTGATGGTGATGGTTAGTACGCGGTGCTTGCAAGCTGAACAAAGTTTGAAACTGCTTCACATGTGGTGGGGCTGCTAGTGTGATGTGGGTTGATGACGATGAAGACGACGATGAAGAAGTGTGTTCGGTCTTGAATTTTTTACAACTCCGCTCATCGCCAACATCACCACTGCCATCATCCACAAATTGATGACGATGACAATGATGATCCGGGTGTAAATTGTTAGACAGTCTAAAGAGATTGACTTTTTCTTCCCCCCAATCCTCACTGTCGTCTTCTTTATCATCACTACATGTGCAGACATCAACATCCTCATTAGTGTTAATTTTATCATCATCAGTTTTCAGCCGGAAGTGCATGGAATGTTTCCGTATTGGGAGATGGTTGATGATGCGGTTGATGGAGAAAGATAATGCTGACGATGTTGGTACTGGTGACGTCTGTGTCGTCCTTGTAGATGACGCCATCGTTCCGGCTGCATTTGCCACAGCAGCTTTGAAATGGTTGATACCTTTGTTGTTGTAATTGATGGTGTTGACATTTTGGATGTTGTTGCTGATGTTGTTGATGGCAGTTTTGTAGGTTGAAGTATTTGCTGAAAGATGTTTGACAGCGTCCATGTAATTTTCGAAAGTTCTGCCAACAACAAAAGAAGAAGTGGTCGCAGGGGAAGCGGCTTTAATGGCAGTTCCTGTGTCAGCAATCGATTCACTATTACAAGTTGCAGCGTCTGTAATAGTAGCAGTAGTAGCAGTGAAGTAAGTAGTAATATTTGTTGTCAACGTGTTAGTACCAGTGATAATTGCAGTGTTGCTGGGTGCCGTTGTAATAATGTTTACAATGGAATGGCTAGAAGTGTTGCAGGCGTTTGAGATTTCAACATCACTGCACGCGGGTTTAGAATTCGCAGTGTTCATCATGATGAACGTGACTTCATCGAACCATCATCTACAACAATATTTTCTTCTCCTCATATTAAATATCCAATGCCTCTTACATCTTTCAGAAGAAAAAACTTTTATTAAAATTTAGAACCTCCAATCAGCAAAAAATCAATTAAATTTTTTCGCAATTAATATCTGGACACCTTTATGAGAATGTCGACTAAGCAACAAATTTCAAATGCAACACCGCTCGAATGCATATCGAAGTATTAAGAAGGACTGATCTGTCGTTCACGGCAGGATCATAAAATCCAGATTGTTATGTATTTGAAACAGCATGCTCATATATTCTCCCTTATATATTATAACAACAAAATAACAACAACAACAATAATAATAATAATAATAATTTTCCGGCCATTTTCTGCTTGAAACGAAAATAGCAAAAATGTACTAGCTGATCGGCCACTTGTGCGTCACTTAAGAACATCACAGGCGCTCTTTAGCCAATTAAAAATGAGCATTCAAATCTTGTCGACCAACCAAATCACGACTGCTAAGATTTGGCCGCACCCACATAAAAATACTGTAATCTCATTGGCTAGCCATTTTTCAATAATTGCATCGATTATATATAATAGTTAGTGCACAAATGTACGGAACGTGGATGCATATTTGCATGTGTGTATGTGTTTGTTTATTCCTGTATGTATGTATGTATGTATGTGTGTACGTGTGTGTACGTGTGTGTGTGTGTTTAAACTAAGAGTCGTTAAAAAGTAGCACAGGAACAAATGCCAGCCCGGTGATGTTGCGCCGAATCGTTCGGTCGATTTAGTGGCCAATTAATTCGCTAGTCGAACGATAATGGGACAGGACGTGTTTTAAACCGGATGGATGGATGGATGGATGGATGAATGAATGAGAGAATGAACGAATGGGTGGATGGATGAATGAGAGAATGAACGAATTGGTGGTTAGATGAATGGATAAATAAAAAAAACGAATACATTTACATAAAGGAATCCATTTCAGCAATACTTAGGCAACATGTGAGAAAGTAGTCAATTGTTTTCAACTTTGCAGCGTTACGCAACACCTCGCAACGCCACACGCGAGGATTTAATTGGCAATTAATTTGTCGCTAGGTGGCTAATGATTGAATGTTTTGCTTCTGCTCCTTTTAATCTTTCGTAACCGATGTCTTCTTTTTTTTAACAAACGAATGAAATTATTCTGTTATCTGTTTGTTTGTTTGCTTGTTTGTTTGTTGTTGGTTTTGTTGTTGTCGTGTGGATGGCGTTTTGATGATGTTGACGTTATGAAGGTAGGATCGAACCAAGTCTCCAGCCAGCCACAAACAAACCACTAAATTTGAGCCGTCAAATTTTTACAGCAAATTTCTGCTGAAAAGAAATCAGTCATTAAATGTCAACTGCATTTAAGAATATCTGTCTTTCATCATCTTGTGCTCGGCAGAAATCTCAACTTTTCAGAAAAAAACATTCCAATTACTACCATGAAAGAGGAGAATAACTTGCTCTAAAAATTACAATACACATTTACTTTATAGTTTTTTTGTACGCTTCGCTGGATAACAATGACTAGATTCCATCGGAATAGAATATCAAAACTATGTACATCCTCATTTGTCTAAATTTAAATATTGCATCAAAATAATACCAAAAATACGCCACAGGCACCTAACTTTGTACAATGTTTCAAGAAAGACGTGGCGTGACGTCAGAGAGATGGACTAAATAATCCTTTACAATTAGCGCGCTACATAAATTTATTCGCCTGGGTAGATAGTTTGATTCTTTGAAATCTATCCATCGATGTATCGTATGTAATTATTGTTGTACGTGCATGCACAGATGCATATTTGTGCGCACTTCATCCAGCATTAATTTCACACCCACTAATTTGAATAAATACCTCGCCTATTAATATAAAAAGAAGGTTGAACGCCATTGAGTGCCTCAATTAATAACATAATACTTTCAATTGTTCGGATTAATTTCTTAACGAGCTATCCAAGATTTGTTGGTATATTTGAAGATGTGTATGTGTTTGTATGCGTGTCTATGTGCTTAATATTTAGTTAGTGTGATGTGTGTGCGAGTGTTTAAAAAATAATTTAGATTGCAATGTTTTTAAAACAATGAAAACAGAACAGAAATATGCGCAAACAAACATGAAAAGTGTGTGCACAGTTGATCAAAATATGCTAGGATACGTGTTCGTTCAGCCTCTTTCTACAAAGCCTATTCTAAAGTCTATGCGCTTCTTTGTCCACAAAATATATCTGTGTCTGTGTGTGTGTTTGTGTGTGTGTGTGTGTATGTATGTGTGTGTGTATGTATGTGTGTGTGCGTGTAAATTAAATAAACAAAAACGCGTATGTTTTTGCAAAATGTGCGTGTGCGTGTGTGGTGCAAAATATATGCTTGTATCATACAATGCGTGTGTGTGTGTGTCTACAAAGGAAATGGAACGTGAACGTCTTAAAGAGAAATAATTAGCATTAACGCACGAACGATCGCATTAAACTAATTTGAACTATTGACACCCCTCACTCTCCATTTACTAACTCTTACTTTCTCCTCTCTCACTCTCCTAAACTAAAACCTTATTTTGTTGCATTCTGAATGTTTCTCTTGTTTTGTGCTAAAATTGTTACTTGGTATTATAATTTTTTGTCGTGCGTGATGGTTCAATGTCTTAAACAAATGCATTGGCAAAGAAAAGTTAAAATACCGAAATGACGGAAAAACAACACTTCCTCGTCCAGTTAACAGTCAGCTGACAAAAAATTCAAAATTAAATTAGAATGATAACAATACTTATAGATTTGATTGAATGGAGTGCAGAAGTTGGATGGAAAACATCCGACTCCGATTCCGGCCCCTCAAAATTCCGGCAGAAGTCTATTATGGTTTTCATTTTATTAAATGCAACTGAATGGATGTCGGAACGATCCATGATTGCAACACTACAATCTTAAAGGTAATTATTAAACTTGAGTTAACGCAAATTGCATTCCTTACCAGTTACCGACAACGTTTTGGGTTTTAATGTTTTGGCTGGCGTTATTATATTACATGATCTGAATTTCATCGCCAAAGAACGAAACAATGATTTACTAGTTGATGAACGATTTTGATATATTGACCTTTGCTGACTCAAGATTTTTACTCGATATTGAAAATTTTATTTAAAAAATCTCGTCAAGCAATAAAATAAAATTGCATCAGCTAGATTTGAATTTTAAAGGTAACGTGTGCCGTGTTGTGTCGCCTTCTCTTTAATCAACAAATCCGAGATGAGTAAATTATAAGACATGAAAATGTTAATTGTAGCGAGAGAAGTTTTTTCCTAAATTTTTTGTCAGCTCAAACCAAATAAAAAGCCATTATTTCAGAAGTATTACCTCTACACGTTAAATCCTTGCGATTTAATGAAGATTAAGTAATATGGATTCATAAAACCGAAAAAATAACACTTCTCAATCTTTTACTAATTTTCTTCCAAATTCTTACAAATCAATAAATTCAACAATTATTTGTTGTTGAATTTATTGAATTGTAATTTTGGCCTAGTGGTTAAAGTCGTCTGATGCTGCTTCGTAATGCTCGCAGTGACCGAGTTCAATTCAAATATGACGAAAAGGATCTCCGTCTATCTCATGCTTCGTATGTGTTGCGTCGTTTAGCATGTAGACATATTATTGGGTGTTTGTGCCTGCTGTTGATTCTTCTGAACCTAGGATGAGTGCGTTGGACCTTTTTATTACCAATTTTTGTTTTCCATTTTATTTTTCATAATGATATATCTGAGCTTCGAGTTAATATTCTTCAAGAAGTATTATTGAAATTTGATTGCAGTGAGAAAGTGATAGAGCTTCTTGCTGATAACACATATACCTGCTTATTCAAAACTGGAAGGTGTGATATAAGAAGCCATTTCATCAATAAAATGAAAATTTAGAAATATGTGTTGAAATTTTTTTATAAATATAATTTTATTATTTATTACAATTATATGATTCTAAGTAAACAAAAGTGTAAGCTGCATTAAACAACTGCGCTACAAAAACAAACTAAGTTCCATACCATTTTAGACATTTTGAACTGCTATTAATAGACAACCAATAGGAGATAATGTTACTTGCAGATTAAGTTCCAGAATATTCTATAAAGTGGTTCTCCGTTATTAATTTTCCATTATTTTGTTTTTATTTTATTTTAAAGTTTTTAATTTTTGTCTTTGCTTAATTGTTATGTGGTAATTTATATGAGTTTTTTTTATCTTTTTTAGATGATACATTATGAACGCGTATAACCAAAACCGACGACGTAAATCGCAGAAAAACAAATTTGAAAATTTGCAAAAAAGAAAAAAAACGAATTTGATGGAAGCAGTGCAATTCAATGCAATAGTAATTTGAAAAAATGATTTTTTGTTCATACATTTAAAAATTTTTCGCAGTTTGGTCAGCCAATAAGAAGCTTCGTTACATTTGCGTCAGAGCTGATTACTTCCGAGCTAGCGTAACTGGCGTCCTGCGTGCCTACTTAAGCCTCTGTTCAAACCAGCATTGTTCATTTCATTTCAAGTTAGGAAATTGTTCTTGTCGGCCAGTTGCTTCAAGTTTCGCAAGTCGATCTCTTAAATTCATCACACTGTTTCTTATTTTTTTATTCTACGAAGAAGTAAGCTTATTTAAATTATTTATCCGATTTTTTATTCTTATTTAATAGTCAGGAAGTTAAGTAAAATGTAACAGCAAATTAGATTATTGAAGATAGGATAGAAAGTAGAATTAGTATTGTTTAATTATTTTAATTTAATCACTTAAAATAAATCTGTATTTTGTTATTTTTTATCGATTTTAGGTTCTAGAACCTTAAAAGCAAACAATGGCTAAAGCACCAGCTATCGGTATTGATCTTGGTACGACTTACTCTTGTGTGGGTATCTTTCAACATGGAAAGGTCGAGATCATCGCAAACGATCAAGGCAATAGGACGACTCCCAGTTACGTGGCTTTCACTGACTCAGAACGTCTCATTGGTGATGCTGCCAGAAATCAGGTAGCCATGAACCCCACCAATTCAGTTTTCGATGCCAAACGTTTGATTGGTAGAAAATTTGATGATCCCTCCGTCCAATCTGATATGAAGCACTGGCCATTCACGGTAATAAGCGATGGTGGAAAACCCAAGATACAAGTTGAATACAAAGGCGAAACTAAAACGTTTTATCCAGAGGAGATTTCATCTATGGTTTTGCTTAAAATGAAAGAAACTGCTGAGGCATATCTTGGTAAAACTGTCTCAGATGCTGTAGTAACAGTGCCTGCATATTTCAATGATTCCCAGCGTCAGGCTACTAAAGATGCAGGAACAATCTCTGGTTTAAATGTTTTAAGAATCATTAATGAACCCACTGCAGCTGCCATTGCTTATGGTCTGGACAAGAAGGTAGGTGGGGAAAGAAACGTTCTCATCTTTGATCTTGGTGGTGGTACTTTTGATGTTTCCATCCTGACAATCGAAGATGGTATTTTTGAAGTAAAGTCAACATCTGGTGACACTCACTTGGGTGGTGAAGATTTTGATAACCGCATGGTCACTCACTTCATTCAAGAGTTCAAGAGAAAGCACAAGAAAGACATCAGCGACAACAAAAGAGCCGTCAGAAGATTGAGAACTGCCTGTGAAAGAGCCAAGAGAACTCTTTCTAGTTCCAGTCAAGCCAGTGTTGAAATTGATTCTCTGTATGAGGGAATTGACTTTTACACAAGCATCACACGTGCCAGGTTTGAGGAACTGAATGCAGATCTTTTCAGAGGCACTTTAGACCCTGTTGAGAAAGCTCTTAGAGATGCAAAAATGGACAAGGCCAGCATCCACGATATTGTCCTTGTTGGAGGTTCAACTCGTATTCCTAAGGTGCAAAAGTTGCTTCAAGATTTCTTCAATGGTAGGGAATTAAACAAGTCCATTAATCCGGATGAGGCTGTGGCTTATGGTGCTGGTAGGTATTTTCTTGCTTGCTCCATCTCATGAATGTTTTAATTTATTTTTATTCTAATTGTTAAACATAAGTAGATATCTCATCAAGGTTTAAATATTGTTATCAATTTGTATTCAACAGCCGTTCAAGCTGCCATCCTCCATGGAGACAAGTCAGAAGCAGTTCAAGATTTGTTGCTGTTGGATGTTGCCCCGCTCTCTTTGGGCATTGAAACAGCAGGTGGTGTGATGACTGCCCTTGTTAAGAGAAACACAACCATACCCACCAAACAGACACAAACATTCACAACATACTCTGACAATCAGCCTGGTGTGCTGATCCAAGTCTATGAAGGAGAGAGAGCCATGACAAAGGACAACAACCTCCTTGGCAAATTTGAATTGAGTGGTATCCCACCCGCACCCAGAGGAGTCCCACAAATTGAGGTGACCTTCGACATAGATGCTAATGGTATTATGCATGTATCTGCCGTCGATAAGAGCACAGGTCGTGAAAACAAGATCACCATCACTAATGACAAGGGTCGTCTGAGCAAAGAAGAAATAGAAAAAATGGTGAAAGATGCAGAGCAGTACAAAGATGAAGATGATAAACAGAAGGATAGAATTTCTTCAAAGAATGCTCTTGAAAGTTATGCATTCAACATGAAGTCGACAGTAGAGGATGAAAAGTTGAAAGATAAAATATCTGATAGTGACAAGCAGGCAGTGCTCGACAAGTGCAATGAAATCATCAAGTGGCTTGATGCTAATCAAGTACGTGTGTATATTTTAATTTGTATGTCTGAGTGTGCTGTTTGTGTTTTGTGCACGGATCAATCTTGGTCATCTCCTTAAAATTGTGTGTTGAGCATTTCAAATGCTTAAATTTGTTAATTTGAAATCCACACAGCTGGCTGATAAAGAAGAGTTTGATCACAAACAGAAGGAGTTGGAGAAGGTGTGCATGCCAATTGTAACAAAAATCTACCAGGGTGCTGGTGGTGCCCCTCCAGGTGGTTTCCCAGGTGCGGGAGGATCTCACGAAGGAGCCTCGGGCGGTGGAAAGGGACCAACTATTGAAGAAGTTGATTGATTAAGAAAATAAATTGCTCCTCGTCTTAGAACATCTTATGTAGCACATTTTTTTTATTAACATTGATCAAGATTAAAACATTTTTCTACACGGTTTCTTTTTTACGGTATTTGTTAGGAAGTTTTTGTGTTGTCACTTAGTTTGTACGAGGCGTTCGGAGGTGCACTGGCGATGGTCTGAATGTTTTTTTGAACGTCTGTTATGTTTCAGATGGGCGCCAATAAAAATGTTTTGGATGTTTTTTCGTTCTGAGTGATTTTTCGGATTCTGTCGTTAGTTCTTTGGTGCAGCGTGATGTATGACGATTAAGTAGCAAAAAACATTTTGCTTATTATGCCTACGGTTATTAAACGGACGAGAAAGCTGACGAAAATTTCAACGAACTCATACAGAAACGTTTAACATAACGCTAAGCTGCCGCCGGCTGTCAGCAAAAACCCGAAAAAAGTCAGTACATACCAGGAGTGCCCTGTGCGAATAACCGCAATGAGATTTTAAGCCGTGGTAACCGCACCCTAGGTTTCGGGTGAAAAATTGTCAAAACTGCGCGGATCTTGCAGTCTGCGGTCTTTGGAAAATGGCCCGCGCAATAGAACTTATGAGATGGTATAAGAAAGTTTAGTACGTACACAAGGAAGCAACAGTTCACTACGCACGTATCAACCGCGGATGCCATAAGAATGAAGGCGCACAACAACATGCCTGCCTGTGTACAGTACACTTGTCACTGCACTCCGCATTTATGACTACGATACAGGTGTATATAATTAGCTATAATCAAATATAAAGATATATATATTATATACATTCGAATATTTTCGTATTCTTCATGTATGCATAAAATGATTTTGGTTATTTGATAAGATAAAAATAAATAAATACTGGGCGAATAAAGAAACAATAGATGGATGAATAAATATTATTTCGTTGATACACAACAAAGAATGGCGTTAGAGTCGGATTGGAACAGTAAAATAAAATAATCAACTACTCAGCAACAACATTGGCAGCTGATGACCATTAAATGATATAGAATATGACTTAATTATTGTTCTACATGGCTGCTTTATGAGCAGAAACACCAACTAAAAATTGATTGGCGGAATAATTGAACTACAAACATAAGAATTAATTGATTAATTATATAATTAATTTAAAAAATTATTAATGATAGAATTAATTTAACAGAAAAGTAGTAGTAAGCTTCAATGAAATAAACGCATACACACGAACCTGTGCTTATACAAGCACACACACGTACACACATACCGAATACAATCATAATCACACATACATAGGAATTATATTATCCCACTATTAAAAATAATATTTTCATTTATTAATAATGAAATATAAAATGTTAAGCTAAAAATATAAATTGGAGATATAAATTGGAGAAACAGATGAGAAATGAGATGAGAGAAACTTGAAAACTAATCAATTAAAATTAATTACATTGAAAGTGTACAACCCATGTTTAAAAGTAATCGAACATTAACATTTAATAGCAATAAATGATCATAACCAATAACGAGAATCATAATGAATAGCAATGAAATCCTCATTGTTAATAATAACCTACAAGAGATGACATCAATAGCAATACAAAATAAAAAAATAATATGAAATAATCATAATGTAATCATAATGACCATTGAAAGAAGTAATATAACTAATAATTATTAGCAATCAACCTTAATAACAATGAAAATGATGATGAAAATGTTATTAATTACAACAAAAAATAAAAAAAGAACATTAGTAAGAACGAAATAAATAAAAGTCGCAACCAGTGACGATTTTAAATCTGAGCACTTGAAAATATTCAAAACAAAAACTCCTAACTCATCATTATCATCACTAGGATCACTATCATGACTGTCAGCAGTGACGATAGCCAATCATCAACATCTAAAAATAACTGTCATTAATCATAGCTAAGCAACTCATCAACTTTCGTTCACTGTGAAACAAGTCTAGCCGTCACACATTTAAAAGAAAATATCTAAATATATGCACACACACACATACACATATGAATGTGTACAAACGTGTACTGGTACAGTAAACACACACGCACACACACACACGTACACACACGCATATATAAATAGTATCGTATTAATTCTACCCAGTTGTTGGCAATAATCAATTTAAGGTTTGTCTTTTCAATTTTCCTTACTAGAAGAATTTTCTGGGAATTGTTCAATTTATTGAATTTTCAGAAAATTCTACTAAGGAAAATTGAAGAGACGAACTTTAATGCGATAGAATTCGTAAAATGCTGTATGAAATATGGTCTACTCCCATATAAACATGTGTATATATTAATACCTACATAATCATATATAATCAATATATATATATATATATATATATATATATATATATATATATATATATATATATATATATATATATATATGAGCAAACGCATGTTACACCTGCAACTAGAAATATTTCATGCAATTCAAAAACACACAGTAAGAAAATTAATACACACCAATTCGCATTACAATTACGACATCAATTCAACTCATCATTATACATTGAATGCTAACGATCTTTGGAGATAATTATAAATTATACGTAAGATATGTTTAGTGTTTATGTATGTATGTATGTGTGAGTGCGTGTGTGATATGAAGACTGTGGCAATTGATTTGTAATTAATAAGGACTTGCGAAATAATGAACATTTTGTGATGCGCCACTTAAATCAGAACAAACATGTTATCTGGCATCTCTGGTACTACTACTGCTACTACTAAAAATAATAATTATTATAATATTAACTATAATAATAATAATAATAATAATTAATATTATTATTATAGTAACATATTGATAATATGGCAATAAATAGTCTAGAACTTATGGAGAATAATCTACAATACATTGTGAGCCATGGCATGGTATGTTGCACAAAAAAGAAATATTTCATTTAAGTTGATAGCATCCATTGAAAGAAAAAGATTATAATCTTTTTGTTACATAATTACTGCTATTTTCACGAATGTTGCTATTTATTTTTCTGAACATTAGCGGCCCTCTTATGAGTCGCTATGGAAGAACTTGAAGCTTCCATTAATTTCTGGCTGCTGTCCTTCACTCGCGATTTGTTCCCCTCGTGACTTGAGTCACCAGCATTGCCCGCAGCAGCACGGCTGTTGCTGATGTTGGAGTTCTTCGTGCTGTCACTGCCAGCTGTGGAAACATTTTTGAATCGTTGGGCCATTTGGGCGTAACTCATTCTTGATTGCCCTGTCTGCAAAAAATTCATTCCAAAATTGATTACAAGTAGAACATAAGGATAACATTAATATTAATAATTAATAATAATAATAATCATAAAAAAATAGCAACATTAATCATCACCATCATCACAATAATATTAGCAACATAAGGTCAATATTTACACACAAACAACATCAGACAATGATTGGACAACGAAAAAAAAAAACTTTGAAACTGACAAATTCTTTATTTCCTTCCATCTCGCAATCATTACCAGCACTCTCATCATTATCAGCAACACTACTATCGTCGCCACCACCACCACCACCACCACCACCACCACCACCACCACCACCACCACCACCACCACCACCACCACCACCACCACCACCACCATCCTCATCATCATCATCATCATCATCTTTATTATTGATGCTGCATTCCACATTCCTAGCAGATTTCATAACAACAACAACGGCTGAAGTGTTTTTATGTTTATTATTATTATTGCTGCTGTTTTTTATATTGTAATTTATGTTACTATTATTATTATTATTGTTGTTGTTGTTGTTGTTGTTGTTGTCGTTATTTTTAGGAAGGTAAGTGTCCCCTTGAATGGTAGCATTCGAAAGAACGAGTGTATCACGATCGATAGAGTTGTTATTAATATTGTTGTTGTTATTGTTGTCTTTTGTGTTATTGCCGTTGGTGTTGTTGTTTTTGTAGTGAATGCAGTTGTTGAGAGCTTGTACATAGGAAGGCGGTTTTGAAATGATTCTGTTGGATGCTGTCGTTGTTGTTGGTGTTGTTGATGATGTAGAGATTGTTGTTTGAAATTGAACGCTGCTGCTGCTGTTTCTACTGTTGTTGTTGTTGTTGTTTAAGAATGGCGTCGTCATTGTTTTAGTTGCAGTTGAAGGCAACGGTGGAAATGAGTTTGATTCAAGGTTGAAAGTTGGAACAGTTGAAGCATTTGCTTGCGGTTCCTTCGAACATTTTGGAGATCTCTGCAAACTGCTGTCATTCTTCTCGGCACGGTGATTCTGATCGGAACCAGTAGAGTCAAATAATTAGGGATGTGACATATTTTACAAACATAGCCTTACTTGAATGTTCAACAAGAAACAGATCAAACAAAGAACTATTAAAACATTTAATCATGAGACAAAGAACATTAAAAAACTTAAAGAGGTTCAACAGTTTTAATCTTAATAATAAGAATGATTAATGAAAAAATGTACATACTCTGCCACTGCTGCTGCTATTGTTGTTTCTCTGCGGTTCGTTCCTTCTATGCACACTCATACTGCAGTTGTTATACTCCATCCTTCTGATATTTTATGATCCACTCATCAGCAACGTCAACAACGAACGCAACATCAACAAACAAACAAAAAAACGAACAAACAAACAAACAATCAATCGATCAATCAATCCGACCTGTCAACAATTTTTCTACTCCTGCTATGGAAGGTGCAAGCTGTTATTGATATGTTGTTCTTTTTTTCGCCGTCTCCATCATAATTTTTCTTCTGGCTGGCACTATCTGACGACTTCCAATTACCACCATCACGACCACCATCATCATCAATATTATTATTATTATTGCTGTTGTTGTAGTAGTTGTTGCGGTTGTGCTTGGATGTTGTAGCAAAATGTGGTTGTTGATTGTTTTGCTGTTGTTGTTGTTGTTGTTGGCTTGAAGGTACACATGAGCCAATGGTTGATGGTGTTTGAGATGTTGCTACCGTTTGATTGTTGAGCGGCTGACACTTTGTTGTTGTTGCTGGGAAGAAGTTAATGTCGCTTTTAATGTTGTTGCTGGCTTTTGATGGTTGAGAAGCATTACTGCAATCATTCCATATTTCAACTAATCTATTGGGTACATCACATTCATCATCATCATGATAACCATAATCATAGTCACTGAAGTTGTTATCATTGTTGTTGTTGTTGTTAAACAATTGTTGTTGATGTTGACGTTGTTTCAAAAATCTTGGTGGGGGTTTGCTGTCACCGTAAGAGCCATAATATCTATGATGATGATGATACTGTTGAGAATGGCGTTGTTGCTGGTGCAGCTGATGTTGATGATGATGGTTGTATTCTGAAGAAGATGAATGATTATCATTGTACCTATTGTTGTTGTAATAGTAGAAATGTTGTTGTTGGTTGCTGCTGCTGTGGTTGCTGGCGAGACTGCTGCAGCTGCTGCTCTGCTGGCTTCGGTGGAAAGTAGACCTGCATGGTGTGGGCAAGTGTTAGGGCTGAGTGATGCGAGACTGTCTAAGTGAATGGACGATAAAATAATTAAATTAATGAACGAAATGAAAAGTTATTTAGGAAGAAGAATATTTCAAACTAGGCCAAAACAAAAAATAGACTGTTGAATAACACAAAATTGAATAGAACGTATCTTGAAAAAAAGTGAAATAATAATGAACGAAAATGATAGTGGGTCGCATTGAAATATCAGAAATGAATTGCTACAAACAATGGACAACAAAACAATAACAACAAAACAAAACTACAAAACAACCTGTCACGTTTGTTCACGCTGCTTCGATGTTGTTGTTCATACACTGATGCTGATGCTGTCGACAGCAAACTTGCATTGCCGTTGTTGTTGTTGTTGATTCTATCAGCAGTTTTTTGAAGTTGTGGAGCATAATAAACAGGAAACACGTAACCACCGCCGCCGCCGCTGCTGCTGTCGGCAGGTGTGGCCCCCGTGTAGCATGACTGCATGTCGAAATAGATATATATGCGTATATCATTATGCTTGTCGGTATTGCTCGCATGGTTTTAAAACCCAAAAGCACAAACACATTACAAGAAAAACAAAAACCTCTGCTGTTGAAAAAAAACATAGCCATCTGGCATGTTAGAAAAAAAAAGCCTTCTCTCTCTACAAAATCTGCGGGAGCTCAATCCAGGCTGCCTAAAAAATGCGGAAGTTGATTCCAAAACTGCAGAACAATTCTGTCCCAAAACTGGCAAGGAAACAGATGAATAAATCCGAGAAGATTTTTAAAATGCGTGAAGGAATGCAGGGTTGTTAACGCTATGCATAAAAACAGCCATTGCTACTACCTTTTTTGAAATAAATATCACATTGTAGCAACAACCTGCCAACCATACCTTATAATTTGCCATCGAATTATGTTTGATCAACGTTTCTCCCTGACATGGTCTTGCAAAAGTTGAGTTAGAAATACTTTTGATGAACTGTTCTTTATTAAAATGTTTCCAGGACTTAACAAATTTTGTACCCACCTTACTAAGCGTTTGAGTAATCATCACTTCACCTCTATGCAACCTTCGTCTGAAAAGATTTCACTCAAAAAAATTGTTGTACTGGCTATCAGATCTAGTTATTAAGTTAAATACGCCATTACATTTGTATTTTTCTATACATTTGCCAAAAAAGCCAACAAATATACAACAACAACAATAAAAAAGAACAAAATGATGAACCGACGTGATGAATAGACTGCCACACGTGTGTTGGCTGGACCAGCTCAGGCGGATAATGTGGCACATTCTGTCAACAGTATATGATCAGGTAATAAAAATAACAATGATAATGGTAAAAGCCAGGTACCTGGAAGAAAACAGAAGCGGAGTTATTGATGTTGAGATGCTGTGCCGATGGATTGTAAGTATGGTTTGGTGATGTAAGAGTTATTAATGTTGCCATGTTGGTTGATGGTTGCTGCTGCTGTTGAATGCAAGCTGTGAGACAACTTGACGACGAGAGGAATGTGTTGCTTGTCTTGATTCGAGCCTAAAGGTAATTTGCAAATAATTATTTTATTCATCTATTCATCCATCCTCTTTTAAACAAATTTTTCATAATCACATGGACAATTCTGAAAATATTTAAACTTTTTCAATTAATTTGAAATCTATAGGATGAAGTGTTTACAGAGCAATCAGGTGCTAAAGCACTTGTACTCATCTATCTGATGTATCAAACAGTTACACGGTAGTCTGCTGATTCAAATGAAAAAAGATCTCGAAAATTTGCAAATGTTGTCCACCAGTATAGTCTGGCGGTCTATATTTAAACCTACGCACATTAGCAGATAGTACCTACTAGAGCCGGCCTGTGCAGTTCACCGCAACCGTAACCGCGGTTATCATTTTAGTTGACTGCGGTATTTGCGGTTTCAAATCGATTTTTTTTTATTTCACTTGAAATTAATTTTTTGAATTTAATTTTCATTGTAGAGTTTTCGGTTGCTTTAAGATCGATTTCGCATTTCCTCTTCCTTTCTAGTGTAGAAGTTGGTTAGCCTGGTTTAACTCATTCGTTATTTCACAGTAATCATTTTAATTCGCTATAGTTATGTCGTTCGATAGAATGATGCCTGCTGATTATGATGACGAGCATGATGAATTGTCAGAAACAACAAATGAGACAAAAGATAAAGCTACTGACAAAGAATTTATCTTCAATTTAATGCTGACCAAAAATCCAGATGTCACGCTACAGAGTCGACGAAGTTTTAAGGCCTGCGGCAGTTCCGAGTAGGAAACAAAAACTCGGCGTGGAAATAAATGAAGTAAAATATTTTACTTGGCTAAATTAAATTTCAAAAATATTTTACTTGGCTAAACTAAATTTCAAATAAATTTGACTTTTGTATTTTAAGAAACTCGAAAGCAATATAACAACATTTTTTCCGAAAGGATGAAATCTTCCAGTCACTCTTTATGGACGAAAAATTTTGTGAAAACGGGTTGAGTGCGTAAATCAAAGAAAAACGAGCCATATAAAAGTTATTGATTATTGGATAAGCAACCGAGATTATGGTAAACTGAGGGAGCTCTGCTTCTTCATCTTTACCATTCCAGCTTCAAGCGAGTCCTCAGAGAGAGTTGGCTCATCACTTGGCTACACATTGCAAAACAGACAAAGTGCAACAAATGTTGTTTGTTAGAAGCAAAAATGACTTGAACAATTAAACTTTAAAAGTTTAGATAATTAAACGGTCAATTATTCAGACGTGATTACACTTATAATTTACATGTATATTAATCTTTGTATATTATTAATATTAATAAAATTTAATTAGTTAAGTGTAGATGGGAAAATGAGCGCGGATGTGCGGTTAAACCTCGGACAGTTAAACTGCGGACGAGCGGTTAAACCGCGGACAGTTAAACTGCGAACGGGCGGTTTAACCTCGGACAGTTAAACTGCGGATGGGCGGTTTAACCGCGGGGCGGTTTGCGGTTGATCTCGTTGCGGTTGCGGCTTCCTTCGCTGTGTTTAGCAATTGGTTGCCGTTTGCTTCGTTACCGTTGCGTCTTGAACATTTGTAACTGCACAGGGCTCTAGTACCTACATCAAATAAACATTAGTTAGGCGACAAAATCTTTCAAGAAGATAACATGCAAAATTATGGAAAGTTCTGTCTAGATAAATTCATAAATAAGCAGCAAACTGTGAAGATAAATAAAAAAAACTTTGATTGGCTGGTCAAGAAAGGTTTGGACATTCTGCCTGAGGTGATGGTAAGCTGCCCGCGCCTGTTGTTCACTCGCAAAGTTGATGTACCAATTTTGGTTGCCTGCATACTCACAGTTAACAGCTGGTGCACTGCCATCTATGTCAAATAACTTTTCGATAGCCTGTTGTTGTTGAGTTAGGGTTGTGGTGTTGTTGTTGCGGTGGTGCTGTTGTTGTTGTTGTGGTGTTGTTGTTGTTGTTATGATTTTTGAAGAGTCTGTTCTGTTGTGATGTTGCTTGCATTAAAAATGAATGGAAGCTCTGCAATACAAACCATCAACAATTCGTGATCATCAATAACTCTAGCATCCCTTTAACATCATCATCTCTCATGATTCTCTCCCTCATAATCATCATCTCCATCAGCATCATCATCTACCTGCTTTGGAGTACTCTGTGGAACATCCCTGAGTATAATTGTTGATCTTGGGATTATTAGTCGCACCTTCGAGCCGCTGGCATCCATTTGTAAATTGGGGAACTCTGAAAACCATTTGATCATTACAACATTTATGATATCTGACTGTAATATTAATAGTAATAATAAAAATGATGATAATAATAATAAAAATGACGAACAAAAATTAGAAAAGTTATACATCCCTAAAAAATTGCCTATCAGTTTATGAGGAATCATTTGGTGGAATTAATGAATAACAAACATAAATAGGTAGAAATTTTTTGCAAGGCAATTGAAGATGATGTCCTGTGGCTTGATTGATTGATGACTGTTTAATTGCATCATAATAATAAGAAGGATCATTCATCTGATGCTGGCTGCTAGATGGAATTACAATGAGTACATGAATGATGAAAGACAATTAATCATAAATAAATTGTCATTATAATGTTTTTATGTTTAAAACAATGATCAAATTAAATACTTTAAAACTATTCTAAATTTATAATTTGGAACCTTCAAGTATTCGAGCAATCAATTTAACATCGGTGGTGAATTGGGATATCCTTCTAAGTTGAACAACAATGTCCAGCGAGATGTACTGGTCAGAGTCAAGTTGGGAAATTAAAAATTTGTCTTTTGAGAAGGATTCACTGGTGGTGGTGGAGGTAATTGTGTAGATGGTGGTGGTGATTGTGAAAAATAATTACAGAACACCAACAACAATAAGATCAATTGTTCTTCATCACACAAAATGAACAAAATATCAGCAAGCAGCAAACAACTTGAAACCAACATAGAGAATATATGTTCCAGTTCTGTTTTTAGAACAAACTTTAGCTCATCATTTGAGATGCTTGTCAGTTCATCATCAGGTGAACAATTTTGAACATGTTCATTAACATTTGATGACGAACAATTGTGAACATGTTCATCAATATTTGATGAACAATTGCAAACATGTTTATCAAAATTTGGTGAAGAATGCAGAATGTGGTCATCCTCATTTTCTGAATGGTTGTTGACTGTGTGAAGAACATTGCAAACAGTGCAACTGTTGTTCATCATTTCATTTAATCCTGTCATCGCTGTTGTCATTGTAATGAAGTTGAAATAAAATCTGTTACTGCATTTGTCAGCGTTTGATGATATTTGTTTGTTTGTTTTTTCGTGTTTTGTGTGGTGTTTGGAATCTTTTATGCACGTGCGTAAAAATTTAGACTTACAAACAAATTTGCCAGTTAATGCACAAAAAACATAAAAATGCTGAAAATAAATAAGTAAATAAATAAACATGTTAATAAATAAATAAACAATTGAGATAAAAAAAAAATTTAAGTGCGCTGGTCTTAAAAATGAAACAGTACAATGGAATTCCTTTTATTAGGTTTGAATCATCATTCATTTGATGGTGATCCATAATAATTTAATTCACGTACACATACATAAGTGTAGAAATTTATACATGCATAGGAATGAGTCAGACATGCACAGGAATGAGTATGGCATGCATAGGAATGAGTATGACATTTACAAGCATAAAGCTAATTTCAATTCATAACAATATTGAACTAATCTAAAAGCTGATTCAAAATAGTATTTGAATCACATGGATGCAAACTACATCAATTTATTTTATTTTAACAAACATAAGCTATTAAAAATGCTAGCACCATTGCACGAATAATGTTCACATGTTGTTAATAATCAGTTATCTAATAATTATAAGAGATATAATTATCATCTTCAAACTTGGTTCATGGCATGGGTGGTTTGTTGGTGCCATCTTTGGAGATGATTGCAAAATGTGACCTCCCCCTGTTAATGCTAACGGGGAATTGTTGTTATCGTTAATGTTTTCGTTGTTGATGTTTTCATTGTTGTTTTTGATATTTTTGTCAACATTGTTAATTTTGACATCACTATCAACATTACTGACGAGAGAGATGTTGTTGTTAGTGTTATAGATGTTAATGTCGACATTCAAATTTTTAATGTTATTATTAATCGCTCCATTAATACTGTTGACTTTTTTAATGTTGTTATGGTTGTTGCAATCGCTAACATGCTTCAATTTTTTGCTAGAACCATCATCACCATCATTATTCAACATTTTGTCACGTAAAATTTGCTTTTCTTTCAACAAAGATCTGTTTGCTTCTTTTGTCTTTTTACCTCTGCCATCTTTAAAGTTTGTGCTAAAATTTATTCCATCTTCTTTCTCCTTGCTTTCATTGACATTATTCAGCATTTCAACAACAGGTTCTGTCAATCCATTTATCATCTCTGTAGGTATGAAATTCAATTAAAATAAAATTCATGTTCGTTTACTGATATGAATGTAATTGATAAATTTTCTAAATAAAATGAATCTTCAAATATTTATGTTGCATAATGAAACTATTTTAAATTTTTGTTCACATTCTTACTTTTGTTTGTTAGTATGTTGTTGTGAGTAGCTTCAGCTAAACTTTCCTCATCCGTGTGATCCTTCTTAGACATACCATTTAATAGCGTTTCCTCAACTACCTCCTGAATGAAAAAAATTTTAAAATTTTTATAGAATTCTTATCATTAGGATAGTAGGGAAAAAATCTTATTGATGAAAAATGAATTGAAATATATAAAAAAGAAATCTAATTGCATTAGGACCCCAAATAAAAATCAGGTCAGAATCACTTTGGCATGCATGTCAACGAAAAATGAGAAAAGTTATTTTTAGAAAAATTAACTTAGCACAGCCATAATAAATAAAATAAATTTGATAAAAAATAAATTCAAAAGTTAACCATAAAAATAATCTTCTTGCTTCTTGTTGGGGAATATGGTGGCAACCCCAGTAATAAATAAAAATTTTCCTGACTGTTTTACTGTAAGTCTGTTATAAATAAAGTAAAGCCTAAACCTAAATAATGAAACAGTGGAGCAGAAAGTGAATAAAACGTAAGTTAGGTAAGTGAACTTAACTAACTTGAAACAACTAGCTAAAAATTTTATTTTAATTAATTAAATTAAAATTATATTTATTAAAATTAAAAAGAGCAGATAAGAAAGAAATGATTTCTAGTAGTGACTTATTGTTATTCTAAATAAAAATTTAAGTCGCCCGAACGCTGAAAAAAAAATGAAATAATTTATTAAAAGTCATTAAATTATCCAATAAACTTCTACCATATTTGATTACAAAATTTTGAACAAATTTCTAAAACAGATGCGACAAAAAATAAACAAATTAGTAAATTCACCGAACTATGATTTTTCGTCCCCATTTTCTCGGTGGTCCGAGAAATTGCACGGGTTTTAACAAACAAACTACATGAAATATTTACTTAACTTATTATTATGTTTAAAACAACTTTGTAATTAAAATGAATTTTGTATTTTAAAATTAGTTTTAAAATTAATTTGTTAATTTGAATATAAAAATTGCTTTTTAGTCCGGTGAAATACAGTAGCTTAGCGAAGCCATAGGTTAGTTTTAATCAATAAGTCAATGATCCTCCTTTGTCCATTAGGGGACCATCTGGGCCGATGGCGTAAAACTAAGCATGCTTTTTACATTTCTTTTCTTTTTTCTTTCCAAAAACTTTTTCTATCTTTGGCCAGTTTTATTGAATTCGGAATACCAACACCAGTCAATTCAGTGATGTCGTCTATCCATTTCTTTGCAGGTCTACCAACTTTTTTCTTCCAATCTCTTTTCCCCATTAGTACCATTTTAATCAATTTGTCTTCCCCATGGATAGTATATATATCCATGGTCTTCCCTCATTCTACAAATGTGTCCAAAAAATTCCAATTTTCTTTCTTTGACTTTGCCATATACACTTTTCCGTCTTCCAAGTTGATTTCTGATGGTTTCGTTCTTTACTTTCTGCCTCCAACTAATTCCCAACAAATTTCGGTAGCACTTCATCTCAAACGCTTCCAGTCTGTCTTTGTCTTTTTTTTTAATTGTCCATATCTCACATGCATAGAGCAAGCTTGGAAAAACTCAAGATTCTATCATCCTCAGCTTTGTTTTTACAGATGATATATTTCCACTTTTCCATATTTCCTTCAATGATGCGAACATTTTATGGGCTATTGCCATCCTTCTGTCAATTTCTTTTGTGCAGTGGTTGTCACAAACTGGTCTACTTGTTCGAGTTTTTCTGATTCTATCTGAAATTCCATTGTTTTTGCCTTTCCCCGNTAATCATCACTTTCGTTTTGTCTTTGTTGAGATGCAGCCCGTGATCTTTTCCACCAACGTTAGTTCAATCAGCTTCTGTAGATCTTCACTGGAAGCTAGAAGATCTATATTATCTGCAAACCTTAGATCTTTGACAATTCTCCTTCCTATGTCAATTCCACCCGTTTCCGAAACTGACATAGGTTAGTTTACCAGGATTGAAATATAGGCATTCTTTTTTTTACATATTCGACCTTTTTAAGCTTTTATTGTTCTTTTTTTATGAAATAAACTGCGTAAATAGATCAAAATTGTTATTTTAAAAACTATTTTCTTCACGCTTAATAAATATTTTACATCCTAATTCAGACAGCCAAGCCGCCGCTGCATTTGACTATCGCCGGGGGTGACGACAGACGAGTTGAGGACCGCTGGTTTAGAATATATATTGCTCTTTATCGTTACGCTATCTTAAAAAAACTATCAATCATGATTGTAACAGCTATTATAGAAGATAGACTTCTTTAAATTTTTATTCTGGATTGCAAACGAGTAAATTTTACAGACGTCGGATAGGTGGACGATACCAAATCAGCTTCAAAATGTTCATATGCATATATATGAATGAATGTTCATACTTACATTACTTATAAACATTATAATAGATGTTAATAAAATTTATAAAAATTATATTTATTTAGCAAGTGAAACCATCACATAGTTAAAATTAAATTTGCCATGCGGAGAACAATACAAGACTGAGAATATACATGACGTTTTAAATTGTGCATCATCTACGCATGCTGCTTTGATATTTAACTAAAAAATACTCTCGATTAAAAAAAGATTAATTAAATAGGCACTAAATGAAATAAAAAATTAAAATGTTTCATTAATACCTGGGAATGAAATTGAAACAAAATTAAAAAAAAAACTCATGTGACCAATTTATACACAAAACATAACCAAAGTGATTGATTTCTGGAAATTTTATATCATGCTGGAGAGTTATCAATTACATTAAAAAATTAAATATGATGATGATAATGATAATAATAGTAGTAATAATAATAATACCAACATGATTATATAATAACTATGTGATTACATAGAGTAAGCATAAAATATCATAAAGAATCACATTGGCAGGTAACCACTGAATAAGAAATGATGATATAAAAAGGAACATAAAATTAACTCTTGTCTTGGCATCTAAACTACAAAAGTCTACAGTTGGTGCCACATTTAGGAAAACCACAATTTGTAGCTACCACAACTTGCTCGATGCTCCACCCGGAGGCTGCCTCACTGAAATGCTGCTAGTTGGTTTTGATTCTCCTGACTAAAAATTAATTGAATTAATGTACAATTCATAAACATTCTGTTACAATTTACCAGAAAAAATGAATAAAGCGTGGTACCAATTTACTTATATTTAAAACAATTAATTACATTAAATTGAATAAGGTTTAGGTTAACCAAATTTAAAAATTATGAATTAATCTATAAATCTTTCTATAAATAATAAATTTATAAACCAATTTCGATCCATTAGCAGCATACGGTTCTCCAGTTATTGGATTGAAAGAGCCTTATGAATTCATTCATGAAAACAAATAATCTTATTTTAACCATTTATTTAGAAAAAAAATTGTGTAAACAATTTTAAAGAATACTTCTAATTAGCAATTATAGGACAAAAATAATCAACTATTGTGTTTGCTTATTAATAAGACATGCAGACCTTGTAGTTTGTTCTTGAATGATCTTGTTTCGTCAGAGCATTTATTTGTAGAGCTGCAAGTAATAATGCAATGCTGCTCCGAAGATTTTGCTTGGCCGACCTCTTTCAGGCCACCTTCAACTACGGTCCCCACAATATTTTCTTCACATTTTGTAGGCTGTTGTTGTTGCTGTCCTGGTTTTTCAATGGTTGCTTGAATTTGCTGGGGCAGAGTTTTGTGTGTAGGCTGATTATTAAGGTTAGAAGTATCATCAGCACCTCCAAATATGTTACTATTGCCACCACCAGGTGGCTTGAGCACCCTTTTTAATTAATACAAATTATTTTATCAATTTAATTAAAAATAAATTCCTTTGTTGTAATGTTTGCTTAACAAACTAGAGTTAGAGTCGGAAAGGCTAACCAGACGCCAGGATAATTCAAGAACATAACAGTTGTTTGTAAAGTTTTAAAATTTAATTTAAATATTAAACAAATTATTATAAATTATTTATTAAATTTTAAATTATTAATAATTAAACCATACCTAGAGCTAGGTTTATCAGCGAAATTGCCAGAAAATATGTTAGTTGATGTCATGTCGCTATTCTATTTGAAAAACTTCTGAAGAAAGGGAAATTCGACGATGAGAAATTGAGCCAGAAACGGACAGACAGGCCAGCAACCGACAAAACACAGGAAAAGATGATGAACCGATTCTTACGCACCGGAAGAAGAACTTCGTTTAAAAGTTTACCTTTTAAATTTGAAATCAAAAAATGGTCGGATCTATAATGCAAAGAATATGCTTTAATTCATTTTTTCTTACACTCGGACTTTTAATTATTAACCTAGCTTTATATTGAGTGGCCCAAAAAAATCTGATAGCAACACTGAAAAAAGGTTAAAGGTCTACTACACTCTTCCTGGGTTCAGAAGAATCTATCAATCCTTCCTACAATTATTAATTAAATAATTATCCTTATCTAAATTAAAATTATCTTTATCTAACTTACCTAACAAATCTTAATGTAATGTGTGTGCGAGTATCTGTGTTAAAGTAAAACGTAATTATATGTATCAAACAGTATCTTATTGAACAAAGTAGTATCATAAAATGAATAAATATACTTTTTTCAAAAATTTAAAAAATTCTCAATTTGATTTCATTGCGATATCGATGATAATGATGATTGTGACCTGACTAATTAAAAAACATCAAATAAAATTTATTAAATAGGATGGGTAATTCATTGCGAAATAGTTGGAGGAAATGACGTCATGTTAACAGTAGTTATTTTACTGCATGGTAGTTAATCAGCCGGTATAAAGTTTATATTCAATTCCTATAAAATTCCTAAAAAGCATCAAAGAAAGTTTTTAAAATAGGATGGAGAATTTGTTATATTGGGCTATTCGTTTATAAAGCGAGCAAAATTTTAATATAAAAGCGCTTATAAATCTACGCATATTGGCTCAGCTTGGCTTGGCTTGGCTCAGCTTGGCTTTGCTTGGAATTGAATGTAAGCAAGGTGTGGTCCCAGAAAAATTTGAACTGCGTGCTTACATATATAGCACTGATTACTGTTGCTTTATAATGAATTTATATTATATATATATATATATATATATATATATATATATAGTAACTAGAACCAATGCATACAAATAATTAATAAGATTATGTTTATATAAAAAGCAATATAGCAGATTCAACCAGCCAATCAGAAAGATTCGAAGGCGTTCGTTCGATGACGTCAATTTAGTACGGTTAGCATTGTGGTTAAGACTGTATAATAGTGTAGTACATACGTTAAATAAGTTTTTTACTGATGTGAATGATTGAAATGATGCAAATGTATGGTTGAAACGAGTATAAATAGGAGCTGAGACAACATGAAAATCAGATCAGGCATTCTGCCTCGCTTGAAGCAGTCTGTCTGATCTCATTTATTTTTTTTTAATTTATTTATTTTTATTTATTTTATTATTTAGAGTTATATAGAGTTATATAGAGTTTGCATGTCTGGGGTTTGTATGCTGTATTTTTTTATACTTAAGGTGGATTCTTTAGCGGTTGCTCATACATACATACATACATCATGTTTGTTTGTGTGGTAGTATTTTATGTTCTGTTTTACTCCTTTTTCTCTTTCTTCATGAGTCTTGAGTTAAGTTAATGAAACATAGGTAGGTGAGATTTAAAAGTAATTTATT